CCGTGTAAACAAATCGTTATCGCTGCCAAAGTGGACTTTTCAAGTTCTTTACATTTTAGGGATTGGAAAAGGTAGAAAAACGGATTTATTTTTCCTAAGATTGAAAACTACGGATAATAGAATTCTTTATTTAAATATATATCAGCTTATTAAATATATTCTCTCATTTCAAGAATTAAAAATATAAGAACATATATTTAACAAATAACTCCCTACTCAAAAAAATAGTGATACTTACTTTCTTTAAACTTTTGATATGCTATCATAAGGAACTCTTCTTCTTTTTGAAAGTTTTAATTTTCAGCAACTGACTCCTTTGGAAACTTTTTCATTTCAACCCCTGAGGTCTTTGCATTTATACTTTTTTGCTCCTCGGGTGAAGAGCTTTGCTCCTTCTAATTGCCCTTTTCTTTATTGTATTCTCACTTCCCCAGCTGCATTATTCCGCTGTTCAGGAATAAACCCCCTAAGTAGCCACCTGCAGGACCTCCGATTAAACTAAAAAAAGGAAGCCAGCTTTCTCCGTTTGGGGGGTCAGTACCCAAAAAGAAGGACAACAAAACTGAACAATAAAAGGGAAATTGTTGTACAATATTTGTTTTGCGTAATAAGTTTTTCCTAGCTGAACAGAGGCTGCGAATGCCGCTGGCCGTCTTTCTGTGTTGTCCTTATAAATTTCACATAATTTATGCAGATCGACGTTACGTGCAGCAGCCGCTGGGTGGTAAAAATGAATAAAGAAGGGGGTGGTCTATATAGGTGGGTAGATTTCCTTCGGTTTGGGTGGCCATTCTGGGGGGCAGTGGAGCATTTAACATAGAAATAACAATAACAATTTAACAAATTGTCGCCGTTGCCTGTGCTGTAGCTCCATCTCGCTCGCACATTGCGACTAAACGTCTAGCCGAGCAACAAAAGAAATTTACTCGCAATATATTTTACTTGGCTTCCTGCTCTACATATATACATATATGTGTGTGTGTGTGTATTTCTGTGAATTATTTGCCTGCCTAAAAGTTCCTCAAATTGTGTATGTTTGTGTGAGGGAGAGAGGAGAAGAGCGGGGTTGGACGGAAGTGCCAGAACATTGGCAAAAAAAAAAAGGGAGAGGGAGAAGCGGAGAGTGAGAGGGAGAAGGGGAGAGGGAGAGGGGGATAGGGCAGCGGGTGATGGGTGTTTTTAGGGGGAGGCGTCCACCCACGCGACGAACGCCCCAACACTCGACCCTTGGCACAAAAGCTGGTTAGTCAGCCAGGCGACTCTGCCATCCATGTGTTGGTAACTGTTTCCGCGTGTGACTTTCTCTCTATGTGTATGTGTGTGTATGCTGGTGTGTGCGAGCGCGAAAGTGTATGTGTGAGTTTGCTGGCCATACACACAAAAAAGCGATGAACTCATAAAAAACTTATGAAACTAATTTTGTTTTGCTTGCTTTTGCTTTTTGCTTTTACTTTTGGTTTCTGTTTTTGTTGCTGTTTTGTATACCCGTTACAAGTGGATGAAAAAGGGTATATTGTATTCGGAAAAAGTTTTAAGGTTCAGGGAAGCATAAAAATATAAAAAAAAAAACCTTTGATTTTTGGACCGTATTTAGCCCACAAACTTATTTCATTTTCATTTTTTTAAAAGCCCTTCATACCATAAAAAAGCTAGGGTATAAAAATTTTGAATCAAGGCATATTTTTACTTCTAGTTAAGAGAATATTTTCCAGTATACTAGTTAATTAAATCAATAAAAAATATTTAACCAGACTTAAATCATTTTTATAAATCCTACCCATATAAGTAGGCAACATTTAGTGTTGCATAAAAATACAAAGCGGGTATCTTTTGGTCTGGTCACTGAACTCAATTCCATTGGTTTTTTTTTTCATATTATTACTATTGCCTTTGTTTGGCAAGCCACTCGACAAAAAGTCGCGTCGCCCACAAACCATCTATATATATACCCGCCAAATTCTCCCACGATTTATTAATGGGTATACTAGACTCAAAATTTAATTAGTTTTAAAGTTTTGAAAGCTTTTAAAGTTTTTAAAAATGCTGCAAACACAATTGTGGGACAAGTTGAGTAACTTACCACTTACTTTTATGTTTACAAACAAATGCATACATTAATTTAATAGAAAATAAAAAGGTATTAGTGAGTCGTAACTATCAGCAGTGTAAACTTTATGCTTGCCAGCGAAATAGAGAGTTGCCTTCGCCGTCGCCAGCGAGTTGTTGTCCTTTGACTATTTAACTGGCCCCGAGACATGCCAATGGGTGGGTGTTCTATAATCGCCGAGAGTGTGTGAATGTGTGTGTGTGAACGTATGTGTGTGTACTGTGTGTGTGTGATTGTTGGCTCATCGCTGGCTTTTGCACGGCATTTGGGCATGGCCAAGCCAAAAGCGTGTTACAGTCAACTTTTTTTTTGTTTTGGCCATTCGCTTGGCTTTAGTTTTTGCTGGCAATGAAACCGAAAATATTGTATGTATGAGACCAAAGCCCAGGCGGAAAATGAAAAATCAATATTATTGCAAATTGGCCTGCGTAGCTCGTGTGTGGCCGCAGCTCTATCCTTTCAGTAAGTTTTTTGAAAACACACGGCATGTGATCGGATCGCCACCCCATTCGGATGCCACATGTCCTTTTTAGCCGGAGTTATTGCCACTGTTGCTATGCGATTGCCATGGGACTCGCCATTCATTCCCTTTTTTGCCGCTGGCCAACGACGTGTCAGCTGTGTGTCCATGAGCAGAATACTAAGTGACCGACAGCGACTCCTGTGCAGGACACACACACACTTACATACACTTATATATAGAGGTCCTGGCACAAAAGGCGCCGTCAAGCGGAAATATTGCCATACGCTGCGTATGAGCAATGCGTAATTTTAAATACATTTATGCGCAATATTCTCGATTTATTCGTATTTTTCCCCTTTCATTTTTATTTTTTGCTTGTTTTAGTATGTCAATCGGTCGCAAATTGCATAGAGCAATTTAATGATGCGTGTCGAATTCGGAGTTTTGTGCACTCGTCTTGCTTTCGATTCAGTGCCTTTTCGAAAGGTCTCTTGTGGCCGTTTCCTAATATTTGTTTTCCTCTTCCTTCTACAGCGTTTCCTTAAATACAGAATGGGGTGTTAAATAAATAAGAAATTATTTTATTAAGTGACTGGAAATTGCAAAGAGTTAAATTAAACAGATTTCAAGTCAAAGGTTATCTGTTGCACTTTCAATTCATTAGGCCAAACAATTTATTTTGCTTTTTTGTTTGTATTTATTCAATTGAACACGCAAAGCATAGCTAAGCAAATTTTAAATAATTGGCAATCTACACTCAATCAATATGTTAATAATGCAGCTTTATCTTCTCTACTTCTACACTTTTTAAATTTCTAGCTAAAGAACATTTAAGCTGTTTAATTTAATTTAAGCTTTCTCAGATACAAGTATTGATTTTTAAATTGAATGTAGTACTAAACTTTTCCCCTCGTAATTAGGCAGCAAAACTTTTGGGAACAACATCCAAAAGAATCTCTGTTAATTAATATTGAAAGTCTTGTGGGTCAGTTATCTTTTATAATCCTTTTAAAGGAAGAACATTGGCCGACAGTTGACAAAGGTCCGCTTAATCTGACCATGTAAGCTCTTTTCCCAAGAAAACCAAACCATTCCTGGTAAGAATCTTATTGTTTTCCATTCGGCAAATGGCAGAGTGTGAGCGGGAAAACTTTTTAATTAGTAAATCCCAATTAAAATGCAAAATGTAATATTATCCCTGTGCGGCCGTCTTACTGCCAATTATTCTTCAATTTGCTGATTGGATTAAGATGCTAAATTGAATTAAGTTACCGCATTAACGAGATAGAACTGGAGCAGAAATGGAAACCGAAGGGGAATGGGCATGGAATCTGTTTTGTGGCAATTAAAATGCTTCATAATTTATTTTTCCAAGTAATTCCATTAAAAGCGCAGAAACCAAAACTCGAATACGATGATGATGAGTGGTGAGAGTGAGGCAACAATGGCAGAAAAATAGAAATCAGCTGGAGAAAAACTGCTCGAAACTTTTACCAGCCCAAAAAGAAAAAATGAGGGGTGGATGGATGGAAAATCGAGGAGGGAAAATTCAGTGCAAAGTGAAGCGCAAAAAGCAAAAGCATGCCCGCTCTAAAAAGACACGGCGGCTGCTTTTAAGCACTTTTATGCTGATGCTGTGATTTTTTACAGCTGCCATTTGAGAGGCGGCTCCACCACGTTTGAAATGGGATGGTGTGGCATGGCATAGAGTGGTGTGGCATGAACCGAGATGGGATCCTATAGAATGGTCTGGTGATGGTGCGTGCGGTCGTCGCATCTTCGACAAGTTTGGCGGGATATGACGCAAGTCGATGGTCGGGTCGTTAGGCAAAAACGAGTTCCAAAACGCGACTACGCCAAATGATGTTTGACTACGGCAGCAGCTACCAGCTGTCTCTGCCATCCATCCAAATTTTCCTTTTTAGGGAGAAAAGTAAAAGAGATGGGGAAGGAAAAACCGCAGCTACGAGTGTATATATTGAATTTTGTGGTAATTACAAGTAACTCACTTGGGCTCATTGACAAGCGCTCTTCGTTCTCCTCGAATTTTCCTTCGGGGCTCGTGCTTTGCATACTTTTTGGCGCCCAAACTGCTGACTGAGTTTGTTGACTCGCCTACTCGTAATTGGCAACGCTTCACTTCGCCCATGCCACAATGTTTGCCAACACACACACACATACATACACTTACACACACACAGGCAACGGATGCCCGCCCTGCATTGATAATAGAAATGGGTTTAAAGTTGCCAAACAAGTTCCGAAAATATTTATTATGTTGTTATGTAACTTGTGGAAGACCAAAAATCACAATATCCACATTTTTTTTTTAGTTTGGAAGTATAGAATTTTAAGGAACAATGGGGGTTTAACATAAACATGTAATAAATAGGTATGTTTATGAGTCCTGTAAAACTTTTAATATATAGATTCACATGTTTTAATATTTATTGATAAAAGTTATATAAGTAAATAATTTTCTAAACTAACATAAGTTTTACAGTCAAGCTTAAAAACATGTTTCATGTTTTTATAAACTACAGATTAGTTCTACAAAATTAATTTCGTATTCTGGTTTTTGTTGTGTACTTAAAATTTGAAGTTGAATATAATGGAAGCTGGTGCCCTCTAAAATTGCACAATGGATGCAACATGACATCATAGCCAGCACATAATCCCTTAATGAATCGCGCTGCCGAGTCCTTTGTGCCCAGGACCTCTTCTCTTCAGCTTTATTATGTCCTTGCCTGTTGTAGTCGCGTAGCTAGCAAAGTCTCCAAAGGAGTAAGCCGCAATAATTGAGATAAAAATGTGCAATTAGTGAGGAGTACGCGTTGGCTTCGCAGCTTTGGCTGTGGGGATTTTACGCAATTTACGTGGCAGGGGAAAGCGGTTGGAAAAGCGCGGAAAAAGGAGTCCCCGGATGCGAGAGGTGCGCCTTGGCTTTCTGCCATTTTCCGTTGTGTGGTTTGCCCATCAAAAAAAATCAGAAAAAAATAAGAGGAAAAAAAATGAAAACGAGTGGCGAGAGTTTTGCCTTAAACGCTGCATTAGCACCCGTCCGTCGGTGCTTAGGTGTGGTTTTTAGCGGAACGGGAAAGCGGAAAAGCGGAATGCAGACTGCTTTGACTGCTACTACTGCTACTGCTGCAGGCTGCAGAATTTTCCCGCAACTTTTCGGGGGAAACCCCGGTTTTTGGGGAACCCAATGTTCTGCGGCGGAGCTCTGGTTTGCCCTCTGACCCGTGCGTCGAGTGGCGAAAACGATTGTGTGTGTTGCCCGCTCGTTGTTTTATTTATTTGCCGCTTGGTATAATCTCAATCGCAGCAGTGGAGCATGTCCTTGCGCTCCTATTGCAACCCAACTCAGAAACTCATGGAAACAAAAAAAAAAACAAACGGAAAAAGGAAAGGAAACCGGAAAAAAACACACACACAACGGAGGCAAAATAAATATAATAAAATAAAAGGACACCCCCGGGGCCGTACAGCAAACGGCAGCAGCGGTTATGGAAATAAATATTTGTTAATGTTTTATTCACTCAACTGTTATGGCACATTCGTTTGGGAAATATTTCATATTTGCTCTCTGCACTCGCACTCCCACACGAAGAATGCCATTAAGCCCCGAAAAACGCACAAAGGATGTGGGCAAGTGCATATAATTTATGAGCAGGATATAGCATATACAATATATACGCCACTTCAGAACCGAAGCACGAGAATCCAAAACCAAAACCAGCAGTTGCTGTGTGCAAACGCAAACGCAATCCAATTCGAATTTAATTTAAGTAGAGCCACCTCGAGTTCATAACTAAAATGTGTAATCCATTTGAAAGCGGTTCGTTGTCAACGCTCGGTGCGCCGAACAATGGCAATCCAATTAAAATGCAAACTTGATTCCAATCAACACATTTCAATAATCGCATTACGCATACGCCGCGTTGTCGCGCAAAGCCAAAGCAGCAAAATTCGATTTAACAATTAAGCGGGTTGCACGCGGGTCTGGAGTGCGGAGTGCCGAGTGTCACGGAATGATTTCATTAAGTGCGTGGACTGGGTAGCTCTCTCCGAAATCAGAAAACCCAAAAACCAAAAATACCGAAAACCGAAAACCAGAAACTGAAAACCGACAGCCGTCAGCCGAAAACCAGAAATCGAAATGAAAATCGAAATGAGACTGGAAATCAATGCGGGAATGGCAAATAAATCATTTGACCGACCTTTTAACGAACATGGCCCAAAATTTAATTCACTTCCCCGGGCCGAAGTGATAGCCTTCAGGTTGCCGCCACTCAACACGCTTTTCAATCCGGTTCAATATTCACCCGCCAAGTGGAAATCATATTAAAAAAGGGAAGAGGTATGCGAAAAAATTGCGAGACCCCACGATTGAGCTGTGAGCGGAAATTAATCAACGGAAACTAAATTTCTGGCTCTTCAGGCGTTTTCCAGGTGACTCCACTAAAAGAAAAAAAGAAGACTGATTTTAAAAAATAAACAAAGAACTCATTGGAAATATATTTAAATCAATTAGTGGAATAACAATCAATCTATTTGAAACGTATTTAATTCTAATTGAAACAAACATGGTTTGCCTATGAAGTTTCCATTTAAAAAACCTATTACTTAAATAAATATCAGTGGTATATCTTTCTAAATAAATTATTTTAAATTGTTTTTTTTCGATATAATTTAATTTAAAGTGCAAGCATCCCACCGGACTTTCCCTTTTGGTTTCCTGCCACATCGATTGCATTTACAACCCGTCACCCGACATCGAGAATAAAAAATGTTTATTTGCATAAATCCTTTTCGGCCAGTTTGGATTTTTCTATTCCCCTGGAGCGGGTCCGGGTGGCTCTTATTTATGGCCAGCGGGCTAGACATCACGTAGCTGGTTTGATTAATGGCCGCCGGGCGGACACATCTTCATGTCTTCTTTGTTGGCCCCGTCGAGAAATGGAAAAGAGTGGAACAGAACTGAGAACTGAGAACGGAGAAACTTTTCCTCGAACACTCGCCAAAGTTTTCAGCGCGAGGACAGATGATGAATTGCCGGTGCTTTCGGCCAGGGCTACTTAATATCAATGGCCCCTGTTGACTTGGCCAAGACAAGCGTTCCACCCCCCGCTCCTCCGTCTTCCGTCTTCCGTCTTCATTTGAGTTTCTTGGTTTCTTGTTTGAGTTCGGCTCGAGTTCCAATGCAAGTTGGCAATTGATTCGGGCCACGCCCACGCAAATGACAAAACAAAAGTTAGCAACGCCCCACTTGTTTTCTGGCTTCGAAAAATGCAACCTGACTTTTGTTTGACTTGACTTGAAAAGAAAGCGGGGGAAGAAGTCATTGATTTGAAATGTCAGTTGGCGGTGGTGACCTACAGGCTGGCTGTCATTGGAAGTGTTCAAGGTGCTGGAGGTCTAACATACATACATATGGACATACACACACACATCTCCCAGGACGAAGAACAACGGAGAAGCTCAACAAGTATCCGAAGCACAATGTATCTGCAGTTGCAGCGCCTTGACACACAAAACTTTTGCCCCGTCGTCCATGAGGCAGTCACGTGCCATCAGCAGCGCCGCAAGGAAAAGCCTAACCGAATATTCTCCATCTAGCTGCGAGCTTTATGCAAATTTCAACCCCTTGCCACTCCCCCCGCCCCCCGCCGCCCAAAAAGAAAGGACGAAGGCGAGGGGCGAGTGAGTACTTCTCAAATCGCAGAGCGACCTCGACGCACCACATTTTCCCGTCAACTCAGACGACGAGGACAACAAGAGCGCTCAGCGCTTTCATTTGCATTTAAAGTGCTGCCATATGGCCAGCAAATATCAGTGGGAGAGACAACACCGATATATGGCCAACCCATGGGGCGTGGCACACTCATTTCCCTTTCCCTATTTTTCGCCACCCACGGCATTCGTCAAAAAAAAAACACACAAAAAGATTATCCAGTTCATATATACTGTGGGAAATGGAGAAACGTGCCAAGCCATATTGAAGCTGTTAAAAAATTTAAATATCGCAGTATACTATACACATACGCGAATGTCATCGAATGCACTTTTTACCAGTTTTCAAATATTCTTTTCCCCGGTTTTCAGCTCATCGTTTTTTGCCACTGGATTAGTCACTCCCACAGAAAAAAAATTATTATGCAGGACGGTTATTTATAGACTCAGAGTTTATTAAAAAATATTTGTATTTTTTGTGCGTTGATAATATCAAAAACACTTTATTCAAGTATTAATATTAAGACAACATCATGTATGAATGTATAATAAAATCGATTTCACAAACAATTTATTTTTCCGTACATTTAAGTGTCGTTAGCCTTTAGATTTATTTACTGTACAAATATCTATATTTAAATTTAAACATTTATTGAATTACCTAGATTTAAGAACCAACTTTTGCCACCATTGAAAGAATTTGATTTTATCTGTCTAAAGTTCCGCAGAGGAATGAAAGGCGGTCAGGTGGGCAAAGTGAATTCCGAAACGGTTTGCCAAGCTGCACAGATTTCCCGATTTCCCACTCAACTACGGCGCCAAAAACTTAAAGTTGTTGCTGCTTTGAGCTGACAGCCAAAGTCCGTGTCCTCTCAAAAATGTAACTAATGAGATTTTAAGTTTCTCCCGCTTCCATCTCCGCCCAGAAACACTTGTCAGTTTTGTGTGGGTGTTCCGTTCCGGGTGTTCTGAGTGTTCTGAGTGTTCTGGGTGTTCAGAGTGTTCTGGGTGTTTTGGGTGTCGGCATTTGTGTTTACTTGTCGCCTGCAGGCTGTGGATTTGGATAGGAGAGCTGGGAACCTGGCGGCGACCCAGGTGTTGGGCCCCAAAGCCCCGCAGCCCGCAGCATTCTGACCTCTGACCCTCACTTTCGCACCACTCCAATCTTTCCAACTGCCAGTTGTGTCTGTATCTCTGTAGTTGTCTCTGTACACCAAAAAAAAATATATTAAATAAGATAGAAATAGAAGATATAATATATAATTAAATTCAATATTTGTTTAAAAGGCAATGGCATTAACTTATTTTGTAAACTAAATCTTTTCACTAAAATATTGTTTTTAATATAATACTATCGTGACAGATAAAGTATTCTTAAGTCCAGAAGAAATTGTAATTAAAGTTAAATTATATCAATTTAGTTAAGGCTTTTTAGTTTCCATATTTCATTTAAATTTTGCTTTGTTTGTTGGAAGATTTCCTTGGTTCTTTTAAGTTTTTCACTGTGCATTCTCGCCTGTTGTTGTTTTCACGCGCCCGAGGCTGTGTGTCCTTGCAGCGCCAGCGACTTGTTACCAAAGTTTGTGGGACTTTTGGCCAAATGAAAATTTAATGTACCGTGTTTCGGGTTGGCCGGCCTATCCCCATGGCCGCCAAGAAGGCGTGGCGCGTGTAATTTAATTTACACCGAGCATTCAGCACGCCGCAGTGTCAGTGTCGCATTTTCAAATTAAATACATTGCAAAGTTTTGCAATCCGGCGACCTCCGACACTCCCATCCAACTTGCAACATATACACACACTAGCACACCAACACACACACATACACACACACCTGTTTGACCTGGTTTTGCCAGCTTTTCCTGCTCACGGTTGACGGGTTCTGGTCTTGGCCAAGTTGCGCTGCTGCCTTTGGCCATTTCTCACTGCCAGTTGGCATTTACATTGCTTGTTGTCGTTTGTAATAAGCTTCCTTTTGGCCCAAAGGCCACCAGAGTTGGCCAGTTGGGTGGGAGAGTGGGCGAGTGGTCGAGTTAATTGCATAAAGTTCTCGTTCCCCTCATCTTTTGTGGAGTTACTGCTGAAATCTCCGCTCCAACTTTGGTTCCTGTTCTCCCTGCCAAATCAAAACTTTCGACAAAAGTTTCTGTGTGCAAACTACAGAAGAGGAAACCCCATAGTTTTAATCAAGCGTTTTCGGCCTCAAAAGTTCGCAGGCAATATGCATGTTTGCAATCGATTTCAATCATAAATTCAATGAAAAAGTTTCAAGTTTTACATGCATATTGCACACATGAAGTACAAAAATGACACAAAGCCACCGACAGATAACCGCAGGCACTTTTCCAGCTTTTCCAGGGTTTTTATAGCTCTCCAAACTAATTTCATGTTAAATGCAATTGAAAAGGCTTTTTAATTGCATTGGCATCCTTTATATTTTCAATTGCAGTTGCTGTTTCTGTTTCTCTTTCTGTTGCAGTTGCAGCTGCAGCTGCACGGCAGCAATTTGTGCTCGAATTTGTTGCATTTTTAATTGGAACACAGTTTCAACAGCTTGGCAACAATTTGTGCACTTTCCATCTGCCGTGGATTCCCTCTTCCTGTCTTTCCCCTTTTGCTGCCCCAATGAAACTGCATCCTCCCCCTGTTTTTATGTTGTAACTGATGAATGGTCAACACCAGATGGTGCCCATCTCCTGCATCTTATCGCACCCCAAAGTTGAAAACTCAGCAGTTGTGGCACTTTGGCAACTGCGTGAGTGGTGTCCATTTGCAGGATGTGCTGCAAGTAAATAGATTAAGTGCCTTAAACGAAGGTTAGGTCATCAGCATCGAAAGTTAATTCACATGTTAGATTCAAAAACATTCAAAACAAGTATAAAACTGAATGGTACAAACTACTTAAATTAATATTTGAACCCATAAATATTTACGAAGATTGCAGAATAAGTTTTAAATTGTTTTAAAAGCAACTTCTAGTTTTCTTGTAACCTAGGAAAATAAAACTTCTTTATCCCCGTAATATACTTTTTTTTCCAGTTCAGTGTTTTTAAGCATCTCCTTTTAATTATTTCTCTCAAGCGCAATTCGAGGAGTTGCCAACACTCGAGAGCTTCCATAATATCTTTCACTTTCTGCCACTTTTTTGTTTAATTTTTGCACCGTACCCAAAGTTGCAACAACTATTCTGAACTTTCTATGAACCGACCAGTTTAAGAGGTGGTGTGGGTGCTCAAAATTAAGTATGTAAGGCTGGGGATTTATTAAAGGCTAGGAGTTACAAGCTGGCTGGCAAAAGGAACAACTTCCGAGCGGGAAATGAGATTTTTATTTAATTCAATATGAGATGGCGAGTGCAGCTGGCTGAATGGCGGGCTGAATGGACGAATGAATGCGATCATGGACGAGAAAAGAGAGTAAACACAAATAAAACTAAAGTAGAGTGCCAATAAAGCGAACAGCGAGCGCACAGTGGGGGCCATAAGTACGCGTATAAATTACATTTGAAATAGTAAGCGAAAAGGCGATTGTTTCGCATTGCTCTGTTCTTTGTTTCCCATTCGAAAATCCAATGCGAATGGGGAAAGCCAAACCCAAATCCAAACCCAATCTACATCCACATCCGCATCCGCATCCGCAGCGCTTGTCGCATGGAAATCCCCTAAATACAATAAATTTCACATTTCATTTAATTCCATTTCATTTACAATGCGAAACCGAATCCGCAACAAGCAAACAAAGGAGCTCCATTGCTCCAATCCAGTGGGTGCCCATGATAAAGAACCGAGCCGAGCAGCCAGAAGCCAGAAGCCAACCAAAGACTAAGGGAAAAGCGGGAAAAATAAAGAAAATTCAGTGGCAGAAGTAGCAGCGAGTAGTTGGCGTTCCATGGGTCGTGGGGTCAGACAATGAAAGGAAAATATGTATAAGTATACATGTCGGTGTGTATAATAAATAAGCGTAACAATTGAACCAAATAAATGAAATCAGGACTCAGGAGGAGTCAATCCCTCCGAGAAGAACGCATTGCAGTCTTTTTGTGAAAGGCGCTAAGGTGCATACAAATAAATTTGATTTAAAAAGAAAAGCGTTAACTACTTTAAGGCAATTATCAATTTGATGAAATCTAAAAATTCTGGCAATTTGAATAACAAACACTTTACAAGAACAGAATGGGATTTAAAAAGAATTCAGATTGTTTAAAAAGACAAAAAGGATTGCCTAAGATTAAACCCAAAACACACACTTCATATAATATTTATAAATTACCTGACTTGGCCAAAAATGTGTATTTTCCCACGGCAAGGGTGCATAAAAATAAATTGGATTTCAAAAGAAAAGCGTTAACTGCTTTAAGGTAATTATCAATTTAAAGAAATCTAAAAATTCTGGCAATTTGAATAGTAAACACTTTACAAGATCAGAATGAATTTAAAGACTTTACAAGCCCAAATAAATGAAAAGAATTAAGATTGTTTAACAAGACAAAAAGGATTGTCTAAGATAAAACCCAAAGCACACACGTCATATAAAATTTATAAATTACCTAACTTGGCCTTAAATGTGTATTTTGCCATGACAATGCAATGCAATTAGTGAAAGACTGTTGACTGATGGTGAGACTGGAATTAGATTTTGTTGTTTGTGTGGCACAACGTGTTGCAAGTTGTAGCAGCTGTCTGCCTGCATTCGGTGCGATAAAGTTTTCGGCTCTCGGCTTTTCCTTCTTCCCAACTTTTCCATTTCCTTCTGCAGACAAATGCACTGGATGTATTCGCAATATACGTACTTTTCCCCTCTTTGCAATGTGTCTTTGAACTTTTTATGTTCGCCAACTGAAGAGCAAAGAAGTTTAGTCGTGACTATAACTCAGTCCCTGAGATCTTAAATTCTTTTAGCAGATTTTGAAGTCATTAAATATAAAAACTTTATGAGCTTTGAATTTGAAGTATTTAATTTAAGAGTATTTATAAAAGATTTTACAGCAGAAATCAAGGGGGTTTTAAATAAATTGTACAAAATACAGCAGAATGAAAACTTTAAGGAAAGTATCTTTTGTTATGCTAACAGATTGACTGGCAAACCTTGATAAATACAAATTTGTATATGTTTGATATTTGTAAAATGTTTTTCTAATTTTTCCCTCCTTTTTGCTGCATTACAGTGATACTTCGATATCAACGCGAGTGGACATGCTCACGCCTGCTATTGAAGTTTACAAGCCGCCCCTCTGACACAAGGACGACACTGTGGAGAGCAACTTAGGGAATCCCTCGACGAGCAGCGACTTCTAGCAGAACCTGATACAAAGCTCTGCGGAACTAGCTAAGGATAATCTATTTGTTCTTCCAACATAGTGTCGACCCCAAACGAAATTCGAACGCAGATGGGAGATGGCCAAAGTCACCAATGACCAACTCTATCAGAGGTTTTGGTGCAACTAGTAGAGCAGAAAAGAACAGGACAGAACCGAAGAGAAAAGAAATGAATCAGAGCACACAGACAGACACACACACACATAAATTAATAATTGATCCAACTGAATAATTCCTAAGATTGATTAAATTTAGTTACTTTTTAGCGTAAATGATTTTTAAACCAGCCGAAGGGAAACGGAGGAAAAAAAGGCAAAGAGAAGTGTTAATCGGTTAATGAAATAAATCGAAGTCTAGTTGTAAGCTATGTGGCATGTGGCATATGTGTTTGTATCTCTAGCCGCATATACAATATACATGTGTATATGTGTGTCTGTACGAATTATAATATGCAAATTTGGCAATGTGTAAATTTAGTTAAAACCGAATCATTACGGATGTAAAACAACAAATGGCAAATGGCAGAATGAGACAAAACAACACCTAAAACCGACAAATGCAATGGATAATTTTTGTACTGCTGAAAAGGGAAACCAAAATGGAAAACCGAACATTAACGTTAAGTGTACAATTTTGCATTAGGTAATGAATAAGTTTGTAATGCATTAGTAATTAAATACAATACAAAATGTTCAGCTAATCACGAGGAAAGCAAACAGCAACCCAAAACTACAAATGCAACCAAAATAATGTTACGTAAATGTAAATGCAATTGGAAATTCAAATGGAAATTCGGCCAGCGGCAGAAAACATTTTACGCTTCGGTTAATCGCTCCCCAATTCCTCTCCCCACACAGAAATGTAGACACGCCACGCCTCATTTTATATAGGATCCGCCCACATTTTGTAACACCCACAGGCCATCAATCGCTTTTTGGTTTTGCTGTAGAGGAAATCGGTATGAAGATGAAGTTCGTCCTAGACGACATTTCGTATGCCCTTCACAAAGTGCCCCAAGTTGAAAGGATTTGGTCAAATTTCAATCAAGAAATTTCTCGTACTCGTACTTGCGTTACAGTTAATGTTGTTTTTTGAAAAGAACAAAAGAAAGTGGAATACAAAACCCAAATATTTGTGGTGTAGTAAAATGTAAAGGTTAAAATGTTTAAAAGATAATTCAATAATGAACGTTTTTTGACTGTGATCATTTGAATGATATATAGAGGAATATGATATTATTGAGTATTGTTGTTGACAACAAAAAATTACGAAAAGCAATTAACTTCTCGGTCTTGATTCCATCATCAATCAATCAACCAATCAATCAATCAATCAACCAGCACGCCAGAGCACATTTCGCCTAGAAGTTTCTATAGTTCTGTAGTTAGATCACTCCCCCCATAATAATAATCCCACCCACTAAGTCGTAATTCGTAATTCTCTTTGGTTTCGAGGCTGATCATTATCAAACCAACACACTCATAGTCATACACACACACACACACACATATTCGTGCTTGACAATATTTGATTTCTGAAAGGAGTTTCTCAATCATTGCATCACTACGGCACTTTTTCACAGGACATGCTGCGCCCAATTTGTAACTAAAACCGCTTATTCTGTTCCACATTGAGATACAGAGGCTTTGGACGAGGAGGAAAGATTAGGGGATATTGAATGTTAACATTTATTTGTATAAGCTGCAGAACATTGTTGGATTTAGAGGAACCTGCATAGTTTTTTGATATTCATGTAGATACATGTAAATGCCACTCACTAAACTTAAGGACACCACGATGGCATCAAGGATAATTGCATTATATTTGTAATATCAAACTGTTCATAGTTAAGACAAAGCAAGCCACAAGAAAAACAAAAAGAAACCAAAATAAGAAACAATTAACAGAGAACACAAATAACAAGAAAATGTATATAAGCTGACTAGAAAATTGGTAATAGAAACTTTTGAAAAAACAAACGAACTCAAAGTAACAAACAAATGAAGCTACAACAAAGTGCATATAATTTTGATAGTTAAGCTAATTTTAATACATTTTTTAAGACACAGCAAGAGGGCAAAGGTACTACGATAAGTAAACCAAACCAAACCAAAAAATAGGAAAATTACAAACCAACTGAGGAGAAGCCGTGAAAATTATTCCATTTTTACACTCGTTAATTGGTTTTGTTGTTACCGTAAATAATGCAATAAACATTCGCATATTTCTTAACTATTATTGTTATTATTATCATTGTTGTTATTACCATATATAAATGAAGATGAAAATTTGAATTTGACAATTGCACAATGTTTTTTTATACACCGCAAATTGGCTTTGTCAGTGCAAGGAAATTCGTTTTATAAATTCGATCAACTTGAAAGCATGTCTGGCATTTAAAGCGGACACCACACGCATTGAACAACGGACATTAATTTATACATATATAATGATGAGAGAAATAATGGAAAATAATAGAACTAGAACGCATATTGAATAATAAATGAGACATACATATTATTGAAGGAAATTAAAAAGAACATAACAAAACAGATGCATTCTTTGGCCTTTTCACTTTTGTGGTTTCCAGAATGGCAAAACGTCTAAGTAAGTATTGCTGCAACTTTTGCTATTTCCCAGCTCGAATGTTCCGTGAAGTAAATTAAACAAATCCCCAACATTTCTACTCAAAACCACCAGGCAGCAGGAATTATCTCAAGCCATCGTCCGTCATTCCAGGCTGTTGGTTTTTTCCCCCGACAGCAGAGGGGGTTTTTGGGAGGTCGGTTCCCCCGATATTACGACATTACAATGGCGGTGAAATGGGAAAGTGGGAGGTGGGTGGTTGAACCTCTTGTGTATCGACGCAGTCGCGAGTTGTGCCTCCACCGACAACAAAATGAAATGAAGTGAAATGAAATCAAAGGCATCCATCGTTGACGGAGGCACCAGAAGCCAACGCATAGCGGCACACACATGCAACATTGCGGCACAGGTAGCTTACCTGGATGGGTGGGGGAACTACACTGAAAGAAAAATAAAAAATAAGAAAAATAAGAAAGCAAGAAATAAATAATAAGAAAATAACGTTAAAAATATTATATAATCAATATAAATATATATTATAGACATCCATAAACTTACTTTATTAGTGCGGAGTTTCCATTTAAACTTTACTTTGACCCTAAATAAAATTTTTAAATATATTACCTTTATATTTGTAAAAAAAATAGATCATCTTTAAAATTGCAATTGTTGCACAATTTTCTTAGGAAAATAATTTTTTTATTTGCTTCGTTTTCATGAAAATATTTTTAAATTCCACTTTATTATATTCCGATTTCGTCTCTCACCTTCGAAATCTGAACATGTCATATTAAAATGTTTCCTGTGGAGACTTTCCCCACTTTATGGGGTAGCTCGTCCGCACATCCTTGCCACCAGATGATGTTTACACTTGAGCTGCAACATTGGCAAACACAATCTACATGCCACAACCCCCGCCACCCCTCTGGGCCACCCACGTTCCACCACCGATTTTCCTGCTCCTCTTACTCCGTTTATTGTGTTTCCGCGAAGAGGGAAAAAGAAGAAATTGCCGTGGTTTCTGCGGAGCAGGATTCGATCCAAGTTGTTTGCCCTCCACAAGCCAAAAACTGAGTTAGCTCGACTCTGCGGTCGTCTTCTGCGAAGGAAGCAAAAACACATTCCCCAGCAGTCGATGAAGTTGGGGGAACGATGTCATAACCGTAAGCCCCAGTTGATCCTTCATCGATTAGTTGGGCAGGAAGCGAATCGCTTATGCCGGATGCTCGTCCACAAAATCCTGCCACAAAGTTGCGAGCACAAATCGCACAAAGGATAGAGGACCTCGGGCCACGCATCCCTCAACAGGTAATCGGTTACAGTCAGTGATGGAATGTTCTTTAATAGGAATTTGCATGTAAGTTTGTACAAAATGTACTATTTCTTCAATATAAGTTGGTACTTAAAGTAATTTCTTTAAATACAATTATCTAACATATTCATTATACTTCTTTACAAATCCTATACATATCTGCAAAGTTATAAAAAAGTTGATATAAAACTACAAATTTATTGAATCGACCAATTTCTTTGCATGGTTTTATATTTTTTTATGAGGGATATAATGAGTAACTAAACAACTATTTAACCCATTAGAATCTTTCATTCGTTTATAATTCAGATCATCAATCTCATTAGTGTTCTAAATTTCTAAAAAATGTAAACGCGTATGTACTTTAAAGTCAGCGAAAAGTACCTTTCCCAACACTGCCGATATCCCGCCGATTGATGAGCTTGGAATTGGAAAAGAGGCAGTCGAATGAAGCGCTCCACTTGGAGCAGCAATTGAGAGAACAACGAGCTTAACAAGCTGCCATTTTGCTCCAGGGGCGCTTTTTGTTTCCGACTTTCCTGTCTGTCTGTCTGTCCGTCCCTCTGCCACCGAATGGAAAGTGGAAAAGCGGAAAAGCGGATGGGAAAGGGGCAGGTAGTTGGCACTCCAATTGAACACATTAATGTGTCACTTTCGTCGGATCCCGGAGCAAGTTTCGGTGCGTCGGGAATGCCATAAATCAACACCCCGGCCATCGTCATGGAGAGCTATCGATTAGCCAGGCTAACCTTCGGATTGGAGGCATTAAACATGAGGCATTGGCAATGGGGCTACAAGTGAGAGGAGAGAGGCATGTGGCATGGGGCATGAGGTATGAGGCATGAGGTGTGCTGCTGCAGCGGCGAATGCAACCACCAAAACCTGGACAGGTGCCCCTCCGCGCTGCTCCTTGGGCCTCAATATTTATGAACTTGACTTTCGGTTAGCTAACAGCCATCAGCCATCAGAACTTCACCCTTTTTTCCGCACCCACCGCTCCACCGCTCGTCATCGGTTCCGGCCAGACACGAACGGGTATGAAAAGGTTCGCATGACTGCAGGAAATTACCATAATTTCAATTTAAGAAATTGAACGAATTCCGTTCTTGGCTGAAAAGAGAGCAGCGTCGACCGCCAAAAGAGTTGAGAAGTTCTCAGCCGAAGAGCTGTAGAGTTTAAAGGAGCTTTCACACATGACGCCATAGAAGAGAAGCGTAGATTGTTTTAAAACACTAGCTTTAAGACAAAAAAAACCTTTATAACACTATCTTCCAGGGATACTTTTATAACCTTTCCTGGTTGATTAAATGATTTTAAATTATTAAAGTAATTAGATTCAAATGGTGAAAAGTTTAGTAAAAGTATAATAGTTTCAAAAAAGATTTAAAAGATATTCAACATGGTTATTTTTGCATAAAAGCAATACATTTTTGAGGTTTTGGGCTTAATTTCCAAATGTATTACCATTCTTTTTTTTTGGCTTATTAAATGAGCAATTTCGTTATAAATTTCGAATAGAGTTTCCACTTTTACAATGCATTTTGAGGTTATGTTGCAACTTTCTGTTTTCCAATACTATCCTTTGACATTTGAACTGTCAGATAAGCTTTTATTTCTTCAAAACTGCAAGTCATTGGTGTAATGGATGTGACGATGTGCGAGATGTGCCCGAAAAAGATTGACAACTTAGTTACCGGACTTTGTGACCGTTGTATGCCCATTTGGGCTGAAAAAACCCAACCGGAAAAGATGAGATTCACTCTGGACCAAACTAGGGCTATGATCGTGGGAATGGCCCGTGGTCCACAGGATTTGAGGCGAATGGATCCCGTCTTTCGAGTGGCGGCTAAAAGAACGAGGTTACTGCGTCTACAAAAAGTTCAGTTGTTCCAGAAGGTGCGCTTCCATTTCCAGCAGGGCATTCTCAACACTCCATTCCACGACCCGCAGCCCAAATATGTCGTCGAAGAGGACTATTGGAATGTTCCGGACATCCTGGATGAGGATTTAATCTCGTTCCAGAAGGATATTGACCTGCTGAGCGATGTGCCACAGCAGTTGGCTAAAGACCCTGACCAGAACAACAACAAAAACCCAAAAATATAAAAAAAGACAAAAAAAAAAAGAATGTGATTTTAAAATATTATGCACTGTGCTGTTAATATTTACAAAATTTGTATACTATCTTAAAACATTTTATACATATATAATTTATATACATGCATCTGGTGCGATTTTTAAAAAAAATTAAAAATAAAGTATACCATTAATAATTTCCTTTCTTAATATTTGTTTATGCCTTTTATGATGCAAACCCTTCCCAAATGTACAAAAAATTACCAAAATTCACTGATTTTAAGTCCACAACTTTTTCAATTTCAATCTGATTTTAAAGTGGCATACCTCTAAAAGTTCCTATTTTTATTCTTTAACCAACTGCATCACTAGAATATTTTTTATTTTTTGCCCGACCTTTTTTTTTAATTTTTTTGATCCCAATGTCGTATTAAAACCTAAAGTTCATCAGCTGGTGATAATATGCAATTACCAACTCGACCACAAGTCAATTGCTGTTGGACAGGGAATCTTTGGAGGGATTGAATGTGATACTTCGTAATTGGCACTTTTGGCCGGTGTAATAAATTACCCAAATGCAGGCCCAAACATTTCGACGCAGGCAGGCAACGGTCAAGTCAAAACCAATTGGACAAATGTGATGGCCAGGTCATCATTACCAGGCCACAATAGCTGGCCATCCGCCAATGGCCATTGGCCATCAGCTATCGGACATCAAGCTCCGACTGTCTCCGGGGGCTCATGGACATTTTGCTAATGAAAATGTTTATTCAAATTTACGTCAATGGATGTGTTTACACAAATGACCATCAATCTACATAAATAAACGCAAGTAAAAAGCCGTCATGTGTCCGTGTGCCTCTGAGTACTGCGTATTGTTCTTTCCGCTGGCATTGTTCAACAATTTGTTTAATGAGAAAACTAATAAATCAAATGCGCCGTCAATTACAATCAAATTTATTCTGGGACGACGGCGACAAAGGATCCACTCGAAATACGGATCGATAGATTGATTTCAATAAAAAGTGAGTTAAACTGGTAAGGCAAAACTTAAAGATAAATCGAAGAAAGTAAGTGAAAAACTATTGTTAAAATTAATAAAGATAAATCTGCGCCGTCAGAAATGAAATCTTTTTTAAGGAAATATTAGTTAAAATATTAGGTTATGTAACCTAATAATAAACATGTTGGTGTTTAACTGAAATCATTTGTTCACAAGGCTGTGAATTAAATACCTCGAATACCAGATGACCAAAGTCCAAGGGGAATTTCGAAGCCGCCTGCTAAGTGGCAGGATGAGAGAGGCCAGTCGGAGGACATTAGTCAAGTGCAACAGCTTTCGAATGAACATAAATTGAGCATGCTGCGCTGCACTGGAGGACAGATGAAGACGAGGACGAGGGAGGCGTGTGCCAACCCGAAGGGGAATCTCCTGCAGAACTTGGGACCCAGTTGCTCCTTTTGGCCGACTGGTGTCGTAATTAAAGGCAGTCGCGCAATAACGAAGAGAAATGCCCGCTGCCAACGAGGAGCGGAGGATGCGCTTCTAATTTATTTGTTTTTCTCACTTGACTTTTATTTACACGGGCATTGGCATGTGAGTGGCATGAAGTGGAACGGAAAAGGGGTAAACTTGGGTGGTTTTGTGGGGGGGATTAAGGGGGGTTTTGGGTGGTTTTTCTGGATCTGCTTTCGGTTGGCTTGCGAAGAGATATTGCAACTGCCTGCCGCCGTTTGTTACCTTTGTTTGTGAAAGTTCTCCGTGCGCCGGTTTTTTTTTTTTTTTTTTTTTGTTTTTTGGGGCTAGGGCAAAGTGCCAAATTGGCCTAATGGCGTTAATGCGAATACGAGTCGAGACTGAACCAGCCAGCAACTTGGTCCCCACATCAAAGGTCGTTTACAGAGCACCCGTTTCGGTTTCAGTTTCAGTTTCGAGTTCCAGATTTGGATGCAGATGCAGTTGCATTTCGAGAGATTGGGTGCAGTTGCCAAGGAGAAGGCTTAATGGACCCACTCCCACTGGCCACTCACAATGCAATGCAAATCAAAGCACTCAAAAAGTTAAGCAATTTGGCAACGAATGCTAATGGAAGTCGAGCACATTCCTGGGACTCATTTCGGCTTTGCTTCATTTAAGTTTTAATTCCCGCTGACTTGGCATGTTCTTGAAATTCGAAAAAGGAACTTGGCTAATCGCAAATTGTCTGAAAGCAATGCAATCCATGAGAAAGCTATCATTTAGCAAAGGAATTTCATATGTAATACTTTGGTTATGCTACACATTTTGTTGGTAGTTAACCCATTAACTAGTGGGAGAAATCTTTATTTGAATATGGCACCTTTTTCCGCCTGTTCCATTTGCATGGGAAGAACTCGAAAGATGGTCAAGGATCCCCTCTCCTCAAAGCAAGTCTACGTGTGTCCGGTAGGAAACCATTTCGACAAATTCCCCCTACAAATGTATTAAATAGAAGACCTAACTTTTCACAGAAATGCTGCAACAGCAAGTTGCATAAAAAAATGCATTCAATTGGAGCAGATAAATTAAAGAAGAATGTGCACGTAAAATCTTTGGCAAATGAATCGAAAGCCTGCCAGGATAAAAATCAAATCTCCAAGATTCCAGGTGATGGATGTCCAACGACCAAGAGCAAATGTTATAAAAAACTAGAAGGTGAAAAGGGAAACCAAGCAATCAAAGAGGAGGATTCCAGGGATATCAGCAAAAGCACTCAAATGTTTCCACAAAAAATCACTCCTCCTCTCATGCAACTTGTGGTGATTAAAGACCGAAAGTATGTGGCCATCAGTGAAACAGCTGACGACGAGTGAAATTATATTAAAACCTATTTTTATATTATAAAAGCTGAATTTAATTAAACTATTTTCGGTGTCAGCTCATTTCCATTTCACCAAACAAACAAAAGAGAAGCCTATCGAATGCGGAATTCTCTAACCTCGCTTCAAATGAATTTTTCATGGAAATTTTTTTTTAATTTATTTGAACAAATAGCAATCCTATACTGAATTCTAAGTTGACCACATTTAGTTGCCAATTTGTTTGGCTGTTGCCACTTTTGTTGCACCAGATGTGCGTGATGCGGCGATATTTGTTTACTTCCCATTTCCGCATCCGCTTCGACTGGCATCGCTGCAGTCACAACTTTGCCACGCCCACTGCGTAACTCGATGCGATACCGCCCACAAAAACAGGTAACTACCAACTTCGAACTACCCGTAACCGAATACCATTCGAGTTTCGCATGTGCGTGATTTTCGAACATTTCCCGGGAGCTCATTAAACTTTTAATGGAATTTCCATAATCATGTTTAAAGTTGCGAAGGACCCGGCGACGTTTCGTATTATTAGTATTGATTAAAAACAGAAGCTAACAATTTCCAAGGTAATAAATGTTATTAAAATATGTGTTAAAGGCTTTAACCATTTGGTTAACCTGAAACTTAAAATGGTTATGGAAAATAAGTACCCTTTTGTAGAACAAACATATTCTTTTTGGCATTGATACATTGAAATCCCGTAACCTTTAAGAAGCAATTGTATTTTGTACATAGACCTATAAAACATAGCACACTTTTAATGTAGTATTTAGCACAAGTGATTGAAACGCACTCACGCAAAAATTACCAATTCAAACGAATTGTCCAATTCAACATTGTAGGGCACGATATTGGGTAGTCTGGTTTCCATCGACGCACAGAAAGCACACATAACGGCAATGTTTGACGATTTCATTGATTTTTTAAAGAAATCACCGTCCGATCCTGTGCGAATGCCACTTTTGAGCAGTCATGGACCCATCCTGATGATCTTGGGCAGCTATTTGCTTTTCATAAAGGTCGTTGGACCAAAGATCATGGAAAAACGAAAGGCATTTGATCTGCGCGGATTAATAAAGGCCTACAACATAATGCAGATCCTGTACAACGGAGTTTTGTTTGTTTTCGTAAGTAATCAGTTGGAAAAGTGAACCTTTCAATTGTAAAACAATCCCCAACTTTCAGGCAATCCATTTTATGCTCGGTCCTGGCGCGTTTAACTTTAAATGCATCACCAATTTGCCACCGAACCATGAGTACAAAACCTGGGAACGCCGGCTGTCCTACGCGTATTTCTTTAATAAGCTGTTGGATCTGATGGAAACGGTATTCTTCGTCCTGCGGAAGAGGGATCGCCAGATATCCTTCCTGCACGTCTTCCATCACATGTACGTGCCGTACTTCAGCTTCATCTATTTCTACTACTACGGATATGGAGGACACGGCTTCTTCATGTGCTTCTTCAACGTAGTAGTGCACACAATGATGTACACGTACTACTACCAATCCTCGCTGAATCGGAACTCAAAGAAGGATCTCTGGTGGAAGAAGTACATCACCATTGCTCAGCTCGTTCAGTTCGGGATTCTTTTGACGCACAGTATTTATTCGCTGCGACAACCAGACTGTCCATCCGTCCGATTTTCAGCTACTTGCACGGGATTCATTTCCGTCGTATTTATTATTTTGTTCAGCAACTTTTACTATCATGCCTATATTCGGCCCAAAAAGAACGACCAGAAGATGCCTTAAATACAACTTAGCAGTGAAGTAATGAGATCTTCATAGAAATAAAAAATGATAGCTTACGATTTCAATAAACAACAATAGTTACAAAATAACAATGTTACTTATGACTTTCTTATTGACCAGCCCAAAAACACTTTTTGTAATTGAACTCATAAGCACATCGAATCCTTATGAACATTTAGCTGATTTATCAATCTCGGAAACGATTTTCATCCACAATATTTTCTTAACTTATTTCTTACCAAGTTTGTTTAAACTACTATTGAAATACCACTTCCTTACCTTCTTTATGCTATTCCCATTTGATTTGATAAAAACTAACAAAATATGTAGGAGAATGTTGTCAGGGTTTGGCCATATTTTGACCTATGCCCATAAGTACTGAACGAATGACAATTTAGAATAAGTTTGTACATACTTGGAAAGGTTTGTGGGCATCTTCAGAAAATCGTTAACAATATCGTTACGTGGTGGAATAAAATTGAATTCAGGTAAATCTAACATTATTTTGTTAATTTATTTTATTATTCGGGATTTTAAAGTAACTTTTATGCTCAACTTGCGGATGACATGTTGTAATTTTGAGTAATGACACCTTTTGGCCAGGTTAAGGAAACTTTTCCGAACACTTTTCCTTCACATAAAAAAAAAATCCCGAAATGAGTAGACACGTGGAAAGTTTCTTGTGAAAGATAGAAGTTCCTTGACACGCACAAACAGATGGCACTAGTACGAATATTCAAAATATTGAGATGGCCCAAGCCTGACAACGGTCCAACCCTGACTACATTCCGCTACTTTTGTTATTTAACATGTTCTTATGAAGGTGAGTACAGAAGCCATTTTCTTGTAACCACAACGATCGATTATAAACAGTACGGAAGTCTTTTGTTACGTAGGTGTATGCATAATTACTAAGTTTTTTAATCGACTACAATTTACATTTCACTCGCTGGCCACCGATTTATAAAGTTGCGATTAGTCCGTGCTAGATCGACACGAAGACCGTTTATAGTTATCTTCTTCGCCATGATTGGATACCTAAAAGAAGTCCTTAGCCGCACTCCGCCGGATCCTGTGCGGCTTCCTTTGACCAACAGCCATGGGTCCGTTTTGGCCATTCTCGTTAGCTATTTGCTGCTGGTGAAAGTCGTGGGTCCAAGGATCATGGAAAATCGAAAGCCCTTCGATTTGAGCGGAGTGATTAAAGTCTACAACATTGTACAAATCATATACAACGTCGTCTTGTTCGCATGTGTAAGTGATTTGATAAAACACTCTTCGCTTGAAAATATATATTAACAAATTCTACTTCGTAGGAAGCTTTCTTTATACTCGGACCTGGCATCTATAGCTTCAAGTGCCTCGAAAACCTGCCTTTGGATCACGAGTGGAAGAACTTTGAGCGGTGGGCCAGCTATGCGTACTACTTCAACAAGTACATGGATCTCCTGGAGACGTTCTTCTTTGTCCTGCGCAAGAAGAACCAGCAGATCTCCTTCTTGCACGTCTTCCACCACACGTACATGGTGTTGTTTGTCTTCGCTATTTTGCGGTACCACGGTTATGGAGGATTTGGCTTCTGCATGTCGATCTTCAACGTTGGCGTTCACATAATGATGTACACATACTACTACCAGTCCTCCCTTAATCAAAATTCAAAGAAGAAAGATCTCTGGTGGAAGCACTACATCACAATTGCTCAGCTCGTTCAGTTTGGAGTTATTTTGGTGTACAGTATTTATTCGCTAAGTCAACCAGAGTGTTCGTCCACCCGAATGTGGGCTACTTACACAGGAGGCTCCTCCATTATATTTATTATTTTATTCACCAACTTTTACTATCACGCCTATATTCGGACCAAAAAAAAGGCGCTTTAAATAAAACTTAGCAGTGCATTCTACTTTTGAAGTTATAGAGATCTTCATAGAAATAAAAACAATAACTTATTATTTCACCTGGCAAAAATTTTCATAGCTTCCTTTGATTTCGGTATGGGTTGCATTTTGGCTTTTAAGTTCAAAAGATTTTTTTAAGACATTGCTGCGGTTTAAGAATTTCTTTATTTATTGACTAAGTTACTCAAAAAACAAGAAAGGAAGCTAGCTTCGGCATTTCTAAGTTGATATACCCATGCAGTCATCAAATATGCCGATCAAAATGCATAAGGGCTAAACAACATCGAAACTATGACAACTTTTTCTTTTCGTCTTCCAAATTTTCGACTATTGTTCATATGACAGCTATATGATAACGTTCTCAAATTTTGAGCAAATTTAATTCATAATTCAAGAATCGTTAGAAAACTCTATATTCCAAAAATCATGCTTCTCTGATGAAAAACAACGATGCTATAATTTTATTTTCGTTATTTCTCTATAGATTTTTCGATCTTTCCTATGGCAGCTATATGTTAGAGTTATCCGATTTTGATAAAATTTAATCCGAAATTCAATAGTAGTTAGAAAACGCCATCTGGAAGAAATCAAGTCGATCTGATTAAAAACAACGGCGTAAAAAATTTGTATTTCATTCTCTCGTATGCGAGCTATCCGATATAGTCGGCTGATCCGGCCCGTTCTGACTTATAAACTGCGTGCAATAACTACACACCTTTTGGGAAAGGTTCAGCCAGATAGCTTTAAAGCTGAGAGACTAGTTTAAAGAGAAACGGACAGACGGACAGGCGGACAGACGGACAGGCGGACAGACGGATAGACGTACAGACGTATTCCGATTCTGATCGTGATGCTGATGAAGAATATACATATATACTTTATGGAGTCTGAGGTGTCTCTTTCACTGCGTTGCAAACCTCTGGCCAAAATTATAATACCCTTTGCTCTGCAAGGGTATAAAAAAATCAACCTTAGTCAAACATTATAAACTATAATATATATATATAATACCATCTTTTTGACTTTTTCGGTTTTCTTTCTTGTTTTTACGTACTTTTTTGCTTACGTCAGTATTCCGTAAAACATTGACTTTGTTTTATGAATGAGCTGAGAATTTAAATTATCCGAGTACACGAGCCATTTCCTTGTAACCACAACGATCGATCGATCGATTATAGGCTGACGTAAGAGCTTTTGTTACGTAGGTTTTTGTATAATTGCAACCGTGTCTTTTAATGGAATTGCAATTAACATTTCACTCGCTGTCCACCGATTTATAAAGTTGCGATTAGTCCGTGCTAGATCGACAAGCAGACCGTTTATACTTATCTTCCCCGCCATGATTGGATACCTACAAGAACTCCTTAGCCGCACTCCGCCGGATCCTGTGCGGCTTCCTTTGACCAACAGCCATGGGACCGTTTTGGCCATTCTCATTAGCTATTTGCTGCTGGTGAAAGTCGTGGGTCCAAAGCTCATGGAAAGTAGAAAGCCCTTTGATTTGCGCGGAGTGATTAAAGTCTACAATATTGTACAAATCATATACAACGTGATTTTGTGTGCATGTGTAAGTGTTTAGTGATTAATGACTTACATACAAAATAATTTATTTAATAAAACTTATACTTTAAAGTCCGCTTTCTTGATGCTTGGACCTGGAAACTACAACTTCAACTGCATCGAGAACCTACCTTTGGATCACGAGTGGAAGAACTTTGAGCGGTGGACCAGCTATGCGTACTACTTCAACAAGTACATGGATCTCCTGGAGACGTTCTTCTTTGTCCTGCGAAAGAAGAACCAGCAGATCTCCTTCTTGCACGTCTTCCACCACGTTATAATGGTGTTCTTGTGCTATTGGTACCTGTTCCAGTATGGCTATGGAGGCCATGGCTTCTTTATGATCTCTCTAAATGTGGTTGTTCATATTATGATGTATGCGTATTACTATCAGTCATCCCTCAACCCGTCAGTGCGAGCGAATCTCTGGTGGAAGAAGTACATGACCATCATCCAACTGGTCCAGTTCGGGATCGTTCTGTCGCACAGCACTTATATCCTCAGACGAGGCGAGTGTACCGCATTAACTACAACTGCAAGGGCGGGAACCATTTTCTCGACTATATTTATAATACTATTCCTCAACTTTTACATTCGCGCCTACGTACTTCCCAAGAAAAAAGTCGTTCAAAAGACGTCTAAGTAGATGAGAAGATGCAGATTATTAAGAATCTGAATACCAATCGTATACAGAGTATCAAAGTTCGTTTTAAAAACAAATAAATTAAAAATATAAGCCTTAAGAATTTTCTTTTGACAATTATTCATGGAATCTTTTTCATAACAGTAAGCATTTCGGGAAGTTTTTAATTCTCTCATTTTGGTTGCCAAAAAGTAGACAATACTTTTTTAAAGCCAAGATTAAAGGTTGTCTTAATTGCGTAAGGTCACACTAATGGTGTCGATTTATGTAAGCAATAGAAAAAATTTAAAATTTACGTTGTCTGAGTTTTGACGACATTCCATATTGTCTGGAATTCAACATTCAACTGGTTATCCAACACTTTATATAATTACTTATAATCAGTTCGCTTTACAAAACCAGCGAATTACCATACTGAAAATTTGCACATATTATCAGTAGATAAGTTTTGATTATACTGAGTATTTCAAAGTGGGAACAGAAGCCAAGTTACAATTCACTTGAAAAGTCGTTCAAGAATATTCGACAAACCTTTCCAGCTGCCACTGGCCAGCAATCTGGGCTCCTCCGTGATCATCATTGCAGTCTTCCTTCTGTCGGTGCTGAAGGTGGGCAGAAGTAAAAGCCTTCAGGCTGCCTGATGTCCTCAAGGTCTAAAACATCGCAAAGTCCTGTCCTGCCGCAGGATCACGAACTGAAGAGCACGGAAAGTTCGCTGGCCTACTTGTTCCATTTGAACATGTCTTTTATCACATTTACATGTACCACACATTGCACCAGATGAGCCGATTCTACGGATTCGGTTGGTGTTTTTTTTTTTGTGATGTGCAGATACTACGCTTCCTCGCAGAGAAAAAATATCCAGGAGAGTCTCTAGTGGAAGAAGTACCTCTCTCTTTAGAGCCAACTGATCCAGTTTTTCCTGACGTTCCTGCATGACATTTACACATATTTGCAGTCAAATTGCTCGGGTTCTTGTTTATGTTATGATGTTCACCAGGTTCTGCGTGAAGACCAACATTCAACCCCAGAAGGTCAAGTCCAAGGGCAAGTGAAACTGCACTGCGGTAAAAAAAAAAAACTAAGACGACGTATTCGGACATATCTGATATAAATGTTGTTAAACAAATTCTATATTGATATATTCCTTTATGTTTTTATTTTATTAATTTATTAAAGCTTAAACTAATAAAATTATAAAAAACTAATTACCATCCTAAAATAAGTGACATAGGAATACGAAATAATTTGGATTTCAGTGTAGCCAGGCATTTGCATATGTGCCGGTTGAATAATAGATTAATTCAAATGCATCGACACTGAATTAAAATGCAGTCGTTTGGGGCAAGAAGTGACCCCTTTCGACCGGAATAAATCCCGTGGGCCACATCTCAAGCTTCTCATGGTTTCCAGTGGCGAAACGGGGGATCCTTTTGTTCTCACTAGCACGTGATCTGCATGCTCCGCAGGACTTCCCTGAGAGACCACGTGCCTGGACATTCCCTGCTGCTTTTAATTAGAATGCAACAACAAGAACATGAGGCAGAAGCCCCAACCAGAACCCCAACGAGAACCACAAGCGAGGTAGGCCAGTCGAGGCAGTGGATTTATGGCACCGGAAGGGTCAACCCGTGACTGCTCCGAATTTGCATAGGAATCGCATGCGGCGAATCAGAGTCGAAGTGCCGCCTGAATAATTGCGGCCATGCAGTGACATTAAAGCGAAGCCACAGTCAAGTGCAGTGGCTCTGGGTTTTTGGGGTAGGCAGTTACCAGTTACCAGTTGGCCATTGGCTTATGGGTCCTTGGTCCTCGGAACGGGCTCTCTCTATCCAACTGGGTGCCACTGGCTTTCGAGCTCTTCGAGCCACCGAGCGTGCTGAGTAATTGCCGTTTTAAATGACATTAAACGTGCATTGTTTAGTTCTCATAGCAGTCACACGACTTTTACCCCTTACCCCATTCCCCCTTACCCCATTCCCCCTTACCCCATTTCCCCTTTCCCCCTTCCTTTCCTTTCCCTTCCCTTCCCCTCCCCTCCCCATTCTTCTTCCCTTTCCCCTTCCCTCCTCACTATTTTTATTTCTACCCTTTGCATGGAACAGTGCGACTGCTTTAAAAATAGTTCGTCTTTGATTAAAATATTCTTAGCCTGACGCTTGAAATATAAAAGTACGGAATTTAATTTAACCAAGATACATATTAATATTTTTTTCCAATTTTACATTTTTTTTTTTTTTTGATTCTTAATGAAATAGGTGACACTGATATTTCTTATAGATTTAATTAGTCTAACCAAAAACCACGCAAATAATACTTGTAAGGGTTTTTAACTTTTACTGCAGTTAATTTTGCAAAGTCAGTAAAAAAAATAGCGTTACATATAAATGTGTAATTAATTAAATAATATAATTTATAATATAATTTAATTCTATTTAACAATAAATAATATTAACAAGATCATGAGTTACCCTGAATATTTTCAACCCAAAAAGTTTCAAAACTAAATACTGTGCAAAAAAGGTCCAAGCTGCTAAATAGGCCTATTAATGGAAAAATATTCCTAGACATGCTGTAAGGCTCTCAAGATATGCTAAGTTATTCGAATAACCTAGGCCAACTTACCTTTTCTGAAGCTAGTGTTTATTCAGCTGTGTGTAATTCAACACCAAAACATTTTCTGCTCTTTTTTAAGGAATATTTATTTCTTTTTTAGTTTCGCGACACATATTCAATGTACTTTCAGTTCTGGTTTCTTTTTGCTGGGCAGTACGTAGGCATGCAGGTAGAAGTTTCCGAACAGCAGGATAAAGGTTATATCTACCAACATGCCGGAATATATCACTGGTCTGGAGGCATTGCAGTTGGGCTGCATCAACGTATAGCTAAAGTTCGAGAGGACTAGTAGGAACTGGACTAACTGGACAATGGTGATGTACTTCTTCCACCGACTCGTCTGCAAGTCCTTGCTGACGCACGATAAATAGTAATAAGTGTACATAATCACATGGACGGCCACATTTAGCAGGCACAATGGGAATAGAGTTCCTCCATAGCCGCTGTAGGTGAGGTACAAGTATCCGCCAAAGGCCATGATCAAGTGGTGGACGACGTGAAGGACGGATATCTGGCGATACTTCTTTCGGAGCACAAAGAAAACTGTCTCCATGAGATCCATTAGCTTGTTGAAAAAGTACGAGTAGCTGAGCCATCGCTCCCAGTTTTTGTACTCATGATCCAGCGGCAATCTCGAGATGCAACTCAGATCGTACGCTTTTAACACGAATAAAAAGTAGAGACCCTGAAAAAAAATTGGTAAGTTATTATTAAAATCAGTTGTACAACTTATAAAATTATAATCTTCAAGCTTATGTATTGAATTAATTTTAATTCAGTTAACCTAGTTATATAGTTATAAAGAAATCTTCGAAATAAACAATACTTACGCCTGTCAGAGCTGCACTATTGTAAACGATCTGCATGATATTGTAGGCCTTGATCACTCCTCGAAGATCGAAGGGCTTTCGGTTTTCCATGAACTGTCTTCCGACCTTCAGAATGAACAGCAGGTAGATGGAGAGAATAGTCAACGTGGGCCAAGGACTGCCCATGAGAGGCAGTTGGACAGGATCCTCCGAAATGGACAACGTTCCATTTAGAAAATCCGCCATTTTTGAAAAAGAATTTTTGAAAGACCGGCTTCCACTCGAGGTATTGGTTGTTTGGCGACTAATCACAGTTCAGTCTTTTATGCTCAACAAAATGCGTTTCGATTGAATTGGAAATGCGAGTGGTTTGCGCAGCATAAAAAAGAGCATCATTAACATTAATTGATTCTAATTTGGCACTCGTGTTTGTTTACACTCGCTACACTTCAGTGAAAGTATATATGTTTCATTTAAAGCGGAATTTTTTGGGGACACTTTATGCATACTTTGTTAACAAAACTAGAGTAATGCTAAGCGAAAGCTGTTTTTAGGTAATAGAATAGAGAAAAGAATAGAATTTACACAACAATTTGAAACTACACTTAAAAAAATATGGCATCTGATGTTTACAAAATTAAAAACAAAGAAAAGCTGTATTTTTTTTAAGCCTGAACATTTTATTTCAGGGAATTCATATTCGTTTTAGTCTATTTCAAATCTTTTCCAAAAAATGTGTCTTAGCATGCAAATTTTTTCGTGTTTTTCTGAAAAGTTTGACATCATATTAATTAAAGAAACAAATAATTATATAACTCTAGCAAAAGTTTCCTAGTAGGCTAACCAAATTAGTTTGACTTTTGACTTTGAGTCATAAAAGATCGGGTTAAATAAGTCTGACTGTATGACTACAGTATACTGAGCATAATAAACCCAGCAATAAAACATCGATTCAACTTCTGTGTAATTGTTTTGTACGCATGTTCGTTGTTCACGCCTGTGAAAATTCCAATTAAACAACATTCGACACGGTGCAAAATGGAATAAATCTTTGTAGCGGATATCTGGTAGTCGGAATATTCGATCCATTCATTCTCGCTGGCTTTCCTTTCCCATGTACTTTTTTGTATTTGCTTTATTTTCCCTTTTTTTTTGCCGCTTACACGTGCAACCAAAAGCCATTTGTCGATGCGAAATTGCAAGAAATTTTACTTATAAGCCAAGTCATTTTCCACTAACTATCCGTGGGCCAGGGAATTACTTCTTGTTAAGGGTTTGTGGCTACGGTGGAAGTAATGAGGAAGTCGTTTCGCAAGTGTCTGCATGGAAAAGGAGAAAAGGGGAGAAGGGGTTCTCAGGTGTTTTGCAGGTTGCCAAGGTGTCGGCCATTGCAAATTGAGTAATTTTTCATTCGGCACCGGATTACATCGCAAAGTAAGACGAGGGGCGAGTGCAGCAGGACCTCGATGTGTCACAATTCCAGCGCTCATAATTGGGTCACAGAATTTGTCCTTTGTGTGCGAGGCTTGACCGCTGAATAAGAAGGATTATGCCGCTTTTTCTCGCACACTTTCTGCCACTTTTATTGGATTATGGGGGGTTATGAAGGGGAGGGGGTTGAGAAACAGGTGCATTAACATTATCCAGAAAAAGGCTAAGGACATAAAACGAAACCATTTATAATGCCCGTTCAGCCTTTCGGTTGTCCTTTCATGTGTGTGAGTGGAATTTTGTTAGGCAAATTACGAGGTATAAAAATTGAGTCTCATTATGGCAAAGTTAATATTTCATGGGCAATTTACCGAGATTGAAACCGACACACTTCGAAAACTGCGAGCAAAGGCACACTCGCTAACACACACACGCACACACACACATACGCATTTCTGTGTAATTACGGTTGCCGATTTCCATTGCCACAGGACCTTCTGTTCGTCCCTTCTTCATACAATTTTAAACTCAATTAAAAGTTCTGCGCATTAGACATACTTGTACCAAAAGAGCGAGACACGCCCCCACCGCCTTCAAATGTGATTAAGCTCCTGAAAAAAAAATGGGGAGGAAGAGAAGTAGACGGGGACAAAACGGGCGCAACTCAAAGGACATTCGCATTAGTTGTCATTAAAAATGTGAGCGATACCATCTAAATGACTTGGCATATCCTGCGTGTCAAGGGGAAAAAAAGGAAACAGAGACTGGCTGCAGTTTTGCACTTTAGGAGCGGACATGTGGATCCAATTGGAGTCAACAGCCCATTGACACACATTGATACGCTCCTTGGTTGCAGCCCTCCGAAACATTCGAAATGCGGCATGGAAAAGTGGGCCAAGAAGGCAACTTCTTCGTTCGTTTGCCACACAGAAATATTTACGAGCAGGGTTTGTCATTTAAAAAGACAGTAATTATAAAGAAATGTATGGCAAAGCCAATATGCTGGCAAAAAAAACGTAAAGGTTACACGGCTATTAAAAAAGTGAAAGGTATTATCCATTTTAAATAAAGTTTGTAAAGCACAATACTTTTTTAAATTTTACCACACAAACATACATTTGTGAAATATTACGAGAAACGTGAATAAATTTATACTTTTTTCCGCTCCGCAAAACCTGACCGCAGGAAAATCCATTTACTCACTTTTCCTGGCGGCCTGAATGCGAAAACTGCAAATGGTCGCGAACGCCTGAATAATGGAAGCAAATCGGAAAGAGGCAAAACAGCAAAAAGTTAAATACCTCTAATGACAGAAAATGAAGCAAATGACGAAAAATTGCGCAAAACAAAAGAGACAAATAATAACATGCCCAAAATGGCCGACTCGGACCAAGGGCCACCCACTTGGAGGCCGCCGTCGCACATCCTCGTGCAAGGAGCAAGCAGTAAGCAGCAAGGAGCAAGGAGCAGGGAACAAGGACCAAGGAGAGCACGCACCAGCGAAGATAGGAAGGTAACCGTGGGGGCCAAGTGAATTACCAACAACGGGCGAATCAAGAAAAGCATGTGCGCGGCATAATTACGAAGCAATTAGACGAAATTATTATTGAGGTCAGCGGCGAGGGGTCGTCGGGGGAGTCCACCGGGCAGCAGGCCCCCGAGAACATATGGCCGTAGTCACCCCATCCCCTCCCCTTTTTTTGGGGGGTTGGTGGTGCTGGGTGGTGTCGGGCCAAAGGGATGCGTACGCCATTATCATTCACGCCGGGGAAAGGAAGAAGGCGCAGCGTAATGCCCTCTAAATGGGCAGCACAAAGCGCACACCAAAACAATACGAAGAGCCACTAGTTTCAGGCGGGGAAAACCGGAAAAAATTAAGAAAAACTATGAGGGGAGACCCAAGTGGTGTGCCGATATCTGCCAACCAAAACCCAAGATGTCATATACATACTTTCAATTTGGGGGAAGCTATTCTGCAATTAATTTTAATAGCAAACAAAATTATAATAAATGGCAATAAAGGGTCAGTTACCTCAGAGTCCATTTGTGGTACAACTAAAATTATGGCTTAAGTCAGGTATAAGCTAAGAAAAAGAGAGTTAATAGGTTTTGAACACCAATTTTCTCTTTTTTTTCGTACAATAATTTTTATTTTTGTATTTTTTTCAGTGCAGCTATAGTTGCCCTCTGAATATTCGTCATCAACAAGCCAAGCTGTTTTTTGGGTTTGTTCAGCTGCCACTGGGAAATGAAATGCTGCCAAGGAAGTGGCATTAGGAGTTTAAATTATGGAAAATATGCTTTACTTTTGGCACAAAGGCTTAAAAAATTGATAAACAGAAACATTGCCAACTTAACTTTTCATAGTCGACAAGATCGCGTGTGCGAAGTTCAATGCTGGGCATTCAATGAAGTAGTCAAAACACAGGGCAAAATGACAATGACAAAGGTGAACAACAAAACTTATCCCCAAGCGTTGCGGAAAAGGGGGCGTGGTGCGACCTTAATTGTCGGTTGGCAGCAACTAAAGACCTTGCTTGCATGTTGACTGCTTTTCAGACGCTTTCAAACAGTATAGTTTGCTGCACTTTTCGAGTTTGTAGGTCACTGTTATATGAAGGTTTCTGAGATTGTATATTTCTAATAGTTAAATGAATACTATTAAGTACAAACAAATTTTTTTTGCAAGTATTTCAATAATAAAATTATTTCAAATTTTGAAAGCAGCGCGGGGAAGTACACATTTTGACGATAGTTTAAATAGAAAATCAACGCAAAATATACCACACCATTCTCTTCTTAATACCAAATAATAATCTTTTAAATTTGGGCATGTTTTTACGGGCGCCTGGTATATTTAGTCAGTCAAGACGCGGTCACACTGTACGCTAAAATTAAAAATTCGGATTAATGGTGGTTTTGCTGCTGAATTTTCCGAAAAATAGTGTGCAACTGTGTCGAGTGCTAATGCTGATCGTTAAAACTTCCAATTAAACATTGCAAAAAGAGTTATTTTTGCCGGAAAAATAACAAAAAGAAAGCAGAGTGACTGCTGCGAAGACGAATTAAAGGGGGAGACGGAGTAACAATGAGCGAGCGGGATGGCAACTGGCCAGTGAGTGCGCTAGTGCTTCTCCTCTAACCAAATAAAACAAAACAAAGGAGAGACAAAGGATAGAAACCCCGAAAAAGGCACACACACACACACACGTGCACACACTAGCAATAAGAAGAGCAGTCAGCAGACAGATAAACTTAAACAAATGGAGTTAAATTAATATTTTAATTAAAGGGTCCAAGGATATAGCCAAACGATCCGATTAGAAGCCAAATCTGTAGAGCGAAATAGTGAAAGGCAAGGCGAGGAAAGTCGTCGCCAAATTGTGCATGTGCATGTGCGTGTGTATGCCAGTGTGAGTGCGTGTGCATATGGGGTTGGAAAACTGTGAAAACTCAAGCGCAAAAGTCTTTGGCTCCGATTAACTCGCGGAAAACTCACTGTCGCTGGTCAGGTGGAGAAAATGCCGAGCGCCTCGTTCACCTCGTCGCGCACCTACGTGCGCCGCTCCCGCCGGAAAGGAGCCAACCGGATAGCGATGCCCAACCGGCCGACGGGAAACATCATGGATCCGATGCTTCAGCAGAACGTGGCTGCCGCCGGAGCTAATGCATCAGGATCCACCAGCAGTGGTGCGGTTAGTGGCGGTGCCAACAACAATAATAGCAGTAGCAGCAGCGGGAACAGCAATGCCACCGCCGCATCCACTTCCGGAGCAGCTGGAGCCGGTGGAGCAACTGCCGCAGCAGGAGCCTCCAATTCAGCAGAGTACTTTGATAGTGGCCAAGGGACCAGCAGTTCTGGTGGAGCCGCATCCTCGAGCTTCTCCGGCAGCTTCTACAATGTCCTGCAAATGATGGACACCACGGAGAGCTCGGGCGCCGGTTCCAGTCAGTCCACACCACCGTCTTTGGGAGCCTCCACCTCCACCACCTCGTCGTCGAAGTCAACCTGCGCCACAGCCGGACCCAGCACCGCCACAACGTCCGCCGCCGCGGCAGCTGCAGCCTCCGCTTCCACCGCCAGTAGTCACCAGAGCCCATACGACTTGCGCCGCAAGATCTCCGCCAGCAGCCACGAGCAGTGGCCCACCAGCTCCTCCTCCGCCGTGGCAACCGCCGCCGCCATACTCGTGGGACCATCGAGCAGCTCACCACCGTTGGTTAATCCCGGAGCCTCGCCATCCAGCTCTTCGTCGTCCTCCTCTTCTAGCTCGTCATCCTCGTCCGCCTCGTCGTCGAGCTCCTCTTCCAATGTGCAGGCGCCCTCGACCAGTGCCACCTTTCCGGTAAACAATGCACCCACCACGGGAGCCACGCTAGCGCAGCCCCCGAATGTCCATAGCTCAGTACCGCAGCAGCATTGTGGTGCCTTGCCCGTGGGAGCGGCCATCGAGGACAATAACTACATGCTGCCGGCGAGGAAGAGATCACGCCGCCTCTACACGCAAGGCGGTGAGATGGGACCAACTGCGGGGGCAACGGGGGAAGCAGCCGGAGCAGGGACGGCAGCTGCCGGAGGAGCGGGCTGTGCGCCCACGGCGGCCCAGTACCTTCAGTACGAACTGCCTGACGAGGTGCTGCTGGCCATATTCTCTTATTTGATGGAACAGGACCTCTGCCGCCTGGCACTCGTGTGCAAACGCTTCAACACCATCGCCAACGACACGGAGCTGTGGAAGCGCCTCTACCAGTCGGTCTTCGAGTACGACCTGCCTCTGTTCAATCCGGAGCTCTGCAAGTTTGTGTTTGAAAAACCGGAAGAGTCGGAGTACGCCAATCCGTGGAAGGAGAGCTTTCGGCAGCTGTATCGTGGCGTGCATGTGCGTCCCGGTTACCAGGAACGTCGCAGCTCGGGCCGAAGCATTGTTTTCTTTAACACGATTCAGGCAGCTTTGGACTACCCAGAAGAACGGGCCGCAGCGGGCGTCTTTGTGCCCGCTGGCGCAGGAGCTGGAAACTTGGTCTCCGCCGGTTTGTCCAACACTAGTGCAGCTTCGGGAGGCGCCGGAGCTGGTGGTGCCAGCGTAAATGCGCTGGTCAACATCTACGAGGAGCAGGTGGCGCCCACCGAGCATCCCGGACCTCTGATATTCCTCCATGCCGGCCACTACAAGGGCGAATATCTCTTTATCGACTCGGACGTAGCTTTGGTTGGAGCTGCACCTGGCAACGTGGCAGAATCGGTGATTCTGGAACGGGAGGCCGGCTCCACAGTGATGTTCGTAGAGGGAGCCAAGTACGCCTATGTGGGCTACCTTACGCTCAAGTTTTCGCCCGAAGTCACCTCCACGGTGTCGCATCATAAACACTATTGCTTGGACATCGGCGAGAACTGCTCCCCCACCGTTGACAACTGCATCATTCGCTCCACTTCAGTGGTGGGCGCTGCCGTCTGTGTTGGTGGTGTAAACGCCAATCCCGTGATCCGCAACTGCGATATCAGCGACTGCGAGAATGTAGGTCTCTACGTCACCGACTACGCCCAGGGAACCTACGAGCACAACGAGATCAGCCGGAATGCATTGGCTGGTATTTGGGTGAAGAACTTCGCCAGTCCAATCATGCGGGAGAACCACATACATCACGGTCGGGATGTGGGCATCTTTACCTTCGAAAACGGAATGGTAAGTTAAAAGAAATGTTTATTTTTTACTCTTCAATATATATTTATTAAATGCTTATTAACACTTTGAAAATATTTACTTATAAACGTTATTTCTTTCTGAATTTCCTCTTTGTAGGGTTACTTTGAGAAGAATGACATTCACAACAATCGCATAGCTGGTTTCGAAGTGAAGGCTGGCGCCAATCCCACCGTGGTCAAGTGCGAAATCCATCATGGCCAGACGGGCGGCATTTATGTACATGAGAATGGACTGGGTCAATTTATCGAGAACCGCATTCATTCAAATAACTTTGCAGGTAAGACGAAGCCGTGTCTCAACACTTTTATTTTCAAACTCAAACTCTTCTTCCAAAGGCGTTTGGATAACCTCTAACAGCAATCCCACAATTCGCAAGAATGAGATCTACAATGGACACCAAGGTGGCGTCTACATCTTCGGCGAGGGTCGCGGTCTGATCGAGCACAACAACATATACGGAAATGCACTGGCCGGAATTCAGATCCGCACCAACAGCGATCCCATAGTGCGGCACAATAAGATTCACCATGGGCAACACGGTGGCATCTATGTGCACGAAAAGGGCCAGGGGCTGATCGAAGAGAATGAGGTGTACTCCAACACTTTAGCCGGCGTGTGGATCACCACTGGAAGCACACCCGTTCTGCGACGTAATCGTATCCATTCGGGCAAACAGGTGGGAGTCTATTTCTACGACAACGGACACGGCAAATTGGAGGACAACGATATATTCAACCACCTGTACTCGGGAGTGCAGATCCGTACGGGCAGCAATCCGGTGATACGGGGAAACAAGATCTGGGGTGGTCAAAACGGCGGAGTACTCGTCTACAACGGCGGCTTGGGTCTGTTGGAACAGAACGAGATCTTCGACAACGCCATGGCCGGTGTTTGGATTAAGACCGACTCCAACCCGACGCTCAAGCGGAACAAGATCTACGATGGTCGCGATGGCGGCATCTGCATCTTCAACGGCGGCAAGGGGATCCTCGAGGAGAACGATATCTTCCGCAACACGCAGGCTGGTGTTCTGATCTCGACGCAGTCGCATCCAATCCTACGGCGAAATCGCATTTACGATGGACAGGCAGCGGGTGTGGAGATCACGAACAATGCAACGGCCACGCTGGAGCACAATCAGATATTCAAGAACAAATTCGGGGGCCTGTGCCTGGCCAGTGGTGTTCAGCCCATTACGCGGGGCAACAACATTTTCAACAACGAGGACGAGGTGGAGAAGGCTGTATCGAGCGGGCAGTGCCTGTACAAAATCAGCAGCTACACCTCCTTTCCCATGCACGACTTCTACCGCTGCCAGACCTGCAATACAACGGACCGCAACGCTATCTGCGTCAATTGCATAAAGAATTGTCATGCTGGCCATGACGTGGAGTTTATACGACACGATCGGTGAGTATTCCAGTATTAAATCGATTTGTTCTTTCGCTTTCGAAATGTTGACGATTGCTAACACTTCTCCGTTTTGTTCGACAGCTTCTTTTGCGACTGCGGTGCTGGCACCCTGTCCAACCAGTGTCAACTGCAGGGCGAGCCCACTCAGGACACGGACACGCTCTACGACTCGGCAGCGCCCATGGAATCACACACGCTGATGGTCAACTAAATAACTAACTTCGGCAGCTCGACCACGGTCCTATTCTTAGCTATATCTTAAGTCGTTAAGGCCAAGCTCTCAAATCTCTCGCACATCTTACGTGTTGCTGTAAATATTCGAAACAAAACCAACAAACAAAACACACTCTAATACAATTAATTGTATGTAAATAATAACTAATTACTCTTGCGTTCAAAATTTAACTCAATGTGCAATTTAGTTTAACGCGAACTCACACGCAAAGTTTTCACTTTTTAACTGAGCATGGAACAGATAAATCAATGCAAAACAAAAAACACTGAAACTTTTTCCATTTATGTCACAACGAATGATGAACAGAAAGGAGGAACGCCTTTATTACACAATGCATTTGTTTGTACGTCAAAATGTTGTAAACGAAGGAGGACAAAATGAATCCTCTCGAACCCAGTGAAGAACAATTTTGTAATGTAGATTAGTAGAGATTTTAAAATTACATCAATTAACATAAAATAAGTGTAAGCCATAGATATAAAGGAGATATATAGCACAGGCGAGCTAGTCGGCCCCTGACTAACAAAAATTCGAAGAAAGCAATTCTAAGTATTAACAACAAACTAGATTAGCAGCAGCCAATGCTTCAGCAAACTAACCTATGAATAACGAGTATAGTAAACACATAACATAACATTTAAACGGAATACAGCACACTATATAATTCATGCGAATCTATGCGAATTCTACTGAAACAGCACACGGACAAGATACAAAATCAAAAGCCTTTACCAAGCGTCAAATACCAAGCAATATTTCATGTCTAAATGTTGTAGAACAAATTTGTAGCTCAAACGTAAAAGAGAAATAGAAACAAACAAAAGCCATGTGTCATTTTAGTCGTGTAAGTTGATCAACAGTTTAGTATTTAGTTTGTCTTCGGGCCGAGTATTCGAATTATGCAAATCATTTTTTAGTTTAAGTCTGAAACGTATTTATAAGTGAACGCAAAAGCCCATAATTATTGCGTACATAGATGACATTATCCAATAACTGCGTGTGAATTAAGTATTTTGTTTTTATTGCCTAACATTTAATTTATATATATTTTGTTTGCCCGTGTTTTTCCCCCGACGGTTCAGTTTCGTAGGCCCTTACTCGCTGTACGGATCGAATAACCACATAAATACTGCATACTATATTCTATATTCAACTATATGAAATATACGAATCAGATTGTATTGTTTTACTAACAAAAATTTAAGTGCGTCCCCGACGTGCGACTATACTATGTAGAGATTGATTTTAATGTGTTACCTATGCAAGCTAATAACGTCGTCGCCCTTGACTTGGACAAACCACTAAATATACATACTTATATATACACAAGGTATAAGCTAATAATATTTGAAATTTGACAAAAAAAAAAAAAAAAAAGGTGGTTGAGAAATCTTTAATTGGGAATAATAACAATCCTTTTTAGTTCAAGCAGGCACAGGGATCTTGTTCTGCCAACTCGTTCTCCCGGAATCGCAGCAGGGTTATAATGTGGGCATGATTGGCTGCCTTGGCGTAGTCAATGGGCGCCATGCCCAGCTCATCCTTCACGTACGGATTTTCGTAGTGCGGGAGCAGATAGTCCACCACCTCGTGGTTGCCCAACTGGCAGGCGTAATGCAGAGCAGTGCGTCCGGTGCGATCGGCCAAGGTTAGATCAGCGCCAGCCAGACGGAAGGACTCCATTCGCTTAACCTTGCCCCGCTCCGTGAGGGCGCGCAGCAGCTCCGCCTGAACCAGTGGCTGGTCATTCAAAGTGGCGCCGTTCTTGAGCAGCACCTTGATAATTTCATGGTTGTCCGTGTCGATGGCCTCGTGCAGCGGCGTGCGGTTGAATCGATCGTGCACATTAACCGGACAGCCCGACGATACCAAAAAGCAGACGCAGTTCATCTTGCCGAGAAAGCAGGCCAGGTGCAGAGCGGAACGTCCATCGCAGTTGGTGTCGCACAGATTGGCTCCGTACTGCTTGAGATCGCTCAGCTTGTGGGTGTCGCCTTCGGTGACGGCAGATGCCACCAAAGCAGGATAAAATGTGGAGCACATTTGCTGTTTCTCCACCGCCGTGGACATGTGCAGTGTGCGAGCCACGCCCTCGATGAGATCGATGTCGTTGATCTTGGCCACCTTGTTGGTGGTCAACTCACCGCGCAGGCTCAACAGCATAACCTTCTTCTTGTTGGGCACATCCCACTCCGGCTTGGACAACACGTAGGCCAACTTGGCGAAGGCGGCCTCCTGGGTCAAGTCGTAGCCGGGGATCACGCCCAACTTGAGCAGTTCATTACCCGTCTCAGAAGTGTTCGTGACCATGCCCGCCGAACATTGCGAAATGTTCACGATAATGACACATCGGTGGATTGCCTCTCTTAGGGCGTCCATTAAATCCTCGCGACCCACCGGAAAGTTTCCAGCTCCGTAGGTCTGAAGGACAACACCTTTAATGGGCTCCTTCAGAAAGGCCTGCATCACACTGGCAGTTATGCCGGGATAAATCCTCAGCAAAGCCACGTTTTTCTCCAGTGCGCAGTGCAACGAAAACGGCTTAACGTTGCACGGCCGGAAGATCTGGCGGCTATTGATCTCAATGTTCACACCTACACGTCCCAAAGGAGGTAAGTTGGGTGAATCGATTGCGTGGAAGGAATCCGAATTGAGCTTCGTGGTACGACAGCCACGGAAGAGCTTGTTGCCAAAGAAGACGAGCACCTCGGGAATGTTGTAGTTGCCTGCCACCAGAAGGGCACCCAGAAAGTTGTCCCTTCCATCGGATCGAGCCTCGAAAATGGGAAGTTGAGCTCCAGTTACCACGACGGGCTTGTTAAGGTTCTCCAGCATAAAAGCCAGCATGGAAGCGGAGTAGGCCAAGGTATCCGTTCCGTGGAGAATCACAAAGCCGTCGTAGGAATTATACTTTTTCTATAATGGGTAAGAAATTAGACTAATAGTTTTCTGAATATTTCCTTATTTTAAAACCTTTTTTAAAGAGGATTTTGGTATTTTAACTACCTCTAAAAATGAAAGAAATATTTACAGGTGAAATCTAATTGCAAGTTAAATGTTTTTTACATCTGTATCTATATTTTTTTCCACTTTATACGGTAAGATTATTATTAACTTACTCCCACTTCATGAGCCATGCGCTGCCAGTCACTAAAACCCATGCAACTGGATTCCAACAGGGGATCGAATTCGACCAAATCGTAAAGGACACGATACGGAGCCCCCGAAACTGCTGGAAGTGCCAATAAACATTTTTCATCTGTCTTGTTAGCAACTGTTTGATCGTGGCAGCTAGGAATATCGCGAAGCTTCTTTTCCAACATTTTGGGCACGGTCGTTAATACTAGTTAAAAGCTAGGTATTGGTAAAGCACATGATAGAGCTATAGATTCACCCACCTCCGGACTCGTTGCGTATCATTCCGATAGTTCCTCCCACGTAAATAACATGGACGCGAGTTTCATATTTGGTGCACCCGCACTTCCCAGCTGGCATGTTGACAGGATTCCAAGATTACGGTTGGCTACGAAAAATTTGGAATTTTCGAAAACAAAATTAAGGCTTAGTTCCAAATGTATAGGACAGACACTGAGCTCCATGAGTCCTATGGTCATTTTTATTTGGGTGAAACTATGATTTAAAAAATACCGCCACACGAAATGTACCGTTGTCGCCTTTTGGTGTGACCATCATCCAGTGGCTTTTGATAAGAATTAGAGGTGGACATATCTTAGTTAATTGTTTTTTATTTAAAATTCGATCTATGGCTCGTTATGTGTTTTATGTTCCTTAACTTTTCATTTAAACACATATATATTTGTTTTATTGTTCCAGTTCAAATTTTCGTATCTTTTGTCAAACAAAAAATTCATTGCAAACAATCGCTCACGACAAGTGTCACGCAAGATTAGCCCATCCCTAGTTTCGACAGTGCAGTGCAACAAATAATAAATAAATAAATAGCCTGCGCAACTCGTTAAACGAATAAATTGCACCCCGCAGCGCGTCGAGTGGGTTGGGTACCGAGTCATCCGAGTTATCTGCTCCGCTGGTGCGGCTGCCCCAGCGTCCGCCGTATCAGTCGCTTGCTAGAGCGCTGGAAGAACGGAAGACGGAAGCCACACAAATAGAGACGCACTTAGAGCGATCCACTCCGTCCGCTGCTCCGGCAGCCCACGGGCCATCGGATTGCCATGTCCTACTTCACGCACGCAGCCAGCAGCGATCTGGTCAACCTCAATGTGGGTGGTCAGCGGTAAGAACAAAGAAACCCGAATGGATTGACCAGCAGTGATACTGATGACGCATGCAATATCCATCTCACTATCCACAGCTTTTCCACGTCGCGACAAACGCTTACGTGGATCCCGGACACGTTTTTCACAGCCCTCCTCAGCGGTCGCATCTCGAGCTTGAGGGACGAGCACAACGCCATCTTTATTGACCGCGATCCTACGCTCTTTTCCATCATCCTCAACTACCTGAGGACCAAGGATATCGACATCAAGAACTGCGAGATCCGCGCACTGCGCCACGAGTCCGAGTACTATGGCATCACGCCGTTGACCAAGCGACTGGCACTCTGCGAAGACCTTAATCACTCGTCCTGTGGCGATGTGCTCTTTTACGGCTTTCTGGCGGCACCGCCTATGCCATCCAACGAAGCTGTGCCAGCTGCAGCCGTCGATGAGCCACAGCCCTCCACTTCGTCGAATGCAGGTCCGGCACGTCCCGGATCCATGGTGCGGTTCCCGGAACCATCGCGTACCTCACACTCGCGCAATTCGTCGTGGGATCTAGGCCGCCACAATCGCACTGGCAGCAGTGGCAATGGTGCCAATCCGCCGGCTCCCATGCTGCACTCGCGGAATCCATCCATGGACTTTATGCGGCACTCGCGGAACTCCTCAGCGGATTTAAACAAAGTATTTCGGAACGAAGTGGGTCTGGTGTTTAGTCCCACACAGAACTCTAACTGGGTGGACCCCATGCGGGTGCAGATTATCAAGGCGCATCAGAACTGGATAGCAGTGGCCTACGCCCACTTTGTGACCTGCTATCGCGTCAAAGATTCCAACGGCTGGCAGCAGGTGTTTACGTCGCCTCACATCGATGCCACCATCGAGAGGATAGCCATCAACTCGAAGGTGAACACATCCACGGCGGAACCAGTGCCCAGCAAAATGGTGGCTATCTCGTACGGCAGTCAGATTCGACTTTGGAGCATCCAGGATGGCGGGCAAAAGAAAGACGTGGGCACCTTCAATCTAAATGTACGCGTGGAGTATCTTTTCTTCATCGGCAGCCAGTTGGTAGCCCTATCCTCTTCCGGCAAGATTGGAGTGTGGCACGCCATGACCCAGCACTGGCAGATCCAGGACCTGGTGCCGGTGCTCTCCTTCGATTCGGCAGGCTCGTTTCTTCTGCTGGGCTGCAACAACGGTTCCATCTACTACATAGACATGCAGAAATTTCCGCTTCGAATGAAGGATAATGATTTGTTGGTCACCGAGCTGTACAAGGATGCCACATTGGACCCCATCACGGCCATTTCGGTGTACCTCACCCCGAAAACCTCGAGCATTAGTGGCAATTGGATCGAGATCGCCTACGGCACCAAGTCGGGAGCGGTGCGGATTATTGTCCAGCATCCAGAGACGGCTGGCCATGGCCCGCACTTGTTCGAGACCTTCTTCGTGCACCAGAGCCCCGTTACTAAGGTTATGCTCTCGGAGAAATACCTTGTTTCGGTGTGCAGCGAATACCACCATGTGCGAACGTGGAGTCTGACTCGTTTCCGTGGAATGCTCTCTACTCAACCGGGCTCCACGCCGGAGGCCTCATTCAAAATTGTTTCGCTGGAGGCCACCGACACCAGCTACAGCTATGCGGCTGGGAACGATTTCGGTCCCTACGGCGACTACGAGTACATGATCTTTGTCCAGAAGGTAGTGCCCGAGACGGATCAACTGTACGTGCGCTTGGCTTCCAACGGTGATCGGGTCTGCGTCATCCGATCCGTGGACAGCTCGACAATTTCGGCTTTCTGTGTGCACGAGTGCGAGGTATCTTCGCGCATGGGATCCCGCTTCATACTCACTGGTCACTGCAACGGCGCAATCCAGATGTGGGACCTAACCACAGCGCTGCTCTCCAAGGACGAGCCCCAGCAGAAAACCAACGGCGGACCCGACACCAATGAGCTTCTCCGCCTACTTGACCAGTGTGAAATCAGCAATTCATCATGCTCAACACCTTGTATGTCACCGTGTCTATCAGCTATGGGCAACGGCTCTGGAATGGCCTCCTCCATAGCCCGCATGAAGGCCAGTAATATAGCCTTGCTTAATCGGGAGCCAGTTGCGGCTGCCCCGGCGCAGGCGCCTGCCCAGGTGCAAGCTCCTCCAGCGGCGGCAGTGGAGCCGGCTGGAATCCCGATGGCTGACGACAACAACGAATGAGACGTGGAAGCGGCTGCTTGGTCGGCGCTTGTCGGGCGCGTTTCATTGTTCACATTTCACAGGTGTAGCTTGATTTTCGACTACCAATTTATATTCCTGCAGTTCGTGGTGTGCGCCCTGCTCTACGTCTGGGTGACGCGACTGACGCGCGGCACAACACCTGCTCCGTGATGGACTGCCAGCAGGCATTTACCCAATCAGATAATCTCCATTATATGTGCTCGATGTGGTTGCAGATGCAATGTGTGTATCCCCGTTAACCCCATGTTTGTGTGCCCCAACTTGTGGATCGTACAGTTAGTAATCTTTAAAACGCCTTTGTTCTAGTTAAAATGATGGAAATTAGTTAAAACCATAGTTAAAACAATGTAAACCAGAGTATAAGACTTCTGCAACCGATCTATAATTAGCACTACTTTTAAGGGTGCTCCACTGGGACAGAATCGGAAACCTTATCAAATGCTGATCTGAACAGTGGATAAGATAGGTTGCCTAGGACAAAGAAAGTTCATTGAACAACTAATTAGTTCTTTGTTCGCTTGTCAACCTTGAAGATTGTTATTTGTGATTTAAAATTGGCTGAGTAGTTGGTGCGAATTCGGTGTGCATGACCGATTCTGTCCTGGTGGAAACCCTCACATAAATATATTGATCCGCCTCGTTGCAACACGTAAACAGCTATACATATGCAATAAAAATAAACATAATTATACACCTACTGATATCAAAAATAGCAACAGCTTTGTGTCATCAATAATTTATTGAACATTTTATCTTAGTTTCTTGTTGGTTGAATACTTGGAAGTGTTCTATTAACATTTATCAAATACAAATACTTGGCTTGCCTTCTCGTGGGTATTGTGTGTGTAAATATGTGTTGTATATCCCTACGCCTATACTGGACCTCAGTAAAGTAAAAAGCAGCAAAAACGCCAAAACATATAAAAATATATATAATATACATATATGTATAATATTATAGGTTGCTCCTTATGCCCGCCCTTTAAATATCATTGGCCTAAGCACAACCCACTGCCGACCGCCGGTGTGCCTGTCATTTCAAACAAATGGCGCGTCAAGTGAGAGCCCCTGCATTCAATTTACCTAAAATAGGACGCACTGGTACTGAGATAGAATAATAATAATCGAGTGGTTACTTGGGGCGATTACCCACCCTCGCCCGGAAGCAATTGTCGAGCTGATCATACAAATAGTTTGTACACAAAGTCAACCTAAAGCTACGCTATATACTAAAGGGCAAACCGATATGAAGCTTTGCCGGCCGCATGCGAATTACGATGGGATGGCTGCTGTCCCGATCTGCCCGTGGGTCAGTGACCCGCTAAAGTGCAATATAAGACTGTCGCTTGGCGAGCGCCGTTCCTAACTACGATGTAAGCGTGAGTGAGAGGGGTCTGTGCATCGAATGGATGATATGTGCGTGAGGAATTGCTTAGCAAAAAACTGATGATGGGAGATCCAGCTCACTGGTCACTCTGTTCAACTGGCTACACCTGGAAATAGTCGTCCACCAGCAACTGCTCGCTTGGCGTGGAGGCTGTCCCACTCAGCGGACTGCTCGCCTGCGTGTCGGACTCCTGATCCGTCTGCAGCGGCTCGTAGCCCGGCTCCATTCCACTGCTGGTGCTGGTCGTCGTCGTCGTTGTGATCGTGGCAGTGGCGGCTGCTGTGGTTAGATAGCACACCGACTCGTAATTGGGATCCGTTTCACTACCCGTTCCCGTAAGCGATTCATACTGCGAGGACTGCGGCGTGCTGGTGGCAACCGTTGAGGAGTTGAGTGACACGGAATTGGATGTGGAGCTGGGCGAGGTGAGAGTCAGGCGACTACCACCACTGCCCGGTGTTCCAGCCACTGCGCTTTCCGCTATCCGCGCATAGTGATCCGTTTCCGCGGCGGCCTTTGTCTCTAGTATGCTGGCATAGTTGTGATTGGCATCCGCTCCTGGAATGGTGCTATAGCCGGCGGCATCAGCAGAGTTCGGCGGTCGCTTCTTCTCCAGCACCTTTGCATAGCCGTCGTCGGAGTGGGCGCGACTCTTGAGCACCTCATAGTTAGGATCGTAGTCCGATTTTTTCGCCTCATCCTCGCCCGCGGGAACAGGGTGCAGTTGCAGTTGCTCGTAGCCTGGATCGTTGTTGCTGCTGGTCGGCGGCGGTGGCTGTGGCTGGTTAAGAATAGTCTTGTAGTGCTTTGTGCTGGCGCTGATCGCAATTGCTGTTGCTATCGTAACGGGCTGGGCAATCGCTGAAAGGGCGGCGAAAATAATTGATCATTAGTCATCAGCTTTGAATAGCCTATTTACTAGGATGAGAAATGTTGATGGATTTTTGCAGGCGATACTAACCACGGCTACATCCAAACAAAAACTTATGAAATTTTCGCTGTTTGAGTTGTACAAACACGGAAATTTCTCATTTTGGCATAGCAACTAAGTTTGGGAAGGCATTTTTATTGGAGAGACAGATAGATAGACAGGTAGATTAGGCATTAGGCTGGGATTAACGACTTATCCAGGGTAAAATGTATGGATCTCAAGATCACATTTTACTCTGAAGTCATCGACAAGGACGTTTTAAAAGGATTTGAGAGAAACTATCGACATACCTCCTCCTTCCTGCTGTCGTTCCTTCTGCAACATGTTGGCTGCATAGCAATCAGACTTGCGGTTTTCGTGCATCACCTGACCATCGGCTGGAATAGTTTCGTATCCGTGATCCTTGGCTGAGTAGCTGTTGCTTCGTCCACGACCCTTCTGGGCATCCACTAACAATGCCGCTGCACTATCCAATGGACTCACACCCAAGGCATCCTGTTGCTGCTTTCGGGCCAGGATGGGCGAGCTGTTCTGCGAGGAGGGAGAGTTCCTCGAAAATTTGTGCTTTTTCATGACCTACGGAAATTTTAAATGCTTAACCTGAGATATGTGATTTTATTAATGATTCTTCTTACCTTAGCGTACATGCCCTCTATGTTTTTATTGCCTTCGCCATCTTTGGAGGGACTAAGACTCTTGCTATGTTTGCGTTGCGGTGACGCTTCTCCAGTCTCCGCTTCGTGGCCTTCGCCACCCGTTTCGATCACCGAAATTACCGAGTTTCTGCCGGAAGTTAGGTTGCTAATGCTGCCGGCGTGTAGGTGATGCGACTGACCCACACTTGCCTTGGGCGTTGGTGGCAGAGGCGAGTTGGCTTGGCGCTTCTCTGGCTTTGGTGAGCCCAGATTGCAGACGGTTGTGCTGTTGTTTGACGAGGAAGAAGCCTGACGCGAGTGCATCTGGGCTCGCAAACTGTCCACCGGCGGGGAACCGGCATGCCGTGATCGGCTCCACTACTACTGGTGGGTCTATGAACTCCGCTACTGGCTCCGCTCCCAGCTATTACGACGGACGGACTTGCGGTCGGAAGGCTGCTGCTGTTATTGATCTCGACGGCCACCACTATCGGATTGGCCTGCATGGGCTGAATTTGTGCGTAGGTCTCCGAGCCGCTTGTGTATATATCGATGGCGTTGACCTGGTGTCGATTATTGGGATCCTCAATTGCGGCATATGTTTCATCTAAAAAAAAAGAACATAAATAATATCAGTTTCTGTATTGAAAATATCAAAACAAGAGCAACGCAATAAAAACTTGGATGATTAACAGAACTAGTAATCGCCCTATAAAATGGTTTATTTTTTCGTGACTCACCAGAATCGTCGGATACGGTGGCGTAATGCGAGTCGTTAACATCGCGCGATAAAGCTGGGTTTCTGTTTGACGTTTTCCCTGGTGGCTGTTGGGCCAAAATGTTGGCGAGTGGTTCTCTCACACTAATGCTTGTGTATCCCTCTGTGTGCAATAAACGTTTAGGGACATTACATCACCTCGCGTGCCGCATACTTACTGGATGAGTCCTGCGAGTCGCCGCTAAAATGCTGGTTAGCAATGGGCGGGGTCATATAGGGGAGATCCTGGCTAGCAGAAATCATGCCTGCTATCGCCGAGGCAGCAGGAATCTCAGCCTGTGCCGGCGCCGAGTCATTGTGCTCCCTGGACCCCTCACTATGCTGTGAACTGCGATGCATGGGATCATTGCCATCACCAGACGATCCAGCCACAACTGCTGCCGCCGCAGCTGCTGCAGCTGATCCATGGTTGGCCGCATGAGAAGTAGATGGAGCATTCAATTGGGCGTAGGGATGCTCAGTGCCACGCACCTTAGCGTAATCATGCGGCAGACCCTTGACACGCGAATACGGCGAGCTGACATCGTCCGCCTGGCTGATGGAACTGTGCTGCGACACGCTGGTCTGCTTCTTCATACTCGGTTGGGCTGCAGTATGTCAAGAAGAAGATGTAGTGCTTCTCTTTGGGTTACTATTCCACTCTACTTACGACTCTGGCTACGGGTGTTGCGATCATCTACCAGCTGCTTGTCCGCCACGGTTTCGTATAGTTCGGACCCATTATCATTGCTTTCGGCCACTGGAATGTCAGGTAGACTGCGATGGGCCGCAGTACTTGAACTGAAATTGATATATGGTTAGTTTCTGCTTCTTATATTATGTTAAAAGTGATAAAAACAACCACTTACCGCTTTTCCGAGTCTGCATTCGAGACTGTGGAGGCGTTCAGCTCCGCTTGAGACTCGCTGTTGCCCACCAGGTTTGTGACCACGATGACCTCGTCGGGATTCTTTAGCTTGACCATGCCCTCCAGGCCCATCAAATCATTTCTGGTTAGTAAGAGGAGGGGATTAAGAGTGTGTTTAGTGGCATGGGTTCATCCGACTGGAACTGGGCGGTTTAACGGCGGAGACCCACTTTCACTCTCTCGCAAGTCAGCACCACCGCCCCAATCCCGCCAGAGAAAATAACGGAGTTCCGAACATTCGAGGGCCTTCAATCAGTAGCTGGGACTTACTTGGGGATGCGCTTCTTGCAGCAGAGACAAGCGCCCAGCATCACGATGAAAGTGAGCGTCAGGCTTAGGGTCGCCAGGAGGTACGTGTACGAGTTAGGGGCCTCTAATCGTAGCTCCGACGTCGTGGCCTCGACCATGACCATGTCGCTGTGTGTACATATGCACTATGTACCCATTTAGCACTTGCAGTGACCGCTGCACATATATTATTTGCTACCTTTCGTAAAGCAAATCTTTTATTTTTTTTGGCCCACCAAACGAAACAGACAACAACAAGAACGCGACTGACGTACGGTCATACAAGGTGCGGTCTTACTTTAATGCGTAAACTAGCCATTTGTTGTTGCTTTCTGACGGTCATACTAAAAATACCGCCTGCACTTAACGGTTTACTTTTTTCTCCATGTAGGCGAAATGTGTTTTATTTTAAGAAAATTTGTTTAAATTTTTCAGTTTAACTTCATGAGAATTTATTATCAAATAAATGATATTTGGTATCAAAACTATATCTAAGCTGAATAGCAGCTTAAAAGGTTTTGTGCATCACACAATCTTAAATCTAATTTATTCGCTTGGCACGTTTAGTGATTGCTTGAACATTTTAAAGTTCTGTGTGCTTAAAAATCGTTTTTTCGATAGTTTCCTGCAGTTTCTCAACCTTTCGGGTTTGCTTCTTTAGCTGATCCTCCATTTCCTCAAAGCGGTTACTCTTATCCTTGTGTTTTTCGCCCTTAAAGTTTAGATACATTAGACTTTTTAAAAAGTTGTATGTAATTTCCGTCGTATACCTTGTACTTCTCCACATGTAAAGCATGCTCAGCATGCAGGTGACGCAGCTTTAACAAGCGGCTTTCAAAATGATGCAACTCTGTCTTGATGGACTCCAGTTCCTTATCCGTGAAATTGCTAGATTGAGCCACTCGCCAAAGACCCTGTACCTTTGGCTCTATGAAATCCTGACTGTGGGGGCCGGAGGACACCAGGCGCTCCAGTCTATCGTAGTGATCCTTTATGCCCACGTGATGACTGCGAAGTGTGTTCAGATCGTTTTCAAAGCTTTTTACATTCTGTGCATGGGTTTTGATCTCATTTTCATTGGCATCATTTGAAATCAGGTTGTAGGTGTCCAAATCTTCCGTGTTTATGGCATCTTAGACCGAAAACAAACAAATTATATGTGTTTATCATCGTATTTTGGCTTACTTACTTTCATGCTTAGCGGTATCGACAGTGCCGATATTTTCGAGCAGACTGTAGTACACATCAACCTTGTCCTGGTGATGATCAAACTCCTGCTTTAATGACTTCAATTCTTCCGCAGTAAATCCAGAAATTTCTGCCTTTTCCCATAGCCTATTAAGTTTTTTATCCTTGAACAGGCTTTTGTTTCTGTGGCGATCCTCGGCGTCGTGGAATTTCTACAAGAAAATCGGAGTAAATCAAATTAACCGGTCGATTTTTAATGTAAGAAATTTTAATTGCCTTGTAAGGTTTTAGCTTTTCAGAGTTCTGCGTATCGTCAAAATGCTCTAGCAAATCGTAGCTGCTCATTATGCCAATGAGCTTGCGCCGCAGCTCATCATCCTTTAGGCCATCCTTGTCCTTGTGCTGCGAATTAAGCTGCTTCCAGGCGATCTCCTCCTTATCTTGGATCTTTAGTTCCATGTATAGCGACTTAAGCTTGGGTTCTGTTAAGCGCTGGAGACGAAATTTAAATACAGAAACAGCGAATTTTCGAAAGTTTTGCAACTTACGTTCTGTGCCTTGGCCCATACGAGATTCAATTTTGCCATCCGGAAAGGTCGCTGGATACTCTTAAAATCCGGATCATACTTCTCCTGCTTCACTTGCTGGAAATGCAGGTCGTTGGCCTCTTTGCTGTACTTCTTGCTCTGTTTTTTGTCGGCATCCGCGCCCTGCGATGCAATCAGCAGAAAAAGAGCAATGGTTGCCACTACCGATGCTGACCTAACCATTTTCCTCGTGGTTTTTTTCCGGCTTAAAGGCACATGAAACTTTTCTATGACCTGGCTATTCACAGTTATTCACTATAAGCGGAGTGGCCAGCTTTATGGGAATCAAAAGCGATGTATGGCCAGTGTGACCACCTAGCGATCACTAAAAGCCGCTGAAGTAGTGAGTTTAAGTATTAAAATTTTACTAATTCATTAAATATTGGTTATTTCTTTATTTTAATTCTAAGATCAAATATTAAATATATATATATTTTTTTAATTTTCCCTATTTAATTTAAAAATATATATAGTGGGCATATACCTGTTCCCAGCACTAACCAACAAACTGGCCACACTGTTAATTTACCTATCGCTGCATAAACGCGCCATTGCATATCTGGATTGTTTTTAAGTCTTGTTCACAAAAGGGCGCCCAAAAAGGACCTAATACAATGAGGACAGGGGCAGCGGTTATTTGCTTCCTGTTGGTGTTTCACAGCGTTTGCTGCCAAAGCGAAGGCGAAGAGAACTGGGTGGATCCGCATGACAACTGGTCGGGCTTGGTGCAAGATTTCAGTCACCCGGAAGGATTTTGTCAATGTCCTGCGACTCCGGAGCAGTCTCCTGCCGCCCTAGAGGATGGCCTAGCCCTTATATACTTCAAAAAGTTCGTCAATCAATTGTTCCAACGCCAGCGATTACAGGTGAGTTCGCTTGGGACCAAATTTGGCGACATGACGTCATGAATGTAACTTTTGTGTAAATAGTACGATGCTAAATCAGCGCTCTACAAACGCTCAATACTTTTTTCGCTGATGCCATCGCAATTGGAGGAACTAGAGAAGGTGAAGGATGCCCGGGATCTGGATATTTGGCTCACCAAAATTATGGAGCGTGCCGTAATACCGCCACTGTTTACGGGCCAGTCCGAATATTCTTATTTCCGCCAGGGTGTTCTCTCCTTTTTATTGGGTATTTTAAAGTTCATCGTAGCGCTGACAAAAATATCCGAGGTACCCTGATATGGAAACTTGGCCCTGCCTTATATTAACTTCCGTCTTCCCCAGGTTCAATTTATGCTATTTGCAGCATCAGCCATTGGACTTGCCTGCCTTGTGCGCAAACGTTACCGTATCGGGCTAATTTCAATAGTTTTTGGAGGAATTTTTTTATGTGGATATATTTACAAATATTTAGAGTGCAACAGAGTAAGAAACAAATTTAAGGAAACCGAAATTGCTGTTATTTGGTACTTGATTTTAGAAATTAGAAGTCGAAGCCATGGTGGAAGTTCTGACTGGGAATAGCGCGGAAGTGTCCTGGTTTGGAAAACTGAAAGGAGTATTCTTTTCACAGGATGACGCAAAAATCGAGATGCTTAAGTAAGACTTTTATATGCAACGAAAAAAAACCTTTCAAAATTTGTTGAACTTCAGAAAATCTTCAAAGATGAATCTTTCAATCTGTATGCCTGATCAAGTTCTTTTTATGTATTTGAACGACCTGTTCATTAAACAGTTAGAAATGTTATTGGAAAGGATGTCCGAAACTATGACTAGACTATCGTGTAAGTTTTTGATTTTATAAAAATTATCTGTTGTTTCTGGAATCACGATAACGATTTTCTTTGCAGTTGGATTATCGTTTCCGTTTAACATCCTCTCGCCTATTTTATTGGTGGCCTTGGTTATGTACATTATAAAGTTAACTTTTAAGTACATCGTCAGCCCTAAGGCTTGGGCCTCAATTCTTCACAAAAATCCAACCCCGATTAACACACAAACTGCTCAGCATTCAATCAGGAATAAGGAGCCTGTCACGGACAGCATATCGGGTGAAAACCTAAAGATGTTGTTGAATGTAATGCACGTGAACACTGTTCAGCAGCAGTCAAAACAAACGCCGAGACTACCCGCCGTTTCGGGGGTCCAGGAGCTAGTAGAACCGGTAGAGAATCCCCCTTCACCGGAGAAAAAAGAAAATATAGATGTCAGCGATTCCAGCAGCAAAAGCAGAAACAGCAGCGTTAGGGAAGAAGAAGGATTCACGCTGGTCGACGATCACGAAGATGATTATAATGATAATATGTAGCGTTAAGCTGAAAACTTAATTTGTATTATAAGTGTTCCATCCGTTATTTTTTTTTTCAGTCAGAGTCCGTCAATGCTCGGCAAATAATTCAGTTTTTTAGTTGATTTGTCGTAGTTAAATTTTTATTTAAATTATTTTGCATGTTCTTATTCTTCTTTGCACGATAAGTGTTATTAAGATAAATCTTCAACAATAAGATCTTTTAAGTAGGCCACCAAACTGTTTATATTTTTCTTGTTATTTACGCTGCCGGCCTTTCAAAAAATCGGATATATTTTCTATGTAACTGGTTGATCCTTTATATTTACAACTTGGCGCTCAGGCGATTATTTTTATATTATTAGCAGTGGGCGCTCCGTGTGAGTTGCATATTAATTGAATGTAAGCAATAATTAAATATTCGGTTTTCAAATCTTGTAAAATCTAATTCAATATGTATACAACTAATATAATTATATATCTATGTATATAGATCTATATGATGTGTATATATTTGTAAGTAAAAATTAGAAAAGAATTTCGGTGTAAATATATTTATTCGTTGTATTTTAAATCATGCACCTAAAATGTATTATGTTTTAATTACAATTCATTGTTATTATAATTTGTTTGCAACTAAGTACTTTTACGCATTGGTGAAATGTACTGTGTGGAAAATGTAATCCATTACACGGCACATACTAAATAGCCAAAACCCAGTTTGCTGTCTATAATTAAAAGTACCTAAAACTAGGAAAACACGAAGCAGAACCCAAAGCATAGGCAGGCTACCCATAATTCTCAACTAAGGCTGGCATATTTTCAATCAATAGTCCATGTCTATGGCAAACCGAGAGAATTTATCTAAATTGATTTCACAAATCTTATACGCAAATTGGTCCGCTATCATAATCTTGATTAATAATTTCTCTACTCGAATTCAACAATTTATTTTAGATCTAGTGTGTAATTTCCACCTCTTGATTTGTATTGGCTGTTCTACTTATTTGTCCGGCACTGCTGGACGGCGGACCAGCAGCCAAAGATACCAGTTTTGATGAGCAACATCATAATTAATGTAATTACTTGCCCATTTGTTGGCTAATTGGTTTAGCAGCGATTAAAGCATATCATTCACTTAGTCTGATTGGTAAAATTTAAAAACTAATCGTCTTAATATCAAACAACAGCAAACTATGCGAAACAATTTGTTCAACTCCTACGCCTACGCACAAGCCAATCAACGATTTAAAACAACGAATACCACAATTGGGAACGGTTTGTGTTAAGTTATACATACGTACGATACACAAGTGTTTTTTAAAAACAGGCAACTTATATTCCTTCTATGCTACTGCAAAAAATGCACCAAATGCTCTTCAAATATCCTTCGATGTACGTGTTCCTTGGCTCACTTGATGAATGCAATTTTTTTTGAACTGAATTCTGACTTAGGCTAACTCTCTATCTGATCCTGTCGATTTTTGCTGCTATTAAAATGCTCTTGTCAATAAATTTCAGCAAATAAGTGTAAAATTGTACATACACATTTAATATAATACAAAAACACAATGCCATCGCGAATTAGTTTATGTTTTCTTTCTTTGGGTGTTGTTGGCCATGAGTATTTTATACATTAGCTTATGTGGCGATCGGGGCTCGTCAAAATCTGTATTATTCTGGTTAGGTGGTAAATAGTTAAACAGCAATGATAGTCACGATGGTCTCCATGTGGCGACCAAGAAGAAGTCTTCCATAGATGGATCCATGTAAATATTGTTATCATATCGTAGTAGATACAGATTCTATGTCTTTAAATAGGTACTTTGGCTTTCGTTAGAGATATAGTGTGTATAGCTTTGTTCGATACCTGGTTATGAATGGGTGGTGGATCATGCAAGTATGTAAACATTTGATATGTATGCCGTTACGTTCCAGATGCGATTATGTATGTGTAAACTTAGGTCTTAGCTTTCGTGGTGTGATTTTTGGTATAGTATCGTATCTGTGCGACTAGAAAGATTCAGATCTGCTCGAATATATGTATATAACCTATGCAAACTATACTCGTAATCGTAATTGCAATCGTGGTGTGGCTAACATCGGTTCCTAAATACAAGTGTCTCGTTATGGATGTAACTCTATATGCGGGTTAGTGGGTGTGTGGGGTATTGAGGGTTGTGGGTTGTGGGGGGTGTGTGTGGTGCATGGCCCGTGTGGGTGGATGTTTCGAGGTGGTACCCAAGCTACCCCAAACGAGCATCCAACCCACGCTGCTGCCCCAAGGCGAGTATTTGTCTGTCACCGTCTCCATTTGCCCGATGCAATGTGACCCGGGTCACATACCATCCTTTCCTTTCCTGTCATCCTGCCATCCAGCCATCCGATGCTTACATAACGCGACACTTTTCCTTGGCCCCTCCACTGGCACTGGCCCCCGCGTCCCCGTTCTCCGGAATGGAGCCGTTTGTGTCCTTGGACTTCTTCTCCTTCTTCTGCTTCTTCTGCTTCTTGGTGTCCAGCTGCAGGGAGACGGTGCGCGTCTTCTCCATATTGAGCAGCTCCTGGAACAACTCGGTTACGTTGTGATTCGTCTTGGCCGACGTCTCCATAAAGGATATGCTCCAAGTGGTAGCCTGCGCCTGACCCTCGGCCTGGGAGACCTGCGGATAAGGAGTTGGCTTAGAGCTTCTACACAAAAAGTGGTTCTAGTTTTTGAATAGAGTTTAAGTAAAGAAAACTGAGCATGAGATCATAATAAGTATATATGATACATATATTTTACTTTTTCACCCAGCCCTCTCTACGGTTTTCTTAATGTTTCGATTAATAAAAGGTGCTAATCGTTCTAACCTCTCGCAACTCGGCGGTCTCATCACACTTGTTGCCCACCAGCATAACAGGAATGTTTGGGATGTCGGCTCCCTGTTAAAACAAAAGTGTTAAAAACTATGGGTTTTAGAAATTATTTGATGATTACGACGCACCTTCAGCTCCTTGATGAGCGCCCAAATGGGTCGCAGCTCCTCCAGACTCTGCTTAGAGCACACCGAGTAGACCAGGATGAAGGCGTGTCCCTTCGAGATGGACAGCCTTTGCATGGCCGGAAATTGGTGCGAGCCCGTGGTGTCCGTGATTTGCAGCGTGCAGATGTTCTTGTTGCAGCTAATGACCTGTGGAGTTACTAAGGATTACAGAGAGTCCCTTACCAGGAAAGGGGACTAACCTGTCTGTAGGTGTCCTCGATGGTCGGGATGTAGCTCTCGCGAAAGGTGCCTTTGATGAAGCGCAGCACCAGCGAACTCTTGCCCACACCGCCGGCTCCAAAGACCACCACCCGGTAGTCATTGCTTTGCTCCGGAGCAGCCCGCGTCACCTGGTTCTTCTGCTCCGTCATACCGGATTTTGCCCGTCGCCTCTATCGGATTCGAGGTGGAAATAGTTTGAGAGAGAAACAGGAGCTGGAGCTTGTTGGCTTGCTGTCGGGCGCTGGTGGAATGTTCTACTTGGGCGCCATGCTTTCGTTTATCTGCAACGATTAAGAGCAAATCAGCCAGGCCACAACGCCCACGCACGCACAAACTTTCCGGGTCGACTCGGTTGTGGGTGGAGAGTGGGCGTGTGGGTGGATTGCTGGGTGCTGGGTGGCTCGTTTGTTGGCTGCTTGTGGGTGGCACTGCTTTAGGGTCCCGAAACAAAAAAATTACGAAAAAAGGAAGCTAGGTTTCGCAAGCAGATATCCACATACACTCAATATTAAACAAATAAAAAACAAATCATTAAAAAAACAAAGGTCATACCAAACTAATATTAAAGTAAATCTTGCTGGGTTTCTTTTCGAAGTAAATGGCAAACAACAAAAACTTTACGAAAAAGTGAATTGAAGTAACACAGGAAACACAATGGAGAAAAACATTAACGCATATTGATTTTATCTAATTTGTTTTAAAAATTAAAGATTAATATTAAAAGTGACCAAACTAATTAAAGAACTATTATACTCCGTTTTCAAGGGTATAGCAAAAGGGGAAACAATGCGTGAGAGTGTGCCGCTAATTTTAGACATGTGCCAAGGAAGGGTATTGATTTTTTGTCCGACTGGCAGATCGGCATCAACCTCTCCTCTTCATTATCACTGTGATTATGATTGCCCAGGGTTAAGGGCATATAAATAGGCCTGCTTTGAAGGCGAGTGTCCCGTATCCAATGGGTTTCCTGCCCATCAGCCCACACACACACACTTGCACACTAACACTAAAACATACTAGCCGTAACTGCTCACTTCCGCTTGATTGTCCTGGTGGCACCTTTGGCACGCCCCCTTTTGGCGACCCGCCTTCCGATTTTCTACCGTTTTGTTTTCTCGCACTGTTTTCACACTCTCTCTTTTTGTTTTTCCACCTTCGTACACCTCACGGTCTCTTTGCTTTTGGGATTTTCCTCGCTTTATTTTGACTTGGATTTATCGATTTTATCTGCACTGCACTTGCCACCCACACAATCGCGTTTCCCTTCGGGAAAACATGGGCAGTAAAGCCCGCAGGAAAGTGGTTAACCCACAGGATTCGAGAATTACCCTATTGCGTCGCAATATTTACTTGCATTTCGTTGCACTGGAATTCGTTGCAGGACAGGATCTGATGCCCGATGTGACTAGCTCTCTGCTGCAGGCCGTCCTATCCTATCCTCTAGTTCCGATAAGAGACCCGCCCACCCACCGCCCCCACATAACGGTATCCATGGCGCCTGCGCTTCCCCCAAGTAAACGAAGCTTTTTCCCAGTTTCCAACCCGCAAAAGCGGAGACGCAGACCCAGCCACCAGAAGAAAGCTACTGCACACGGCTCTTAAGATTTGTGAAGCCGGCCGGCGTGTGCAAAAACAAATTGAATCCGAAAGACCCGTGTGTAAAGCCGCGTTTCCAAACCGTATAAAACCGGGGGCATCTGGCAATTGTGCATCAGTTTGTGGTCAGCAGCAAAAACAAAGTGAATCATCCAAGTGCAACAAAAGGCCTAAATAGCCCATCTCTCTACTTTTTGTGAACAAGTGAAAAAAATCCAACAAATTCAAGATGCCTTGCCCATGCGGAAGCGGTAAGTTTAAGATTGCAGGACCAAACTCATTTCAGTTTGGTTTTTATTTTGCTGTAAATGATAAGTTCTTAAATTGTGCAGACAGTAAGAAAGTGTTTGATCCTTAACAAGCTCTTTCCCAATTCGAAGTCGCCTTAATCACTAAAGGTTTATGCTCTTAAATTTACCCTACGAATATATTCTTTAATCAAAGTAAATTCTTTTCACTTTGTGTTTGAAATTAATTGGATTCCTGAATATCTATAAAATGATATTAATAACACATTTGGGTATTGCTTTACAGGATGCAAATGCGCCAGCCAGGCCACCAAGGGTTCCTGCAACTGCGGCACTGACTGCAAGTGCGGAGGCGACAAGAAATCCGCCTGCGGCTGCTCCAAGTAAAATTCGAGGAGAAGAACCAAAGAAGTCGACTTCCCTTTATCACCGAACTGATTTTTTTTATAATTTTCATACAAAAAAAATGTTTATTTGCCATTTCCCTCCACACAATGTCCAATTAAAGTAATTGAAAACGAAGCTATGTACGTCTTTTTGCGGGGGTTGCGCAATCAGTTTGTCGGGGGCCTTCTAGGTTAGATTCTCTTTTATTGGGGTTACGTGCTCTGCCATATGCGTCGTGGAATCAGATGGTCAAGTACTTTCCACATATGTACCTATGTGTGCATGCGGGTTTGTTTAAATTCAGTTGAGCAATAAGGTAATTCAAGAAGCTTCTCTTTTTTTCTGTGGCTGAACTGTTTGGGTTTTGGATTTCAAAGCGCAGCCGGTGGAACTTATGACTTGTAGATGCGAGTACCGTCGGATGCAAAAAAATACAATAGAGACTTTATTTAGTAAGAACTGAAATCCTTTCATAAATAATTAAATAAATGAATAAATATACTTTGAAGCTTTATGACAAATAAATTGCCATATACACAGCAGTTATCATTATTTCACCCCATAAAGTAAACGAATGATTGCAAACGTAAACCTTACTTAAGTCTGGTGTCTTCTAAACATTGTCTTAAATTTTAAAGTTTGAAAGTCTCCAAATTAACCTATTGTTAAAAGTGTAAAGTGGCAGCGCAAGTAACATGAAAGGGCGAGAACCTTAAAGTTTACACACATTAAAACGATCGTTATGTCACCGAAATAAGTCAAGAACAAGAACCCTGAGTGCTATTTGCTGAGGTCCGCGATCCACTTGACCTAGAGGTAGGGTTACGAGAGACCCACAACCTCAGATCCCAAGACCTCCAAATGAAAAAACCCTCAATCGGAGTTTATGGTTCGAATTTAATTTGTTAGCCTACGAATGAATCTTATGTCTAATACTAGGCTAAGTGAAGATTAATGGAGGAGTATGGGTGAATCGATTGGGAACACTTAGTGCGCAGTATAGTTACATATATGAAACGTACATATGTGAAGGCGTGTTTTCTTTTTTCTTGTTTTTGGTTATCAGCGTGGCCAAACAAACACGGGCGAGATATCACGGCAGTTTCGAAATGGTTCCATTGAAGGTGGTCGACGCAGACACAAAATGTACAAAATAGTGGGAAATTCGAGGCCTACTTGATAACAATGTTTTGTGCCAAGCGCTTCACGAAGTCAACGTTGAGAAAATTGGCCATCAGTGTGAGCACAGACTTCTTGGGAGGCCGACAGTGCCTCAGACCCGCCTCCTGGCAGCAGACGTTCGGGAAACAGTCCAGGGTTGAGGTGCATGCCTTTGGATGCAGATCGAAAATGGGCGGGGGAGGAGCCGTGCATTCTAGGTACTCCGTAACTGGTAAAAAAAAGGGATAAGAAGAGGTATTCCAGGGGTATTAGATATAGAATATAGGAAAACAGAAGGTAGGTAAGGAATTTAATAGATCTAGATAGAATGTTTAAATAGAAATCACTTAGTATTATACATTAAATATTAGGTTTAGTTTTTGTCTTTGCCGAGACTCTTATCTAGATATCAGTACTTATCGAATAACGTTTTCCATTTTTTTTTTCTCATTATAAGTAAATAAAAAAACGGCAGGGATAAATAAATTTTTTAGATATTAACTGAAATGCTTTCTAGATATTTAATATGGGGGAGCTTCATTTTATAGATAGGAAAAGTTTTTAACACCTTGCATTTAATGATATTAGTTAAAAACCATAACCGTAGAAAGTCTTTGCAAGATCCTACAAATAATTTAAACAAGGTAACTTTCATAAACGTAAAATATAAAACACATAATACGTGAAATTTAGATAAAAAAGTTAAAACTTACGATAGTCGAAGGAACGCTTCACAGGCACTGGGGCTGTTTCCAAATCTGGTTGGGATGTTCGGCAGTACCTTCGCCTGCCATCCGGACAACAGACCCGTGGCCAGCAGTCCATGTCCGAGGAGCACTCCTGGACATCCCACCAGAGCTCGGCCAGCGGTCTACTGGGGCACTTGCGAGGTATTAAGCCCAGGATGGCTAATAAAGGGAATATTTTAATATGAGGAAAGGGATGCCGAAGGATGAGCTCAACTCACGGGCATGTGGAGTCTCCTCGAGGGGCTTTGGCACACCGGAGACACAGCTGCTGGCTCCGAAGATATCACAGCATAGCTCATCCCTCTGCCAGACGGCACAGTCCCTATCTGATTTGCAGATTTTGGGAAAGAGCTGGAACCTCACCTCGTTTTCCCGCGGGCAATCAAACCTCAGTCGAAGCTCGGCAGCCGCCCGCTTGCCCTTCTCCTTATCATTTTCCTTATCCTTTTCAGAGCTGGGAAAATTCAGAGTGGGCAGGGCAATGCGAAAGGGTCCATCTGTGGAGGGTTTCTGGGTGGTGGTTGTAGATTTACTTTTTAGATTTTTGATTGTTGTGGTATTTCTCTCGGTCGCCGGTTTCCTTGTGGTCTTCAACGGCTTTCGCTGACTGGACTTGTCCTCCTTGGGACTGAACTTCTTGGGCGGATGGGGTTGTTTGGTTGGTGGACGCACTGCCACGACACTCTGCTGCCCGAAGCTCCAGAAGTTCGGATTGAAGAAATTAAAGCCGTTGGCCAAAGTGGGACGCGGAGCTGGTGGGGAGGGGATGGGGACGTGAAAAGCGGGTTAGCTATGTGCTCAGTGGCCATTAGTGTTTCTGCTCCAAATAACAGACATTACACGTCAAGTAGTGCGCAGTTCCCGCAGCTCTTAAAAAAGCGTTTGATTTGGTTTTTGTTTCATTATTCAGCTAGCAACAATTGCCGGTGGAGCGCAGCCTGTTGGCCAACGCTTCCCACCCACGCCACTGCAACTCAAACTAATCCACAGGCCCATTCCCAACGCAATTATGTACTATACTATACTTCGCTCATTGCAACAGCTTTGGAGCAGGTGTATTATCAAGCTGAGATACTCAGATCATTACCCCCGATTAACGAGACTTCCCCAGAAGTCGGCGCTTTGTATCTCCGCAACCCATAAAACTATCCAAATGTCAAGCCAAGTTCAGGGCGACTTAAACCTAATTAGACCCTCCCAGAAATGGGGTATTCTAAAACGAAGTGGTCATGCAAATTATAAAAGGCCTAGGCCCCAATAATTCGCGGCCTTGTGTCCGTCTCTCCGGTTCGGACTTAGCCAAGGTCTCCTGCTGCACCGAATGCCGATTCGAAAGCTCCGGCGCTCCAGTTATTGACGCTTTACACCCAAAGTAACCTATGCACCCATGGATGTTTGCAGACAGCAAACGGGTATATCTGGTTTTGTCCACAATTTGAATACACCATTGCGGTCAGAATAGTGAAACAGCGAATCCAAGGTAAAAATCTTTATCTGCAATTATTTGCAAATAATCTTGGATTAGCGGCTATCTAAGTAGTCTAAAGTGCCTTTCAAATTTGTGAATTTATTATGAAATGTTATGTTTGTTTATGAAGATAAGTAGGAAAACTTATTTGAATCAAAGAAAAATATAATTTCTTCGGTTATTAATATAAAATAATCATTTTTTTTACTGTGTTGTTTCTTTATCTAAAATAGTAAAAGGGTATTTCGTTTATCGTACCTGACCTGACCCAACTTTTTTCCCCCCAGACAACTTCTTTGTCACTGTTGTGGCTGTATTCGCTTTGCCACTTTCAATCTTTATGGTCAAAACCGAAAAGCTAGGTCAGTGCCAGCATCTTCGACCAGTTTGCATGACTTTTCAAAAAGTCACCGGTCCGCAGAGCAGTTTAACTGATCTTAGATCAAAGATATATATCCACATATTCGTAGTTTATATGGTTTTCTTTGATTACCTTTTAATTTATCTTTGCACTTACTGGTTGTCGTTGTCGTGGTTGATGTTGTTGTTGTCGTACTTGTGGAGGTGGTCGTGGTGGTTGATGTTGTGGATGAAGAGGTGGGTCTTCGCCTGCGGACGACCTGGGCGATTCGCCTCTGATTGGATGCACCCTGCTGAGGAGATCGCCTGGCCTGATCCGCTCCTGAAATTGTCGCAGTTTCGTGGGCTGGCAATGGAGCCGGGAGCGGGAGCTTGTATTGTGCAACTCCGCGGCTTGTGGATGCCTTGGCGGCCGTTGCACAACCGATAGACAGGTAGAGAGCTCCTCCGGCAGCCAGGAGCTGCAGCCAGATCAATCTCATGGCGGCTAAATCACTTAGGGGGTCACTGGCCCACTGATCTTTGCTTAGATTCACTGCAGTCTGTGGCACTCACTCACTAATCACTCATCTCTGGTTGAAACACACAGGTGATACTGGGTTGGGCAAGCGCGACTACGTTGTTTTGAGTCCGACCGACCGCTTCAGACTCCCAAGCCCAATTGGCGAATGTGCAAAATTGTATTTTCGGCAGCGGAGTTAACCGCTGAAACGGCTAAGAGAGCTAAAGTGGGGGCTGACCCGCTCTTTAGCGCCCCAAAACTGGTTTTACTTTGTATGGCGGCTCTCGGTGTAATGGGCTCTCGGCTGGCCACCACTGCGCTGGTGAAGGTGCTGCGGTGGATTCCACTAACCCACTGGCGTAGAAATGAGGAAATGCAGCCCACCAGCCAGGAGATTGCTTCCGGCTTTTCAAAAGGACACCATCAATTTCGGTGATAAATAAACGCTCTTGACAGATTCGCGTGGGAATAAACCAGGTTGGTTTACACAGTTAATGAAATGGAAAGTTAGATAACCAACTTAAATACAAGATGATACTTTATTTCTTTATAAAATATCCATGAAGTAAAAGGATACTTCTAATTGTTCGTGTTTAGTGCGTTTTTATCTCTAGTTGTCCCTTTTAAATTATATTTGCTGAGACACAAATACATTAATAAAAATTCTCTTGAATAAATCCAAATACAACAGTAATTGAACTTTGCAGGCTAATGGTTACACATAATTCCAAATTTTAAACACGTAGCTTGCCAATTGCCAATCAGATACACATAACAAAGACCGCTCTTTTTTAAAAGGGTTTCTGCAATTACTAAAACCCCTCTTAATTGTTCACAGCAAGATCTTCACGTGCAATATGGATGTTATTTAAGAGAGCAAAAGTTTGGGGATGACCCTCTCCAGCTTTACGAAACCGGTTGTGTTTTTGTTTTGGTAGCGGCTTAATGTGTTATTAGGTGACACAAACTGACTGACTGATCACTCGCCAGTTCAAGTAACAAGGAAACGCACAATTTTCCGGCATTCACCATCACAAAGCAGATCCCCGGCCAAGATGTAGGCCAAATTATGACACAAATGTATAGATACGTTTCTTGTTATGGGTTTAATCAGACGGGGATTTAAACAAACTAGTGTTTTAACAAAGATCCTTCGCAGAAGGTGGTAACTGTTGGAATTCTGTGGTGGTGGCCGTTCTGGTTACTTGCTTAGAGATTACTTTGGAATCGGTTCCATCTGCGCTTTGTCCTTGCTTAAATCCCCAAATGATTATGTTGTTGCTGCTGTTGCTTGTTGTTGCTGCCGGCATATTAATATATGAAATCCCCAAAACCGGCGACCGCTTATATTAATATGCCGAATGGTGTTTTTGAGACGCTTTAACGCGTGTCAAGTTGCGAAGAGAACATTTAGTCCAGCTGGAAGATGGAATTTGAGGGATTAGTCACCAAAATGGGGCATGGATCTTCACAGAACTCACCTTCTTGAAGCCAATGTCGTTGGCGTACTCCCTGAAGCACTGACGGCAGATGTTCAGGCCATACTTGCGGATCAGACCGTGGCGGTTAGAGCAGGCACGGCTGGAAATTAGTTTAGATTTAATTATTGTGTTCTACCAAGATAATTCATTAATTTGGACACAGATCTTTTACAAAGCAAGCATCTGTGTCGCTACACTCGGCTGCACGATTCCCCTGTGAAAATCGCACTTTTATGCCTCGTGCCGCTATTACTTTGGCCACCCTTAATTAAGGAAACTGTTCAAGATGTTTAAACACGTATTTCCGTACTCAACCGGGGGCAAAAGACATTGAAATTGTGATACAAAAACGACAAGCAATACTAATTGGCAGACGCCATGCGTGGGAAAAAAAAGCGGGGCGTGAATAACCTCACTTTCTGCAAACATGCAAAATCGTGCAAAATACGGGGTTACGGGGCAAGCATTTAAACAAATTGTACATCAAACGACGGGCCAAACAACGGGCTACACAAATCTTACCAGCATCGGGAGCCTTGGCCGTATTTGCGGGGATGCGAGTACCAGAGAGTAGCGAAACCCATGTTGGCGTTTTCCACGAGAAATTCGAAAAGAAAAGGAACTAGGGACGGCAGACCGACCTAGGGCTGGCACTACCGATTCATCGGCACTATCGATTGTACGCAACGCTTTTGAATGTTGGCTACTCTAGTTGGGTTGAAAAGGGTGGCAACGCTACATATTCTTTTAGCGCTTTATTTAAATTCGAATTCGAAAGCTACAAACAACTATCTTAAAATAGCGGTTGTGAGGGATTGTTTTTCACCACCATCACCCTGTCATTTGCAATAGTTTCCAACAGTGGCAGGCTGCCCGCTTGCAGGGGCGCCTGATGATCAAACAAGCTGATCATATCCATGTCCTGGGCTGTGTTTTCGTCGAACACAATTATCTGCTGCTCCGAGCCATCCGCCCCCATGGGCACAAACTCAGACATTAGGTAGCTGTTGTCCACCTCGTTCACTGGCAAACACATTACACCCTCCTGCTGCCTTGGCAAGCCAGGATATTGGATCGCCGGATCTTCCAATTTTGGTCGCGAGCCGGAAGCCACCTCCGGGTGGCTGCCATCACCACCCTCAACTCCCTGCTCTTCTGGTTGGTGCTTGGCCTTCAGTGCAGCAGCGGCCGCCGACTCAAGCTGAAACTTCTGCATCTGCATCATCAACCGCGAGTTGGCATCCAGGTGAGCATGTCGCGCCCGAATGTGCTTATCCCGGTCGCCACGTTGGCGGAACGTCTTGGTGCAGTAGAGGCAGCTATAGGGCTTCTCGCCAGTGTGGATGCGCTGGTGGTTCTTTAGAGCATCCGCTCGGTAGAATCGCTTGCCACATTCTTCGCACTCATAGCGCCGCTCACCGCGATGGATGAGCCGGTGCTGATAAAACACGGAGCCAGTCAGGAATCGCTTTCCACATACCAGGCAAAGGTAGGGTCTCTCCCCCGTGTGGCACTTGCGAATGTGGTCGTTGAGATCCGGACGAATGGTGAACTTCCGGTCGCAATTCTCCTCCTGGCAGACAAACGGCTTGACACCTGATGGGAAAAGGTGATCCACCTGGAGGAAATCGGTGTCTTGCAAAAATACTCACCCTGGTGGAAGCGGAGGTGCTGCCACAAGTGGCTCGATTGGGTGTACGACTTGCCGCAGATGTCGCAAAGGTACTGGCGAAGGCGACCTGTACCCGTATTGCGAGTCTCCTTCTCCCGTTTCTTCTTGTTCAAGTGCTTCTCCTCGTTGTGTGGCAGGATCTCGTGGGCGAACTCGAAATTCACCTCGCAAAACTCACAGGGCAGCAACAGCTTTTTACCATTCTCGCTGAGACGTGGGAAGTAGTGATACGAGGTGTATCTTGTAGTGCGTAAAGTAAGAAAACTAATTGGTTATTCAATAGATTGCGCTACCCATCCAACACCTTACCGATGCTCCTGCAGCAGGTCCGTATTGGCGAACTTCAGTTCGCACACATTGCACACAAAGTGGCGACTCAGCGTCACGTTCAGCGACCTGGTCGCCTCCAGCATAAAGATGCAGTCCGTCTGAAAGTGAATACTGGCCTCCTTGGCTGTGTTCATCTGCATGTCGCAGGCGGTGCACTCGAAACGCCGCTCCGCCACATGGGAAGCCGAGTGGACAAGCAGTTCGGCGATGTCAGCAAAAACATACTCGCAAAATTCACACTGCAGCACACTGCCCAGAATTAAACTGGTGAATAGTTCCTTCTCCAGGCGCTTGGCTCTAATCTGGGGGCCAGTTAGGAAAACTTCTTTAGCCAGCAACTTCTCACTCTTTTCCAACAGCTCCTTTAAATCCTTGGGGGAGCTTGATTTAATCTCCAGATTCTCCAAAGAATCAAGCAATCGTGGCTGCTCCGGGAAGTGAATGAATCCGTGCTTGAAGGCCACCTCCGGATCGTAGAAAACACGGCCACAGGCATTGCACTTCACCACAACATGAAGGCCGGCAGCAGGAACTGAATGTGGTTGCAGGCTCGTCTGCGAGGGAATCAAGTCCAAAGCGTGCTTCTCCATGTGGCGCACCAGTCCCGAGGCATGAACAAACTTGCGATCGCACATGGTGCACTCGTTGGGTCCTTTGATGGACTTGCGGACCCGCGAACAATCAACACCAGTGGTCAAATCATACTTCATCTCGTCCTTCATGTATCGACGCAGGCGCAGCTGATTCTCCAGGATCACCCGCTCGCTGCTCGGTTTGCTGGGCGGAGCAGGCGGGGCGCACAGAGCAGGAATGGGCAGGGGCTTCTCCTGCTGCGAAACCACGACTTCAACGGACTTCCGATCCACCTCGGCCTCACAGGAGTGGCTCTGAAAGGCAGTTGCATCGTACTGAACCAGACATTGGGGGCATTTAACACGAATGCTGGGTACCCCCGTTGAATTAAAACGCGGCGCTAAAGCAATAAAGAAATAAATATCTATAACTTAAGCAAAAAAAACCTTATTGAAGCTTACCTTGAAAGACCGACTGCTCGGTGGTCATCTTTGTTGTAGTCACTCCAGCGAGAAAATCGCGAATCTTTAGTTGCTCAGCCTGGGGATCAAAGCCTTTTTTGCCATCAGCCTGCTGAAGGATCTGCTTGAGCGCCGGATCTGCCAGGGTGCGTTCCACCACCACATCTGTGGGCATTGGAATGGTGGCGGCCGGCGTCACAGTAAAGAACCTGGACAGTCCCTCATGGCTGACAATCTGCTCCAAGACGCCCTCACCCTCGCTGGTTGCGAGCACTGTGGCTCCGGATTGCAAGTCTTCGGGACTTAGCTCCGTGTCCACATCCACCTCGATCTCAGCGAGAGTATATTCCCCCGACACCTTCACCTTCATGGCTAATGATAACTCAAAGTCCGAATACTCAGCAGTAATTTTAGTGCCACAGGTTGTTTAATATCTAACAAGTGATTAAATTACCAAGATTAAAATTGAAAGTGATTTTCTCTTCCTATCGGAAGAATAATTTTTAATGAAATTTTACGAAACGTTTCGACTGCTTGCAAGTAGGGAAATGAGATTTGCTTTCTCCGTCGACAGAAGAAAGTTTGCAGGAATTTGACAGGAAACTCTATGACAAAAGAAAACTCTATAGAGTTCCTATCAACGCTCGTGTAGTGTCACATAGTTATTGTTGGAAGCGCTGTCAATAAAGTTCAATATTTGCTTATTAACTATTTGTATTGTTATTTTTATTATACGGTGGTGGTTAATTGCGTTTAACAATCATATAAGAAAATTATATAGTAAATTCAGATAGGGCTACAAGAACTAAGATATTGAATATCTTTACCTAGTTTTATAGTAGATTTGTAGATATGTAGGTGAATGTGCTTTCACAGGGACTGCGATAAAAATGTAATCGCTTCCGCTTTATTACTCATTACTCAATTTTCTTATTTTGGACTTACCCAACGTACAAGACATTTGACAGCTAAATCGCATATCGTAGCTCTATTCCAAAATGTAGTTTACGGCGATTGTTTATGTTTTCCTTTGGCTCAGGCTGTCGGAGTCGGCGTCGCTAGCACAGGTGATTACTGGCCCCCAGTTATCAGCATTCAGGGCCTCCGCTCCAGATAAGGCGCTTCGCGAAATGAGTAAACGCAGTGCCTAATATGATATACCGCCGCCGTTAATCAGTCCCACAAGCTGCTTCGTGCCGTTCGAACGCCTGCCGATCCAATCCGTTCACTCTGTCCAGGACCCCGCAGAATCCCCGGTGCACACGGTAATTTTTTTCTCGACGATCCTTGCCACCTGCTCCCGTCCTAGAACATCAGCTTCATCTGCTCCCAAAGGACTTCGAATCAGTCGGTTTACCTAGTGACTGGGACTGGCGATGAGTCACCTCCGCGAAGGCCCACCGCGATCCGAATCCGAAATTGATAAAAACACCAAGTTGTGCCAGCGTTTCTTATCTGCAAATTGGCTACTAGATAATGCCGCAGGGCATTGTGGACGCACGGCGGCTACGGGGAGAGATTCAAGACAAAAGCCAGTGGGCTCTACCTCCTTTGCAGCCGTACTAACGCAGCTCCCAACTACGTATCCGCTTTTCCAGTGCCATGGAGGATTACACATACGCCTACATCTCCGAGCCCGTGGAGTTTCGGCAGCTGGAGGGCAAGGCCATTGATTTTCGCAAGACCTTCGATTTGCGCGGGCAGGGCGCCGACGAAATGCTCCAGTTGTACCTGCGGAAGGCCAATCTATCCGACGACCTCGATCGTCTGCCGGCTATTATGCGACGCGCCTACGTCTATGACATAATTAGAAGCAATAAATCTCCCGGTTATTGGGTGGTAATGTCCTGCAGCAGCACTCCTTCTCAGTCAGCCCCATCCGACGCAGAGTCCATGATGCACAGCCTTGTCCTGAACGCAGCCGTTTCTTATCATTGCAGCCACCTTCCATGCAAGTGAGCAGCGACGTCTTCGCCCATCCGCCGCCTGCTGTTCGTCCACCGCCTTCTTACGCCGACAACGCGAGCACCAACGCCAGTCTCGACGGCATGAAAAGCTCCTCCTCCTCGAACAGCCTGGACAGGTATGCGGGCGCTCCGCATACCCTCGCGGGTCCCAGCTTTGCCACTAGCGTCTTGGTCAGTAGCAAGGGATCCAAGTACGAGATCAGCGGACCAGTTAACTTTCAGCATGTTTCCGGCGACGTTTTGAGAGATCGAACGCGAAACGCCTTCGACTTAAACGCTGACTCCAACGACAATGTTCTACGAAAGTACATGATGGAGCGGGGCATCACGGAGGAGGATATCAGCCACATGCGACGTCAGGATGTGATCACGAAGATTGTGCACTCTAACTTTACGTGGATGGTAAGTGCTTGCTATAAAGTATTATTATTTAATGACTACTTGGTTTCTCAGCCATCAAAGGGTGATCGACAGCCCAAAGCGCAGAGTCAGGAACCGGCAAGACCGCTGCTTTATGCCACCATTTCCACCAACAACCAGATTACTCCTCCGCCTTCGCCTCCACCGCCTTCTGTTACCAACGTTTCCAAGCCAATTGCTGCTCCTAACTTTTCCAACTATGCTTCGCTTACATCGCGATTTGTGGATATTTCCGAAATGGATTTGCCTGCGCCGACGCCTGTCAGACAGCAAGAGGTGGGACATGTGGTTCCTGTTCAGATCCAACCGGAACACGTTAGCAGTGCAAAGGTTCCTCCTCCTCCTTCAGCCGTGACGGCAAGGAACACACATGGATATCCAGCGGCGATTGACATCCGTCAAGTGCGGCCGTCGGCTGTTCCCAAGGTGTCCAATGAAACATATGCCACCATTGCACCGCAGCGAAAGGCAGGCACAATGCGAATCCCGCCACCAGCGCCACCAAAGCCAACGATACTGCCGAATACTATCTCCACATCTTCCATGGGTTCTCTGTATGCCGTATCTCCTGTTCAGCATGCCAAACCCCCACCACCGCCTCCTCCAGTTAAGCCGACTGCTAGGATTCCATCTGCCTACGGAACACCGGTGGCTACGCAGAATACAAAAATTACCGGCAGTCAGATGCCAGTTCCGCCGCCACCACCTCAAGCTGCAGCTGCTGTTCCGCCACCTCCGCCGCCGCCGATGCCAGTTGCTGCTGCTAGTGGAGGAGCACCGCCTCCACCGCCACCTCCTCCAACTGGCATGGCCGGAGTTCCTCCTCCGCCTCCAATGCAAAAAACCCAACCGATGGCTGCTCCGGCGGCTTCCTCTGGCGGAGACTCGAGGGATGCGTTCCTGGAGAGCATTCGTCAAGGAGTTACGTTAAAGGTATATGGATAGAACACTTAAACATTAACAAAAACATCTAATCCTCCTCCGACTCTTATAGAAAGTGAATCAGAAGGCAGCCACAATAAGCGGTATAAAGCCGCGTCCGGAAAGAAAGCCAGCAACCACCGACTTTCTGAGTGAACTAAAGCTTGGAATTACTCTTAGGCGAGTTAAAAATCCAGGGGATAACCCGTATTCTGAGGAATCGGAGTCGCAGGCGTAACGATTTGGCGGTTAAACTTTTGACTGCGACGCGTTATCCAACACTTTGCACTGCGGACAAGGCTGCCAGACTGAGAAAATACGCCTTTATTTAAAATGCCGCAAAAATACTTTTAATTTTATTATTTATCACCATGACAAATGCCCATTAACGTTTGATAATAAAACGGTTTTCGCAAGATATGATAAAGCTTATCAATAGGGCAGTCCGCAAATTATGTGTACCAAACCCCATTTTGTTCTGAAGCACAATTAAATACAGTACTCTCTTGAAAAAGTCAACTATGGAAACAATACCAAAATTCTGGTATTAGACAAATGTTAATGCATAGCATACAAAACACATACGTTTATAAATTTATTTAAAGAAAATAGTGTCAAATAGATTTTGTCAAGGCTCAAATAAACATAGGTTCACGTAAGGCGCAAACTACTGTTTATCTATTTGTTGTGTGCGTGCGAGAGAGACAGGTAAAATCAGCCGGTGAGGTGAGAGAGTGAAGCAATCGCTGGATTCACTTGTGATTTGGAACTTTGATAGATAACAAGCGCTTTAAAAGCAAGTGAAACTGCACTTTTGCATACACAAGACTGGACTGAACGCAATTGCATTTAATCAACCGGGAACAACAAAGAACATTCATTATGCAACGCATTGCTATTATTGGAGGAACCGGCATGACCGGCGAGTGTGCCGTGGATCACGCTTTGGAAAAGGGTATGTTACCCAGAGGTCAAAAACCACCAGTTAAACTTATTCCTTTTTTAGGCCTCACGGTGAAATTGCTTTATCGCAGCGAGGCTACCGTTCCTGCCCGATTCAAGTCCAAGGTTGAACTGGTCAAGGGTGATGTGACCAACTACGAGGATGTACGGCGTCTTATCGAGGGAGTAGAGGCTGTGGCTGTCATCCTGGGCACCCGAAACAAGTTAGAGGCCACCACAGAGCTCTCTCGCGGCACTGAGAACCTTATCAAGGCTATGAAGGAAGCCAAGCTCACCAAGTTCTCCATAGTCATGTCCTCGTTCCTCTTGCGTCCACTAAACGAGGTGCCCGCTGTGTTCCATCGACTAAACGAGGAGCACCAGCGCATGCTAGACTTGACCAAGGCTTCAGATCTAGATTGGATTGCCATCTTGCCGCCCCATATCGCCGATGAGCCGTCCAGCGGCTACACCGTATTGCATGATGAGGCTCCAGGTCGCCTGGTTTCGAAATATGATTTGGGAAAGTTCATCATTGACAGCCTTGAGCTGCCGAAGCATTATCGTAAGGTGTGCGGCATTGGCAAGAGCCCGAAAAGTGCTTAGATCAATCCATCAACCATTTGGGTTTGTGACCGATTGCAGCTGATCATTTAGTTCGTACAAATCTAATTTGATATTCCTGTCGGAGTCCTATTAATCCGCCAAATACATATTCGTATGTAGTGTGAGTGCACAATAAACTTTCCATTTTAGAAGATACGAATTTAATTGCAATTACGTGCAGAATCGCTTTGGCATCGTACACCCGAAATGTCGCCACATTAGCACCTGTCGCGCCAAACGCCGAGCAGGTATTTCAGAAATGTGTGTAACCATAAAAAAGCCAGCAGAGATCAACAGCTTCCGCTTTCGGAGAGGCGTACGCCGCCCCTAGTCATTGTCTGTATACCTATAGCTACAGCCCCATCGAGAGAGATTTGGCGGCAGCCGAGAGAGATATGTTTTTGTGTGCCTTACATCACTGCATGTTATTTCTGTAACACCATGATGACGATCACTGGGCGGGCATTAACCATTTGGGCACCGAGCCCCCGTCAAATTTTGCTGTGCAAAAATAAAATCAATTTATAGACGTCGCCGCCATGAACTTGAACTTGTCATCTGCGGTGATGTGGACGCTTGGATGCATCACTTAGCTCTTGATGCCAGACAGGCGTTTCCGTCGTCGGCACTTCCGCCCAGGAATAACACATGGCATCTCATATTTTTCTACACGTTTTATTGGAAGTTATTGCCTTCGGTCATTGCTTAATGCTAAGGCTCGATATGTTTCTATATGCTATGTTTCGTTGGAAGATACTTGAGCTTCTTATTATCATCGCAGGCAGGTAGATATTCTTCTAGGAGCAACTATGCACACGCTTGAGCAAAACCATAACAAATAATAGTAGCTAAACATAGTTAGGATTAGGTTAACATTAGCCTTATACATGTACCGAACAGCCCGGACGGGGGGAGGTCACCTTTGTCATACAAAAAGAACCAAAAAGTTTAAAAAATACATGCGGAAAGTAATATTCAAAAATCAACACAAGCGTTTGGTGAATGTTTGCTTATCGGTGTAATGGAATCAAAAGGTGTAGCTGCTTCGTGATTCGCCAGGTGGAACGTGTCACTCATCCCAGACTTTGGCAGAGTGCCGGGCGTCCACAGGGTATGGCTCGGAGCAGCTGTTGGCAGGCAAACCCGTAAAGAATTTCAAGCGCTTGCCAATTTGACTAGTTCACTGCCACTCTCTGATCGGGCTCGGCACGGCCCAATTTGGCTAAACCTACTACTACTGGCGTTGACGTCTATAAAACCTTCTTCATGTATTTCTTTTTGGCATTTTGCAGGCTTGGCAGCTCGCAGTGACGAGGTCCGTACATGGTAACGGGTGCACAGTACTCGTAGCCGATGCGTTCGTAGAACCCATCCTGATCGATGGTGGATAGGTAGATGGTTTTGAGATCCAGGACTACGCGGCAATAGTCCTCGGCGAACTTCATGATCAGCTTGCCGAATCCCTGACCGCGATGTCGCTTGTCCACAACCACGGACTCAACGAAGCAGGCTTTCTTCTTCGAGGTAATTGGGCTGAGCTTCAGGTGGGCGATCACACGACACATGCCCTCGGTGGTCAGCACCAGGCTGCAGGGCAAAGTGTCGCAGGATGCCTCCAGGGAGCGCATGCGCGCCGTTTCCGATCGTGGCCATTCGGAGTTGATCAGGGCGCAGGTGTCCTTCATCAGCTCCGGATAGTTGTGGATTGGTACCACATTGAAAGGGCTTCCGCTGACATTAAATGGTGGCAGTCCCTGTAAATTGTACGGGGGTTAGTTAATTGTTTTCAGGTTTTGAAGGATGGAGGCTGGAAGAGATTGGTTTGCTGCTCGTTTACTTCATAGTACGGCTCCGGCTTTATGTAGCGCATATCGCTGAAACAGACTGGAGCTCGGATCTGGAAGGGATCCGGTTAAGCCTATAAAGTGTTCGACAATCTAAAAAAGAATAGAATTGAGTCGTTTCGGAACGAAGATCATCCTATGACCAGTGTTGGGGGCAAGCCTAGATAATATCCATAGCAATGGGTATTTTAACCTTACCTAATTAACATAAAAAAAATTAATGATTTTAGCGCATGGAAATACAATATACGCAAGCGTTATTTTTTTTAAACAATGGGGTAAATATTTTAAAGCGTTATTTTACAAGCTTCAATTTTAATTTTATTTTACCTAAACATTTAACTTCATTAACTTAAACTTCTATTCACTTTACACTCTTTGCATATTTGAAGCACTCATAGACAAATGAAAAAAGTAAGCATGCTAGAAACAGTCATGTAATTAAAAAACGCGCCTATTTTATTAAATTTCTTACTCTTTAACTAGGTTCTGAAAGCTAGTAGCCATCCCAACACTGATCCTGGCACACAGAACACTCAGGCGGTTATTTACACAGGATATTCAAGATATCTCAGGTGGAATAAACAAAGATTGGCAGCCATGGAAACAGCACAGACACACACGCACGAATATATAGTTGAAAATCAAGGTGAGGCGTAAAAAAGAACGTTTTCGTATGTGCGCCTGGCCGAGAATCGAAAGACCTTGACTGGCATATATGCACTACTCATAAGTATGTACACAGATGAGTGGGTGGGTTCGTTGCTTTTATTGTGCGGGTGATTTTGAGGGTCGACTATGTACAACAGGTCAGGAGTTTGGTATTGATTCGATTGGATAACTAGTCAGCTAACTGATGATATGTGGTTACCATTGCAAGAGCTTTGCGTTGCTGGGCGTCTGATTCCCGTGCGCCACGACGAAGTGAACAGAACGAACTGATATAGTTCCCAATATTGAGGCCAAGTTCCGTGTGAGAGCGAAGAATTTCGCCTAATAATCCGACTCTCTTGGCTTTTTGTTTGTGTCGGCTCCTACGATTTAACTGCGCGCCCGGAAAATTGAATATCAGTTTGATTTCAAACGGAATTTGTTTATTTTTAAACTTTTTCGCATACGCTGCTGCTGGTGCTTCTTCTTCTCCGCCCCAAACAAACTGCGTTGCCACCCCGGTCGCTTGCGGCCAGTGTTGACAGTTAAGCGAAAACAGTGTTGCACAGTACGCGGGGGTGGCCAAGCGAAAATAACAACAAAATGGATTTTTTATCGAGTGCAAGGCAAAAACACAAGTAGAAAACACAATAAAACCGCACTGCAAAGGACCATAAATCAGGCAATCACTTACAGTATTAACGTGGAGTTGGTAAAGCCAGAGGAGCCCGCGCCACAGCCTGCTAAATAAATTATTACACAACAAATAAATCAAAAAAGTGCCACCGACAGCTTCCAACTGGCAGCGTGTAGCCGAAAATAGCTTTGTAAACAAAACGATCGCTAGGAATAGGAATAGGAAAAAGAAGCGCTCTCAACGCCATTGACCCACAAATTAGCCACTGTCATTGCCAAGCGAAAATACATAGCAAAACATTTTCCGCATCCCACTGAAGAGCACGTGTCCACAATGGCCAGCCGACAGATGACCAACGACCACCTGCGCCTCTCCTGGCACGACACCCAGATGATGGCCACCCTGAGTCCGCAGACCGTCATGGACTACTTCTGTCGCAAGTCGAATCCCTTTTACGATCACATGTGTAACAACGAAACGGTACGGATGCAGCGCCTCGGTCCGGAGCACTTGCAGTAGGTGTCCTTTTGGCCTTTCTCCTAGATATTAATCTTACTTTTCACTCTAGCAACATGATTGGCTTGGAATACATTCTGCTACACGTGGCGGAGCCTATCCTGTATGTGATTCGCAAGCAACACCGGCACAATCCCTCGGAGGCAACGCCAATAGCCGATTACTACATCATCGGAGGCACAGTATACAAGGCGCCGGATTTGGCCAACGTCATCAATGCACGCATAGTAGGTATATTCACACCGATAGCCTGAGCATCAGATGAACTTTTTCGTTTTTAGCTCAATACTGTGGTTAATTTGCAATCGGCTTTTGAGGAAGCCAGCAGTTACGCCCGCTATCATCCCAACAAAGGATACACCTGGGACTTTTCCTCGAACAAAGTGTGTAAGTAGTACTATGAATAATAATAATTGATCAAACTTAACAATGGAATATGTTGGTCCGAATAGTTTGTTTTTAAATACTTTTTTTTTAAACTGACAATTTTGTTGAATTCCAGTATCTGATAAATCAAAATCGGACAAAAAGGACGCCAACTCGGCGAAGGATGAAAACAGCGGCACACTTTTCCAGAAGCAGCGCGTGGACATGTTGCTGGCCGAACTACTACGGAAATTTCCCCCACCCATACCGCCAATGCTGCAAAATATCCAGCAGCCACAGCCAGCTGGCGAGGATTTAAACGCCGCGGGGAACCCTTCCGAGTTGAACAATACCACGGGACCGCTGGACATAAAAACGGAGGGCGTAGATATGAAACCACCTCCCGAAAAGAAATCCAAATGATTAGTTTAATGTGCATTTAAACTGGAGAGATTAAAGTACATTTGACTTATACCTAGACTAGGCTATACACCAATCGTTTGATTTAATCTTTGACACTCTGTGCACCCATTTCGTCCTCGTTTAGCTGCTTCTTCACGTGAACGGTCAGGCTGTGGTTGGTGAACTCGAGTATACTTTTAAAGGATTGCTTGCAGATGTGGCACGGCACAGTCTTGGTGGGAGTACGAAAGACGCCGGCATGCGCCACGTTCTTGAGAACCTTCTTTACGGACGGCGGGACCATGGACTGGGCCACATTCGTAGAGGCTGTGAACCAAATGAGATTATTATGAAGTTTTTTTTGGAGATATATAATTTAATAAAAAGTGGTTAGGGGAAACAATGAATGCCAATCTCAATTAACAAAATTTTTTAGTTTAATTTAAACGAATTTCTTGGGTTGCTTCAATTTTCCCCTAACCAATTTGCTTTCTGAATTGTTGGATTTATTACCGGTTCCCGGAGTAGAGATCGCTTGAATCCCACTCTTCTGAGGCAAAGTCAGTCGTGCGGCTACCGCGCTGGAAGGAACTACACCGATCTTGGGCAGCTGGGCCTTCTTCTCGTGGTTCAGTTCGGTAAACTGCAGCTTGCGCTTTTCGGTTGGCGGAATCTTGGTGCAGTTTTGCATCAAATGAATGTGCAGAGCACGCTCCAGGGCGAAGTTCTTGTCGCAGAACTTGCAGCGATTCTTCGAGCTTCCAGCTCCAGCCGGATTGACGTGCAGACGCTTAAGGGTCTTGGGACCATTTTCCACCAAATCGTGCATGCGCACATGCGTTGTTAGCAGACACTTCAAGCGAAAGGTCTGCCCGCAAATCTTGCATTTAAATACATTTTCAGAAATCTCCTTCGCTGGTAGAACAGCCGGTTTCTGAATGGTTTTTGTTGGCGTACGGAAACTAGCCACAGCGAGGCTCTTGCGATTGGTATTCTTAACCGATTTGGAAACGGGCAAGAAACTACGGCGGCTAGCAGCCACACCTCCGCCCGTACCCATTTTCCGAGCTGGACTATTGAGCGTGGTCTTTACCACCACCGACATGCGTTGCATGATGGAGTAGTTGCGTGTCTCAGTACTGGTGATCGGCTGATACGAGCGCCTTGGGCGTGGCAAAGCTCCCAAAAGGCTCGGTCTCTTTTTGCCCACTTCCACCTTTAAATTGGAGGACGACGGCTTTACAGAGGCTGATGGCTTGACGGAGTCTTGAGATATCTTTAGGGCTTTTGCAATCAGCTCAGAAACTTCGTTCACCACTTCGTTGACCTGGACGATCTCCTTTTCTGCTGGAGGCGAGGCAAGCATGGAAACGCCTTCGTTCGAAACTGTGTAGAAAAGACACTTAAAATTTTTTTAAATATTTTAAAGGTTTGAACCCACCTTCTGTGATGTTTTCTAGCACCACATTGGCACTCAACGGATAGACCTGACTTGGAGCTGGAGTCTTAACGGGCTCCTGCAAGGATTCCTCGTCTACGGTGACATCAGCAGTCTTCAAGGTATTGGCTTTTACCGTGTTGGCGGTCAAGTCCACGGAACTGGACAGCGTAGAGTTTTCGCCACCAGCATGATTATCCCCGTCAGGTTGGGTGTTTTCCTTGTCATCCACACTTGACAGGTTCATGGCTATAATCTGAGCTAGCGGTTCTGCCTGTGTGTTGTCCTTGGAGGGTGTGGAGCACAAGGCGTTGTGCAAATTTAAAACGCTCTTGTCAAATGGGCGAAGTGGCGAACTCTGGTCCGGTTCACTGATAGCCAACTGCTGCAGATCCTTCAGGACGGTACGCCTGAGGTCCTTGTCATCAAAGTTACCCTCCATCTTGCTGGAGTGCACTTCCAAGTACTGACTATTCTGGGTGACGAGTGCCGATTGCCACTTACTTCCGCCGGATAAAGTGTCGTCTGCGTCAAAGGATAGGTACATGCTAACGCTCTCGTCGTTGGTCGCCATCGATAGCTGGCGAGAATCCATCTGCAGGATAGTATTTGTTTTAATATAACTAGAAAATCCAGTTTGTTTTCGGGGATCCTTTGGCGCATTCACTTAATACTTGCCTTTCCTGCCATCGATCTGCGCGATTCGTCCATGTTTATTTAGATGGTTTGCCCAATTGGCCACACGGGGTTTTATTACAAAAAAAAATGGTAATTGTTAAACAAATTGAGAAAAAGAGCAGCTGAAAACCGACGCTGTACCAGAAAAAACAAAGCGTTAATATTTCAAAAACACTTTTCAACACTGCGCGCGCAGTAAAAGATCGCAACGGCGTCACAGAAAAAATTGTGGCCCAAGACTGAGCAAGAAACTAATAATAATTTGTTACTATACTTGAAGTTGTTTGGTTAAATTTGTTGATTATTAGATCTCTAATAGTAGCTTAACTAAAATGACTTGACGACAATATATTGAGTTACTTGATCAAAAATATTTAATTCCACCGAAGACTCACACCATCACAAGTGTCTCGGATATATGCGTAGGCTCTGGTCACACTTGGATACGCTCCCAAAAGTATACAGGGTTGCCAAGATATGCAAGTATTAGATATCGCCCCCAGCGCGGTCTCTCTATTTCTCATATGTATACAAATTGGCGTTGTGTAGTGTGAAAAAACAAAATTTTTGCAAAAATAAGTTCCTAATCAACTTGACGGGCACAAACGAGCTTAACCCCACCCTAATAACATATCCACCGTAGTCACATAGTGAAACCAGCACAAAGGTCGTTTCGAGATTTCTCGACTGTGAGTCACTCTGGCTAAATTTCCCCCAACCCGCAAACACAATAAGACAAACGTCTTGCCCCGCAACCACTTGCTAAGCGTTTAAGTCATCAAATCACCCAGCCCGGAAATGGCCGCCGTGGAGAATGCCGAGCCCCGCACAGAACTGCAGGAGCTGCAGTTCAAGTCCGGCCAAGTGGCCGATGAATCTCTGGAGAGTACTCGTCGGATGCTCAGTTTGATGGACGAGAGCAAGGAGGCGGGCATTCGCACCCTCGTCGCATTGGACGATCAGGGCGAGCAACTAGACCGTATCGAGGAGGGCATGGACAGGATCAACGCGGACATGCGAGAGGCGGAAAAGAACCTTAGCGGCATGGAGAAGTGCTGCGGTATCTGCGTTCTGCCCTGGAAGAAGGTGAACATTAAGGATGACGGCGAGAGTGCCTGGAAGGCCAACGACGATGGCAAGATCGTGGCCAGCCAGCCGCAGCGGGTCATCGACGAACGGGAGCGCGGCGGAATGGGTGCTCCACCACAATCCGGATATGTGGCAAGGATCACAAACGATGCACGAGAGGACGAAATGGACGAAAACCTCGGGCAGGTGAATTCCATGCTGGGCAACCTGCGCAACATGGCCCTCGACATGGGCTCAGAGCTGGAGAACCAGAACAAACAGGTTGACCGCATCAATGCGAAGGGCGATGCCAACAACATTCGCATGGACGGTGTCAACAAGCGCGCCAACAATCTGCTCAAGAGTTAAATATGCACAAAGGACACGTCCCGAATCGATAGCGTAACACGATAGCCAGTCACCTCCACTTCTATCTTGTTAGGGTAACGAACCAATGTTGTGGGCACAAACCGTAGCAGGTGGTACTACGTTATTTATACCATATATTATATACATATACAAGTAGCCACCGGTAACTTAACTACTCCTGGCAAGCGCAAGCGTAACAGACCCATCTACTTACAAGCACTACAAGCCGGAAGAACTAACTATTCTCTACAATACTAACTACTTACTATAACTACACTTGTGTACAAATGGCAACCACAATCGGTTGCCGGAAACAATTTTATTATGAGATTTACCGAACGATGTATGTACTTTTTTTTGGTACAAACTTTTTGAGCATTTTACTGAACTTTGTGAAATCAAACCAAGCAACTGCTGAGATGGATATATTGATGTATTTACAATTCGTAGAACCACCGCAACCCCCGGGCACCAAGACAACCAAAAAAGCACGGGCGGTATCATATCGTAGCCAATTTTATGTTCTCCATTGTTAACCCTTTTTAAGTAGGCCATGTAATCGGGTATTTCGTAAGCCCATCAGTCCAAGCACCGATTCTATTGAATTACTCTAGATTTGCACTCGAACCTCTTGCTTCGTACGTATATATTATAATACTATACTTACCCCCAGTGAATGTAACCGATCGAGTTTCGTAGCCTTAGCCTAAGTAAATGAAATTGTTGATTGCAAAAATCCCAAATATTTAAGAAACTACCTGTTTGTGCGCAAGATATTTCTCGTTAACTATTATATGTATTACGAACGAGTATAGCCAATTGATTAGATAACTTATTTATCGCTACTATTGCCACTTTAGCTTACAATTATTTGAAAATAAATTCATTCACCAGCAAACCCTCAATGTGTTTATGGATTTATTGCACTTTACAAAAGATTCAGATTAACTAGGTATTTTATGCCACTCGAAAGTAGTTGCTCGTTGCTATGTAGCCGCTAAAGTCTTCGTTGTCGCAGTTTTCGGCCTGGGCGAACTCGATTTCCGGCGCTGCCTCGACAGGAATGTACACGATGCTGCCGCGCGTCAAAACGATCTCCTTGTCGCCCTCTTGGGTTTTCAGCTTCAAGGTACGGGTACCCTTCAGGACTATCAGTATGGAGCCGAAGGCTTGGATTTCCAGCTTGTAAGTTTCCAGAGTGTGTTTAATATTTACATTGATAACGGCGAAATCGGGCACTGGAGGAATATAGACCTGGACCTGCTCGTCGATGCGGAACGGGATGAACTCCTTGCGATCGTCATATGAAAAAAAGTTCACTGAGTTAAGTAGCTGGTCCACATCCTTGTACTTAGGCGTTAGTCCAGCACGTATCACATTGTCCGAGCAAGCCATGCACTCCACGCAGTCGCCGTCCAGGTAGGCGTGGATCTCGTTGGCGCCCAGATAGATGGCCTGGCCAGGCTTAAGCCGGATCAAGTTGAGGAAGAACAGTGACAGCACGCCCACATCACCTGGAAAGTCCGTATTCAGTTTGGTGAACACATCCAGCAGGTTGTGGGACTTCAGTTCTGCAAATAGATGTGGCTTAGAAGTGGTAAGAAAGAGATTATCCGATATATTTACTTACCATTTTTATAGCCTTTTGCTATTTCACGAATGCACTTGGAAATGTCATCCTCATGTGCCCTCATAAGGCTCGTGTAGCACAACTTAACGCTCTCGCCGTTGGGCGACTCGTTCAGCTCATCCACTTCCCCCTGGCCTATCAAACTGACTAGTGGCCGGAACTGATTAATGTAGTCCCATACGACCGTTGGCGGCAAAAATCCAACCAGGGCCAAAAAAGGCGTAAGAGCAATGGCCAATTCCGGTTTGTGATTGGGATCCTTGTAGATCTCCGGGCGATCGCGGTGCAGCTGCTCCGCTTCGCACTTATTAGGATGCACTTGGATACTGAGTGCCTTGTTTATGCTTAGGACCTTGAACAGGTACGGAAGGTCCTTCTTGAGCACCCGGTCCAATGTCTCGCCGGTTTCCTTCACTACGGACACGCCGCATACATGGGTGCCCATCCACATCTCCGCGTAAGGTTCTTCCTCGTTCAGGCGAAAGTCAGGATCATTAGCCATGGCCAATTGCGCCACCGCTGAGTTGATACCCTTGCGGCCCCAGTCGTAGTTTTTTACCCAGCCAGTCAACTCCATTTTAGCACCTTGTTTTTCTTCCGAATTCCGTAGTTCGACTGGGGCTGAGGTCAACCTGAAGGTGATAAGAAAACATATGATTGTGGCTGCGCGGGAGTTTGGCGATATTAAATACACCACTGCAAATATTTCGTGAGATGCGCATGTGGCGCAATCTGCAGTTGCCGGCTTATTGTAATCTCACACCTTTAACAACTGATAACAGCTTCTGGGGAATTAAATTTAGATTTTACTGTTAACAAAAATTTCTGCTTCTAGTCAAAATATCGAGTCCATATTAGAGATGGGCAGAATGTGTGACGAATCACGATGAAATTGTTGTTGTTTTTAAATATACATTTTATTTTGAACACTAACCATTGGCATTACCAATTTTTTAAACTAATAAAATGTAAATATATGTTTACATAAAAAATTATGTTTTATATTTCCAAAAACCAAAAACAAATATCTGTGTTTCTAAAAAATATTCGATCCCCAGATATTAAACATTTTTAGAGAGCGACCAAAAATAATTTCCGCTCGTTAGTTTTTTATTAATTTAAATTAATTTTTAACTCAAAAACATTTCACAATACAAAGCTTTGTCATTTGGGTTTCAAGCCCTCGCTATCATCTATTTTGTCAATGACCTGTTTTAAACAGTCCTTTGTCGATGTCTTTTCCAAGTCGCAGATGCGTGTGAGGTCCATTGTTGCGATCTGCTCGATCATTTCCTTAATCTTCTCCTGCTTAATAATGGACTTTACGGACTGCCGTATTCCAGGGCGTCCGCCGGGTGTTCCGGTGTGTTTTGTCGTTTGTTCCGTGGAATCGTTTTCGATTTGTTTGCCCTTGGCTCGGTAATGCTGCTCGATAATCTTTCGAATTTTAAGCTTGGTGGCGGCCCGAGACTTTTTAGATGCTTGTCCCATGGCGAGAGTCCGCAGTTCCTGGAAGTTTATCTCCTTGGCTGGCGCTTCCACAACATCCTCTTCGGGTTCAGGCTTAATATTTGTGTCTATTTCTAAAGACATCTCCTCTACAGTTGCCACAATGCCATCGTCATCATCCATATCCATTTGAAAGTTCGCCTTAAGTTTAGGTTCTTCCTTGTCCTTAGGAATATCTTCAATGGGAGGTAAGGGAGCTAACTTTTCTACAACTGGTTGCTTAGGTTTTGTCTTTTTCTCCTTGGTCTTTGACTTTTCTTTTGGAGTGACTAGTTTTTTTTTAAGTATACCAATGCAAGGTTTAGTTTTAATTCGCACTGGTAACAGTGAGTTGTACTGGATTCCAATACTATTAAAGCAGTCAATAAACTCCAGAGTATCAAATTCGTTTTGAAGTGAGGCCCACAGTTCAGTATTTTGCTTGTTTTTTGCCTCCACCAAGAGATGGGTGTACTCTTCTAAGTCCGCTTGGGTATAGTTCATTGACTCGTCTTTACTGTAGATCCACTCCTCTTGTATTTCCATAAAACGAGAAGCTCCACTCTGGGCGGCCAAGTTGGAGATGTGCACGGAAACATTTGAAGAGCCAGCCTCTAAGCGATGCAAACGGGAAAGAGCCGCTCCTCCCGGATAGTTTGTACCAGAAATTACCAGCAAAAAGACCGTCAAAAAAATATTCAATATGAGGTGAGCTCCGCAGGCGAGCGCCAGAAAGCTGTGCCAATTGGACTTGGCGCTGTTCATCCAACTAAAAGGGGAAGAAATCATTCAATAATAATATTAAACAAGAAAGAAGTTAATTAAGTTACATGCGTTGGCATCCACAAGCAGCGGCAATGTTGAGTACTGGAAACACATATATGATAAAACGCAGTTCCTTGTGGGGCAGAATGGAGTATAACAGGACAAACAGCAGAGCCGAAAGAGCCAATGGGCGAATCCGTGGTTCCAGAATAACTCCGATAGGCACAAACACCAACGAGGCACCCATAGCACGGGGAAGGGCCGAATAGAAGTACCACAAAAAGGGCGACGTGCCCCAGTTTGAACTCTTGTTTAGGATAGTGTTGTACCAGAGCACCTCGCCCTCGGGCCAAAGCAACCGGCGCCAAAAGAACGAGTCGACCAGCACTGTGGCCGCCAAAACGCAGACGCCCGCCGGCAATGCAATCTTCAGCAGCCTATTAATAAACAGATTAGTATAAAATAGTAAGTAAAGATCGATCACCTCACCCATCAATGGATAATTTTTTCTGCAGAAGGCTAATTGCCAGCAAAAGACCCAAAAATAAAGCCAACTCGGATCGAAAGACAAGGATAGATATCCCTGAGCAGATGATGAATGGCTTTTGCTGGTCGCGCAGCCAATAGGCAATGGCAAATAGCACTGCAAAAATCAAGCTATAAGAGAGATATATCGACAAAACAGTTGAGATTCACCTATAGGCAGAGCAAAAATGTTTGGCAGAGGCCGCGTCATGTAGAACATGAAGTGAAACTGCGTAATGGTGATGGCTGTAAACCACAGACGCACTTCAACGCCGTAAATTTTGGTCACCGCTTGCCGTAGGTTATTCCAGGCCACGGAAATGGCTCCAGCCAGGACAAGGCGCACTGGAGTAAAAAAAATATACTTCAGTTTTCGGGAGTTTGCAATTCTAAAGCTGATTTTACCTACATATTGGGCCCAGAACTTGTTGATGCTCAGGGTTTCAAAGAGGAGGACGAACGGGGCGGAGATCATGGACACCACCAATGGACCGATAAAGGTGCGGGGCACCACGCCCGGATATTCATGGTGATCGTACTGAGGAGCAGGAAGATAACAATTAGTAAACTAAAGGAAAATGTAGAATTCTATTTTAACCCACCTGCGTAAAGTTGTTGCGCAGATATAGAATGTCGTGCATGGCCTGCAGGTTGAAGCTCTCCTCAACTTTTGTAAAGGGCGTGTAGACCAGATGGGCCGCCGCCGTCAAAAACACCAGAATGTCCATGGTGAAACGGTCTTTGGTTGTCGCTAGTATACTAATAATGCTGGAGCAGAAATCTATACATTACATAATGGCCATAATCGTTGTGACACCGATATTTTAATATTTTCAACCGTTGGAAAATCTATATGTCTATCTCGGTTGGTCGATCTGTCATTAAGTTCCTTGTCCCGGCCGGCGTTGCACAATAGTTGTTGGTAATTAACAACCTTTCTTAGAAAAATGATTAACCGATTCACTGAAGGTGGCAATGTTTAAGCATATATATGTCCTATACCGAAGAGAATACGTGTTTCCAAAATAAACCAAAATAGATATATAAATAGATCGCTCCACGTCGGAGGCAGAAAAGCAATCACAACAAAAGCAAGAGTAAGATAAAACAACAGGTCCGTTTAACAGCTGATTGTCGTTCACATTGTAACGCAAAACTAAATACAAATTTTTTTTTAGCAAAATAAGGTTAATGGATCATTTGTATTGTATTTAATATACGGGAAACAATATCTGTAAAGACTTTTTCACATTAATTATTTACTGGTCCCCAAAAATTTGATTCCGTACGTCCATGTCACATAGGCTTTTCATCTTTGGCCATTCTCAACGCTAGATAACTTTTATCGATAACTTCCCAATTCCACTCTGGTTTAGCTTTTGAAAATTCAAGTCATCCTTTTTTTCGAGACTGCCGAATCATGACTAAAAAACGCTTGTTGAAGGAGGAAATTGCCATATTCCACCAAGAGACACTACATGAATACGATGGGCTGGATCCCCATGACTTGTATGTGCTTTACAAAAAGCTCCAAATGGAATTGGAGCTCATCCAGGTGCAGGAGGATTATATCAAAGAGGAACAACGCAATCTAAAAAAGGAGTTTATCCATGCTCAGGAGGAGGTGAAGCGCATTAAGGCCGTTCCGTTGGTAATTGGGCAATTTCTTGAGGCGGTTGACGTCAATAATGGCATAGTGGCTTCCACCACTGGATCCAATTACTATGTTCGTGTCCTGTCTACGATTGATAGGGAGCAACTAAAGCCCGCTTCTTCGGTGGCCCTCCACAAGCAGAGCAACTGTTTGGTGGACTTGGTTCCGCCGGAGGCGGACAGTACCATAACGATGCTAACGCCGGAAGAGAGACCCGATGTCAACTACTCGGACATTGGAGGGCTGGATATGCAGAAGCAGGAGATCCGCGAGGCTGTGGAATTACCACTGACTCATGCCCAGCTCTATAAGCAGATTGGTAGGTAGTCCAGAGATGTAGGAATTCCTACTCATTAGCCCCCGATTTTAGGTATTGATCCACCGCGTGGAGTGCTCCTTTTTGGTCCACCTGGCTGCGGAAAAACCATGCTGGCCAAGGCGGTGGCTCATCACACCACTGCTAACTTTATTCGTGTCGTAGGCTCCGAATTTGTCCAGAAGTATTTGGGCGAAGGACCTCGCATGGTAAGGGATCTCTTCCGTTTGGCCAAGCAAAACGCTCCTTCCGTCATCTTCATCGATGAAATCGATGCCATTGCCACTAAGCGCTTTGATGCCCAAACAGGTGCAGATCGCGAGGTGCAGCGAATCCTGCTGGAGCTGCTTAACCAGATGGACGGCTTTGATGAGACTACCAACATCAAGGTTATTATGGCTACCAATCGTGCTGATACCTTAGATCCGGCTCTATTACGCCCCGGGCGTCTGGATCGCAAAATAGAGTTTCCACTTCCAGATCGTCGTCAAAAGCGTCTGGTTTTTTCCACTATTACATCGAAAATGAATGTGGGTGAGGATGTTGACCTAGAGGACATAATAGCTCGTCCGGACAAGATTTCGAATGCTGACATAAATGCCATTTGCCAGGAGGCGGGAATGCACGCTGTGCGCGAAAATCGATACGTTGTCAATGCCAAGGATTTCGAAAAGGGGTACAAGACCAGCGTGCGCAAAGACGAAGCCCAACATGAGTTCTACAACTAAATGTATAACCGCTTATTAAAATATTTTACGTTTGAACTTATAATGAAAATAAGATCCAGTTCAATGATCGCTAAACCGTTTTGTTTTGATTTTTGATACCTTTTTTACGATTTTGATTATATTTGGAGATGGTTCTTAAGCCAATCCCGTCAGGTATATAGGCTATATCAACTTTATTTCCGAGATGTTAAAGAAAAATATTTCTCGGCCGATTTGATTTTTGAAATCTCAAGAGATTTCCTTTATACCGTAATACGAAGATCTAAAAATAACGAACAAATTCGAGTTTTGGCGGCCAATTCTATGATATCGATAGCTTTCGATAACAACAGGGGGTGGTAGGTTGGAATGTGTTATTTTTCGCAAATCCATGTGACTGCTCAAACAGCTGTTGGTTCAAAATTGCTTTGCTGATTTTGCCGGGTTTTGTTTTGGGTTTATACATATAAGTTTTGTATATTTATTACCGGCTGCCAAGATGATGCATCTGGAGCGGTACGTGACAAAAATAAAGCCCGCCATTGAGGGCTTTATAAAGGAGCCCAGCAAGGACACGCTGTCCGTGGTGGAGCGCGAAATCGAAGGATTCAATTTTGGGGAAATGCGTATTTATCAGGTGCAAACAGTGGTGCCCTTGGTGGTTAAACTAGATGAGCTAACCGGGTGAGTGACTTCTGCTCCCATAAATTAGCCCTTCTCAGAACAATATCGTCTCCTTCAGGGAAAACCAGGAACTACGCACCAGTCTGATGAATTGCCTGAGCAACATTGTCTCCCAAACTTACCTGGCGGACGAAAAGGGTCTGCGCTCCATCCTGGTGGTGGTGCTACAGCAGGTACGCGACTCAAAGGCAGCTGTCATGCGACCAAACCTCTCCGAGGAGATCAAATTAGCGGCCATTCAGTGCATATTTGAAGCACTGCGTCGCTCAACCACCGATGTGCTTGAATCCTTCTACACGAAGGAAACGGCGATGGTGATTGGCCAGATACTGATTATGCTATTGGAAATAATTGAACAAGAAAAGTATCGCAAACTAGTTCAGTCAGCCATCCAGTGCCTTATGGTGGTTTTCTATGTACACGACGAGTCTGATCATGTGGATGTCGTGCTGCGTAGCCAGGTGGCAAATACCATATTTATTTTTCTGCCCAAAGTCCTTATAGTGCTGTTTAAAACCTCATTAAAAGATGATAAGGTCGGCGAGACCCTAAAATCGGTGAGTCTTCATAAAGAGTCATATTTTAACAACCAGTAACGAATTATTATTATTTTTAGATGGCTATTCAAGCCCTAGGGCGCATAATCTGCATTATGTTCGAGGAAACCACTGATGAGTTTATGAAAATGCGCTACGATGTATCAGCATTTAGAAAACTGTTCAATAGCTCAAAGGACAATATAGCCGAGCAAACTGATTTCATCTTTTTTGGAAGCAAAAAAGCGACCACCGAACAAAATGAGGAAAGGCTGCATCAAATGCAAACGGAGCCAAGATCTGTCCAATGGGTAGTGGCGACGTCACGACGCCTACGACCAATCTTTGTGGAGATGAGTATACTGCGGGCGCATACCGCCTTGAGGGTGAGGGAAAGCTTCTCTGAAGTGTGTTGCCTGCTGCTCAAGCATTGTGCCCACAATCTGAGAAGCAATTTTATCCATGTACTAGAAAGCGTGCTGGCTTTGTCAGAGGACGAGAATGAAAAGATATCTAGGCGGTGCAGAGAAACCCTGAATTTTCTCCAGCAGCAGCCCAGCATCCAGGGAATATTCGACGAGAATGCTGAGATGTTGCTAGATGCTCACCTCAACAAGTGGCCTCGCATTCTACACCGCTGCGAGGATAATGAGCAATTCGCCGAGCTACTTTTCTTCAAGGGATTTCTGCGCAACGTCAACACCGAAAAGTTGCAATTACTGCTGCTAGTCCCTAAAAACCTAGAGATGTTTGTCAACTGTCTGTTGGCAGCTCTTGACCAGCAGCCCACTAGAGACCTTCTAAACGAAGAGTATAGCCTTCGTCGCATCCAAAAGGGTGAATCCAAAGGTCTGGCTGCCGAACTGGCCAAACTGCCATGGCGCCAATTTAAGCATCTTGCCTCGAAGCGCACAGTGGGCATTCTGTATGATATTGGAGCCCTTTTGGGAGCTCAGCCTTCTATTAGTCGTCTAATCTTCGACTACTGTCAAGAGCTTATTCAGCAAAGGTCCTCTTCCATGAACGAGTGTGTGTTGCTCATTACTCTGATGGTTACTCCGCAGGAAAAGAAGGCTCGTGAAAGTCGTTTGGTGCTTGCTAATCTTTTCCTGGACCAGATTCTCCGGGACGAACACTGGAACCTGGCTCTCCAACCAGATGCAGCTTGGCGTCTGAAAGTCCATAAGGTGAGTCTGAGGTACTTTGACTCAGTATTTTCTATAATTAAGTTATTTTTATTAAGCCCACCCACTGGTTTGAGGAACATACTCCCGGTCTCTATTCATCGGCTGTGGAGGTGCGCACCCAGGACTGCGATTCTGACGACGAGCAGACGGAGGTGGTCGGCAGTAGAGTGACTATTGCAGACGCACAGTTCAATGTGCTGCACACCTGCTTGATTTTGGACGCCGTGGGGCACTGTGCCAGCTTTATTGGCGACACCTTCGACAGGCATATATTTTTGAGTCTGCACAAAGTCCTTCTCAAAGTGGCTAGCAGCAACACTATTGTTCACCAAGCGGCTAGTTTCGCGTTTGTTTCTATGCAGTACGCTCTTAGATATGCGGAACCTTCTCACTTCATCGAGTGCTCTACTGACTACATCACTTTCCACCTAAATTCGCTGCTGAAACGGTCACCTGATAGCACCGCCGCTGTGGACATTCTCACCGTGGTACTGCAGTACAGCACTCGGGGCAACGTTCCGCATCTAGATAGCTTATTTCATACCATACGCGAGGAATGCTCGAAATCGCATCAGTCTGCAAATGTGCACTCCTATCTGCGCGTCTTCAAAGCATTCCTTAATCACGTTTCCGACTGGCAAGTTGATGCAGCTGCTGAAATTAACGCAGAGCTGCCAATGCAAGTGGATGAGGAAAAAAGTGTTCTGAGCACATGGTTAAGTGTCCTTAATAGGCCGCAGTTAATGGATGATCTTAACGGCGACGCTGACATGGCGGAAGAGCCGTCGAAGAATGAGGAACAAGTTGAAGATACAGAACCAGAACCCTCAAAGCCTGTTTTACCGCGCCATGTAGAAATGGTAAAGGATATGTTGGGCCAAGTTATCAAATTTATTTCTACCGCTAATCAGGCGCAGCAGATTGCAGCTCTTGAATGCTTCTCCAGTGGCGTGGCTCTGTTGGCGGACTATGAAAACGAACTATTGCCATTGGTGCATCTGGTATGGCAGCCGCTCACCGAAAAATTCCGTCAAAAAGACGCATTGGTACTGAATCGTTGCTTCACTTTGCTGCACTTGCTGGGCGTTCATGCGAAGGACTTTATATTAAAACGAAGCCTTAGGTATGGTGTTGTTTACGGATAATTTCAATTTGTATCTATAAAACATCTCTGTGTCTTTCAGTGATGTGATACCACAACTGAAGCAGTTCCTCAGGACAGCTAGCATGCACAGCAGCGTGGAAACCCAAAAAGCCCAGACTCAGGAATACAAACTACAATTAAAATTACTCCAGAGTCTAGCAGACTTTATACTTGGACTTCAGATCGAGGGAAAACATCTTCACGAACTGATGTCCACGGTGGTGCTTTACCTGTCGCAAACTCAACCGCAAGAGCTGCAGACGCCTGCTAGGGAATTTTTCATCCAGCTTGTTTCCTACAACGGACCCTTTATCTATGTGACGCTGTTGCAGCGGGCGCATCTCAAGGATTACCAGGCAAATGTTAGCCAGATCTTTGGAGTCATGGGTTTTAGCATAGCTAGTGGAATCGACCTCGATTAATAAAGACAGACCGTTTTTATTATTTCACAATTGCTCTATTCTGATTTCTGTTCACTCGGTTAACATTACAGGCTCTAATGCTAGATGTCTTTTATGCATTTTCGGATACTTTGATCAGATACATACTGTTACTTATGTCAGAAGAGTATGCAATAGTTGTTAAATTGAATGAAATTTTAGGAATATTATTGAGGTATCTAACTTGAATAATTTTTATTAAGATGACTTTTTATAATATAAACAAGGCAAGGGTTGAACAAAACTGTTTTTATACACAAATTAAGCGTTTGAAACAAACAAAATTGAAGTAGAATTTTATATATGTACTCGTATATTATGTTTTGGTAGCCATAACTAAATGCTATGCATAAACAAACATTTTCTTTCCATTTTCACTTACAAGTGGAACCGCAGATGCTTGGCACCGATAAAACTTAGCATCCGACTTCTAAAGCCACTATACACTATAACATTCGTTCTGTATCAAATATAGCTGAATTTATAAAATGATTGCTGTACTGTATTTGTGATTCTGATCCGTTCCACGCCCTTCTCTTGTCCTACGCCTTATTGACTCGCAATACTCGTACTTAAGTAGTGAAGCAGCTCGCAGTGTGCATAAAGTCTATTGAGCATCTCCGAATCCATTGCCTCTCCTTTGATCATTTAAAGCTGGCTGCTCTGCGGTTGTGGGTTCTCAAGCTGTTTGTATTTTTTGTGTGTGTTGTGTGGGAGTATGTTTTAAGCTATTGAAGTTAATTGGAAACTGACTACGCCAGCCAGTTCATTAAGCTGTTGGCATAGGCCATGGGCTTGACGTCGGGATGTGGCTGCAACGATTGCCATTATGGTATATTTGGTATAGGGAGTGTCCTATCGTTGTACTTACCACAGCCTCGAATGACTTGTAATTTGGTTTCAGGTTGTTACCCGTAATGGTAATAAATGCGCCCATGTTGCCCATAGTATCACTGTAAGAACAGACATCAATTACCTCGTGCCTTCTTGGGGAAATATGTATGCTCACCAATAGTTAGGAGCTGAGAAGACTGTTATGCACTGGCCGTTGTGGGCCACCTCGTATCCCATATCCTTGACTTCGTGGCTTCGTATAATGTAGTCCAGGTTGTTGTTCTGGCAGAATGTTTCAGTCACGTCCGGACCGAACTGAATGCCCACACCGCGCTTTGATGGCCCACGGCCCATCCACTGCTGGGGATCGGACCACAGAAGCTCGCACATTAGGCCTTCCTCCGGCGGCTGGCAGTTGCGCTCAATTCGCCGTATATTGTCCAGGGTCACGTTGTCTGAGGAAAAGAGACCGCCGTGCATAACCAGAATCTTTTGATTTATGCAGTGGCACAGCGGCAACCAGTTGAACACTTGCGTGAATATGTCCGCCATTGCGCTGGTGTACTTCGCTGTGACCTCCCCAGTGAATCCATACATTTGGTTCATGTTGATGCTTTCGTGATTACCTAAAATTAAGTGAAGCTTAAAAAAGAAAACTCCCACAATTCAATTAAAAAACAAGCATACCACGTGACAAGAAGAAATGATTAGGATACAGCAATTTGAAGCCAAACAATGTGAATATGCATTCTACAGAGAAGGAGCCTCTGTCCACGAAATCACCATTGAATAGATAGGGATTCTTTTCGGATGGCAGTCCATTAATTTCAAAGATGTTCATCAAGTCATAGAATTGACCGTGAATGTCGCCGCAAATCGTAAACTTCTCTTCATCTGGAACAGTTATATCGACCAGCGAGGGTTGCGCACGCATGTACGTATCAATTTCGCAAAGAATCTAAAAGAAGGAAAAGATTATACAATGTTTAATTGTGTAATTGTGATAGACCTCTTACTTTATAGGCAAATTTCCGGTGCAATCGCTTCTGTCCTTTGTAGTGTTCCATCAAATCCTTCATGAACTTCAGGGTCACCTTACCGTCCTCCAATTGTGGCCCCTTGTAGTCGTCCTCAATAGCTACAACACAAGCACAATGTTATTCTTATCATCTTTTAGGCGAAATGAAAGCTACTGACTTATGTTCTCCATGTCCCTGTACATCTCAGAAAGCGTCTTCTCGGGCTTGTCCACGGCAATGGCACGCTCAAAGGCGCGCATTTTCACAATCTTATTGCACTCGGTGAACTTCAGCTTGGCGTCTTTGTCGTTGGGCCGGCACTTGGCCACCTGAAACGAAATCATTGTTTAGTACTGAAATGAAAATGCAGGCGCGGATTACTTACGAATTCAAAGTCGCAAAGCGCCTGCTTGAACTTCCCAAGCGACATGTGAGCCGCTGCCCTTCGGTAGTAGCCCTTGAGGTAGGCAGGATCCGCCTTGACCGCCGAAACGCCATCCTGCAGGGCGAAACCGAAGCTCTCCTGTCGCAAGTGCGCCAAGGATCGGTTGGCGTAATATATCGCGCTGTTGGGATGCAGTTCTATGGCTTTGGTGTACATGTCAATGGCTTTGGAGAACTCCTTGGCTGTGGGAAAGGGCAAGAAGGTGAGTAATAGTACTAATTATACCCCCTTGAGTTCTGGGAGACTTGTAAATTATCACACACAGCCAAAGTTTGCCTTTGTTTTAAGGTTAGGTTGAACAAGGCACCCGGAAAGTGAATTCCCGGAATGCGTTGCGGGTGACTTGGAGTCCACTAATCGCAGCCATTACGTCCCAAGTAATCAGCGGAGTTACTTACTTTTGAGCATTTCATTTCCCTGATTTTTGTACTGCTCCGCCGCGGCAAAATCCCGTTCCGCTTTTGTACTGGCATTTGTATCCGCCTCCGTGTCCTTGGATCCCGTAATCTCTGTGCCAGCCGGCACCTGCTGCTCCTGCTGGCCATCGGCAGCCTTTTGTATTTCCAGCTCGGACGAAGACATCTTTTTTGTTGTAATAAATGATTTTCTTAAAGTTATTTACTGTCTGAAAACTATCGAAAACATCGAATAGGGGGACTATCGATAATTGTGTAGCTCTTGTCTGGTTTGTAAAAAGTGTTGAGCAACACGCGGCTTGTTTTATCGATTCCACACATTTTAATTTTAAAAGCGCGGGGGTTGTCCGTTTTTAACATAGAGGGTTTGGACTAAAAATTCCTCAAGCTTAGTTTGTTTTGTTGTATTAAACCAAACTTGCTGCTTATCGATATCAGGCTTGGCGGTGGAACTCCATTGTCAGCTGCTTTGAGGTAGGTTTACTCTAGTGGTGCGTAAGAGTCCTTAGTTATTTCGTGTCACGGCTCTATTTGAAAAAAAGCATACTGACAAAAAGAAAATAACGTATATTATAAACTTGAAAGTTTTCTCATCAGAAAACTAATCTTTGCTTTAACGTATCCTAATACAAATGAAACTATCAACAAATGTAACTAGGCAATAGTTATTACACAATAAATTTATATATGTTCACTCTATTTATGAAATGAATTTCAATGTACTGGATTTTAAATAAAATTATGTATATCTTTATTGTTTGTTTAAGCTTCGGTGAGGTTTTGAAGACATAACTCGTGCTTGTCGTGAAGAACATTCATTTATGCGCGCATCTCTAGCTTACACAAAGCCGAGCTGTGGGAAATATTAGAAGCGGAAACGGGTTTTACTTTTACAGGTAACTTTGGAGCGCAGCGCTCTCCAGCATTAAGCAGTTTAGCTAGCAGTCTGGAGTTGCAGACCCAACGAAACGAACGATTTCAAAATCAGAAACTGTGCCAGCGCATCGCGTAGGCCAGAAAAAAAACAAAGAAACATTGCGGGGGCGTCATCGTGGTGGGAAATAGCAATATAAACAAACGGCAGCGGGATGTCGATGAGCAATCTTTCAATTGACGGGGAGTTCCGCTACATTATCCAGTGGTTCAATGAATGGAGCGAGTTGCAGCGGGATGATTTTGTCTACGTTTTCGTAGAGTACCTTGCCCGCGGTTCCAGCGATGCCCATGTAAATGGCCTGATCAACTCGCTGGCAAATGCATCCGTGCAGGATAAGCCGATGAGCCTGTTTCAGTGTCGCGTAAGTAAAAGAAAGTTTGGCTTTCCAATATCCATTTCCCTTCTCACTGTTTAATGTCCGCAGATCAAACTGTTTCGTGAATGGAGCCCCAAGTGGCCGATCGAGTTTAAATGCAAGCTACAGGAGAAGATCAGCGAGATCGACGCAAAGGTGGGGGAGAAGATCATCAATGAGCTGCGGGGTCCCCATTCCGTGCACAATGGCAACGTAGCTGTGCATTTAAATGCAAATGGGGCGAGCGAAGAAGTTGGGGACTCTGAATTGGAGCAGGCTGCAGTGGAGGTAGAAGTGGCAGAGGTCGCAGCTCCAGTGGCAGAGGAAGACACTGAACCCGCTGCCGAAGCCGATGACAATCGCTTGGCTGCGGTTTTAAGCCAAGAGACGCCCGTTGATGACGATGTTGACGTGGTGGAAGAATCTGTTGGGGAAAACAGCAATAACATTGCCGATCTAAATGGCCATTATCCAACGGCTGCAGTGACAACGATTGCGGTGAATACGTCTCCATCTCCATCGCCATCCCCGACTCCCCAGCCGATCGTCGAACCTGTAGAACAGGTCGAGAATAGCGTTACTGTTTCTGTGGCATCTGCAGAGGTTCCCCCGGTGGCTTAGACTCCGCACGATCGTTCAGAACAAACCAGATCGACTATAAAAAGGCATAATGAGTAGTTAAGTATTTTAGTTGTACATCATCAGCAACAGCAACTCGACATTCCATGCGATGCATTTCTAGTTATGTAAGCCCATCTTTAAGCCTACATCTGGGCTTGGCCACTAAGTAAGAATTTATTCGCATTCCGTAGGCCTTAGCCTGTTCATCTATCGACTAACTTAAGAGAAAGCATTAAAGTAAAGAAAGCCTCATTAATACACGAAAGAGAGTTTCAGCCTCTGAAAAGTATGTCCTGACGATCTGCTTCCTTTTCCTCGACTTCATCTTAGGTTGGCTATCTAGCAAAACATGTTTTGTAGTGAGTTGTTCTGGCTGCTAGTCGCTTACTCAACAAGCCGGCTTTGTCGCTGCTCTTCGTCTGCTCTTTGGCTTTGGCCCAAACTGACTACGGACCTGATAATTGGTTTTTTGAGTTCTCTTTTTGTTTTGATTCGTCGCTGCTGAAATCGAAATCTGAATAGAGCTGGACGTGGAAGTAAGATATGCATGCTGGCTTGGAGATTGGACCAATTTATTTCAATTTCGCACTTGGACGGGTTACGTTGTGTTGCCGGAGATCCAACTTTTGATTTCGATCGTATAAAATGCGTCGCCCAGAACTTATCAGCCTTTTCATCTGCATCCTTTGGCTAAATGGTGAGTAACATGGGGATCCCTGGAATAAGACAACTTTCAAGAATCGGACATGCGATGGGTGGGGGGTAATTAAAGCACCATCCGCTAAGTGGGTCAAGGTCGGCAGCTAGAAATTCCCAGCGGCAAAGCGAAGGGCAATAAACCGCGCGAATGATAGCGAACGCCGAACCAAAAAAGTGAGTGAGTAATTGCCGGGGGCACTTCTGGTTTGCTGGTTTTCTGGCTCGCGATTGCCTTGCCGACATTGACCTTCGAGCGTTGATTTCTTGCCTTGTCATCCAGCCAGTCCGTTTTCGTTTCAGGGGATCGCGGAGCCTCCGCTTGCCACTGCATCCGCCTGGGGAAGTGTGCTTCCTTTGCCCGCCTGCTACTGCATCACGGTCCCGGTGAACAGTCCGCCGTGTTCGCCAAAGTGCACGACGCCAGTTGTGGTTTCCAAGGCCTCGAACTACTGGTCTGCTGTCCCACATCTCGCAAACAAATCCGCGATGACTCATTCTTAGCCAAGCCAAGTCGCATGATGCGTTTTGCCCCGCCGGTCGATCGCTGGATTTGGGATGATGGTGGGGAGAGTACGGGCAGTAGACACAGCCACAGCCACTCGGATTATCTGGAGACGGAAACGAATCTCCACAACTATTGGGACTTTGGGGAGCAACGCAACTGTCCACCGGTAGTGGAGCCCGAATTTTTCGACAAGCGTTTTGGTTTAGGTCACCACTTCCTTTATCAAGTGGAGCATGGAGACGAGGGTACCACTTCGACGCGACCTACTCCCAAGGACAAGCCCATTGTGTTTCCCGGCGATCTGCGCTTTCTGCAGCAAGGCGAAGAAGATGTCAGCTTTAACATAGAAAAAGGACCTCCACTGGCTCCATTTACCACCACTCCACCTACAACAATCGCAACCAGTCCACCTTCTACAACACCCACATCGATATTGCCTTTACGGCGAGAGAACCCAACAGGATGTGGTATGAGTGTAGAGAGCCGACTATTAGGAGGGGAACAGGCCACAGCTGGACAATATCCCTGGTTGGCCAGGATCGCCTATCGCAACCGAAGTAAGTAAAGCATGGGGAACATAAAATACGCAATTTTGAATTTATTTTACCCTCCTCCAATTGACGCATCGGCTTGGTGGTAAGTGATCTTTGTCGCATTGGCCGGCAGAAATCCCGTTCTGTGTAGATTTAACCAATTGCATTGGCCACGATGCCCAATTTTATGGTGAGAAAGACACCGAAGGCGAAGAGCAGAGCACCCACTCCAAGAGCCTTGGGTCCTCGATTGTTCGGTGGCGCCCTAAGACCGAAAGGACCACCGCCTGCTCCGCCATCGCCATCTTTGGGTCCAGAGCCACCTTTTCCTTTGGGATCATTATTTCCACCATCTTTTCCCTTGGGTCCGTTTTTTCCGCACTTGTTGCACTTGGTTCCGCCGCACGGCTTGGGACCGCAGGGCCCACGCTTCTGGTTTGGCCCACCTGCACCTCCAGGGCCACCGCCACCACCACCACCTCCGGGTCCAGGAGGTTGGCGAGATTGGGGGTCCCTTGACTGAGATGGCCGTCTCCCTCCGGAACAAGGACATGAGCACATTTTGTACTGGAAGGAGCTGCAGTAAAAATAAAATTTTAATTGAATGTTTCTATGTACATCTTGTTTTTAGGCAGCAGCCGAAGTAGTTTTCGTTGCTCCGGATCCCTGATCTCCAGCAACCACATCGTGACTGCCGCTCATTGTGTTATCAATTTGGTCAGCGATTTGGAGTTGTAAGTTTGGAAAATAATATAATCTACTCTAAAACCAGCTTCCCCACAGATCTCATGTACGATTGGGAAGTCAGAATGACTCAAACTCGTTTGCCATCGAGCGGGTTATTGTGCATCCTAACTACGATCAACCAAAGTATGCCAACGACATCGCTGTGGTCAGGATAAATAGCACCAATGGTATGTACAGTTATTTTTGTTCTTTGGATAACTCTTTGGCTGAATAAACTTCTACTTTTCAGGCGCCTTTACACCCATCTGCTTACCCTTGGAAGGATCAACCACACTCGGGAACAGGCTGATTGGACAAACGGGAGTTGCTGCCGGCTGGAGTACTGGTAATCCGGAAAGTGAGTCTCGAAACAATTTTGTGGCGTCTGGTTTGTTTACCTTATCATCTAATTTTTTTTTAATATTTTCTACATTATTCGGAGCCTTCTAAGCTTACGCTTTAATGTTTTTGTGTTGAGACAAGTTAAAATACATATACATATGTATATTTAAGAATATTTAATCATTAAAAACAATGTTGTTGTCTTTAGATAATCGCTCTGTGGACTCCGCAAACACTTCCGCCGGGGTGCGCTTTATCCGATTGCCTATAGTGAACACCACCAGCTGCGCCATCGCATATGCAAGCCTTAGCGAGAACTTCCAGCAACCCATCGTCATCACCCCGAACCACCTGTGTGCCCAGGGAATGCCCATGAACGACGTCTGCCGAGGGGACAGTGGCGGACCCTTTATGGACGACGGAACCTCTGGTCTGTTCGGAACTAGTGGACGCCATACGCTTATAGGAATAGTTGCCTTCGGACCCACTCTGTGCGGTGTTACCACTATTCCGGGGGTCTATACCTTGGTGAGCAGTTTCTCCGATTGGATCTTGCGGAGCATCAACGGAGAAACGAACCAGTGAGAGATCATGACGGGATCCCAATCCGACAAAGCTTATCCAAAACTTCAATACCAAAGCCTTCAGAGTACATTCAAATAGAAAACGGTGAACCATTCATTCGGTGGATTAATGAAAAAAGTTCTGCTGCCTATTTAAATCAACAATAATAAAATGTGCATTTAAAACATTCTTATACATTCATTTTTGTATGTGGTGTTTATTTTCTTTATTACATTTGTATACCTATACAAGCTTTTTAAATGATTCGGATTAACTTTCTAGGCACGAAGTTTTAGGGAAATATTACGGCCATATTAGGCGCAGTACAAAGCCAGACCTTTAAACAATTAGTTCCGCTATTTAACTCTGGTTAATGTTATTAATAATTACAACTGGAAAAATATTTAATTATATAATCATTAATGTGGGCAAAATAGTACACGTCAATGCTAATAATATTAATGAGTATTCCGAAAAAATGACAGAATAGTATAAAATTCATTATGGGTTCGATTTCTTGAAGCTTAACCCCAAAGACTTTTGAGATAAGTTTTTGCTGTCTTTCAACACCTTTAAATGGATGAAGTAAAACAACTTGGTTGAATTTTGTTTAAATATTTTTTGAATTAGTTTTAATCCTTTATTCCTATAATAGCATCATTTACTTTCACGAACTTCATTTACCATATAATGAAGCTGCAATAGAAACAGAAGTTCGTACATTAAAATAAATATGCATGATTCAAAGAAATCTTAAATGAAAACTAATACAATTTCATTTTTTTTTTAAGACTTACACTTATCTACGTGATCTTCATCATCAGGCTCTTCATAGAAGCTCTCGTCCATTACGTTATCGTCCTCCATCTTTCCAAAATTCATGTTCTCCAAGTTCTTTAGCTCGACCTCTAATTCTTCGCGTCTGCATTCTATAAAGACATCAGCTTCGCTTTTGCTTTTACTCAGCAGTTTTTCCGTTTTAGCAGAATGGTGTTTTGGCCGAAAGAACAGGTGTGGTTTCGTTTTGGTTCTTATATGGTTTTTCGAATACGACATGGTAGCTTCCCAGGCCTTGAAGTCCTTCATCCTGGCCATTTTGTACTCTAGTCTACGGATCTCGAATTGCTTTTTTTTCCTGTCCAAAAACAGAGTTTCGCGTTGTTTCCTCAGCAAGGCTCTTTCCTGGAGTTCCTGTTTTTCCACCTTCTTTTCGATCTCAGCTTTTTTGTCCTCCTTACTTTTCAGACGTGACTCTTCCTGGCAGAATTTCTGCAGGGTTCCCAGTAGCGAACCGAACATCCGACGGTTCCGGGCTCTTGACTCGGAATCTGTTCCCTGCGCTTCGACCACCTCCTTTTTGGTGGGCATTTCCCGGATGACCCGGGAGTTGATCCTTGGTGGTCGTCCATCGTTCTCCTCGATGGGGAACCGTTGAATGGGGTTTTTCCCGTCGAACATACGCCGTTTGTCTTTCAAGAATACCCCTCCTGGCCCATTTCGGGGAAACTGTCGTTCGCCGTTGTGGTCGTTCTTCTTTCCATCGTTGCTATATTTGAACTTCTCTGATCTGAAAGTAAGAGGAATTACCATTAATTTAATTTGTTGTGGCATTAATTTTATTCATTACCTCTGCTGGGAATCTTTAGGGACGCGACCTGCAATGCGGCGAATGTTTTCATTTAAAATCACCAGCGACTGCTTGGCTGAGTTCAGTTTTTGTTCCAAGTCATCAACAGTGGATAGACCCGAGTTAACCATTGTTCCTACAAATCAATTGAATAATTTTTTACTTAATCCTCAACCCGGCGCACGGGAAATCGGTGTGACTCGGTTTAAATAAAAATAAAGAGCAAGCAAGTATTTTTTTGGGAGGTCTAGGTTTCCACGACCTCCGTAGGTGCCGTGGGAATTTTTGGCCGCCCTCGCGCACGTGAAATTTGCAAAGGTTTTATTTCTTAAGAGAGTTTCTTTACAATGTTTAGATATTTATTTAAGGCGAGAAAATTTGTTGTGTGTTGGTAAACGTTTGTCTTTTAATGTTTGAAACTAGTATATACCTTGGTATTTTCCAGGGATGAATGGCGTTGTTCAACAGTGTTGTACAAATAGCTTATAAAACTTTCAGTAACGTCAATAAAAACCAATTAAGCGTTTTAAAAGTTTTAGTTTTTTCTGCATTCCAATTGCTGTAAATTAAAAAAAAAAAAGAAAGAAACGGGAAGTTTGTGGTACAAATAGAGATGAGAGATGAGTCGATAGGTTTGTTATTTTTAAAAAGAAAATAAAACTTCAAATTTACCTATCGATAACAAAAAATACAGTTACATTTGCAAAAATACGTTAAATTTTTTTTTTTTTTTTTTGTATTGAAACAATCTGTTTATTTTTCAAAGCTAACCAATTAAAGGAAATAAAAAAAAACTGAACTTAGTAAAGCTGATAAGTTAGTAGAAAAACCCCTTTTCTAAGTCTCTAAATCTTCATAAAAACGTAGCTAGCAATAATCAAAATATTCATGGAAATATCTTAGGAACACGGATGCACTTTGATCAAAAATTTTATATAATATTCCGAATGCCTTTTTAATATTTGCCATTACAAAAATGTTATGATCTAGGGCATCTGTTTAGTCTAATTTACATCGACTACAAACCCCTTTAAACCCCTGCCGCTCAAGTACCCACGGGATTCTGTACTCGCACTCGAAATGAAACTAGATACATTGGGCGGACTCCGAGGATTTTAGTTTCTTTGTCCGGCAAAAGGATAAGACGTTCATTCAGAGCGAGAGGAGTTGAGAGAACCGATGCAGCTGTCCGTCCGGAGAGCTTTTACTGTATATTTGAACGTACATTATAAGGTCGGACCTGCACGCCTCCTTTGCTTTTGAGCTTGTTTTTAAAATAGAATCCTCTCGATAGTGGTTATTTGTGATGTGAAGCGAGTGCATAAATTCCCTTGTGTTTCTCTAGAAGAAAAAAAAATAATGGACATTCCTAAATGCATTATGAGAACATTCATATTTTTGCTGCCGACAAGTTTCTACTCATATTAAGAGGAAGAAAAAGGATGTTTAAGTCGAACAAGACAAGCGGATGCACGTACATACACATGTACAAAGGTCATAGTTGCAATGTTTACATCAAAAGCTCCCTTCCATGCGCATGCGCCTGCCGACAAGCTTTTTAGCCCAGGTTTGCAGGTGTAGTGCGATGGAATTTCGACGTGTTAGTTTCGCATCGCGGCTAGAAAAGTAATATAACTTTCTGCAAGAGTTCGTTATTTTCCATCCTGGTTTTGAATAAAATTATCTGCTCAACTTAGCATCGTAGAATACATTTGTTTTGTGTGTACTCCCCATTCGGAATCCTGCAAACGTGCGCATATGAAAATAAGCAATAGTAAAGTGTATCCTGGGATTTGGCAAACATATACAAGTGCATAGGAAAAAACATACGCGCATACATACTCGTACATTAAATAAAATCAAATCCATGACCGTCGAAAGAGCATAAAATATATAATTTATTAGTTTTGAATGGTCAGTGGCATACGATCCGATTAAACATACCCGAAAATATGTCTAAGCTTAGGTATACGCAACTACTGCAAAATATATAAACCTATGTGTTATACATACAATGTTATATCCCGTGTATATGTGTAATTGAGTGTTCATACACAAGTGTTGGTGTGCTCATCTTCCGTGAAAATTCAGATGATAAAATGTAACGCATTACTCAATTAAACTTTCCAATCCGAAATACTATATTAGAGGATTAGATAATGAAACCTACAAAATAAACTCAAATAGCATCTAATTACCGCTATTCCAAAAAAGTATACAGCATGGAGTTATTGCTAATATTTATGCTAGCACTTCAACTCATAGAATCCAGCAGCGGAAGTAAAGATGGTAAGCTTAAACTTAAAATATTACCTATTAAAGTGTTCCTTAAATAGATAACAAATTGCATTAATAGTATTTATCCCGACCACTTATATATTAAAAAGCTATCAAATTAAAGTGAACTTTATAGATTAATATAATGAAATAGGATAAGTGGTTTAAAACGCGCAATAAAACCTCTTTTTTAAGTTTATATTTAAATACCTTAAATCAACTTCATTTTTCCAGTACCAATTCACCAAATCGAGTCTCTGGTCGGTGAAAATATTTATCTTCCGTGCAATGTCACAACATATGATGGCGATGAGCCTGTGTTGGTTTTATGGTACCGAGATGATAAAGGTACCCCCATATACAGGTAAATTAATAAAGTAAAACTCCCATAATAAATATATTTAATTATTTTTTGTAATTATTGATGCCAGACTTTGTCAGTTTTAATTTATTTCGGCTTGTTTCGGGGTTCTTGACATAGTTAGTACAACGCAATTTTAACTTTTTAGCATCGACATTCGCGCTGGAGTATCCAAGGCACCAAAAAGATGGTCCGACGATTCTGTCTTCGGGGATAGAGCTTATTTTATATTCGACAAGGAACCGGGAAAACTTTCCATTCAAAACACACAGGCATCCGATTCGGGGACCTATAGATGCAGGGTGGATTTCCTAAAAGCGCAAACCATTAACAGCCGCATCAGACTCAATGTCATATGTAAGTGCATCAAGTCAATTGACTTTGCAACTGCTCATTAAAAGTGCCATGGTTTTATTTGGTTTCGGTTCAACGAACGGCCAAAAGTGATTGGTTGGAGGATAATAATTGCAACGTATACTTATCTTTTCTCCTAGCTCCACCAAAGCAAGTTATTATTCGGGATAGCTCAAATGTGGAGCGCTCTACTGTCGTGGGACCATATAGCGAGGGCGACATCGTTTCCCTGAAATGCCAAGTAATTGGAGGTATGTGATGCGAAGATTAAGTAAGCCTGCATTAAAGATTTTAATGCCACATAAAGACAGGAGTCTAATATATGTATTATAGCTGAACAAATATTTCAAATGATGATTACTGAAACTTGTTGTGTTGTTTTCATTTTTTAGGCTACCCAACTCCCACAATAAGTTGGTATCGAGATGGTCTCGAAATACCCTGCGAACTGGCCCACTTGGCAGGCGGCAAGCTAATCGAGTGCGAAATCACACTTCCTTCGCTGGGCAGGGAAGATCTCAACTCTCGACTCACCTGCCGGGCACTAAGTCATCCCAGAGCACCCATCGTTGAGGCGGTAGTTCAAATAGACATGAATTGTAAGTCCATCAGGCGGAAAAGGCCTGAACACAACTATCTCGTTTCTAAGTGGACATGGTACACAGTTGACATTTCGACCGTTTCCAGTTGCCCCTTTAAATATACGACTGCTGGGGGCACACCAGCCATTGTCTGCTGGCCGAAGATACGATCTCCTGTGCCAAAGTGCCGGCTCCAGACCGCCTGCCGTAATTACTTGGTGGCAAAATGGGATACGGCTCGAGAAGACCACCGAAACTGTAAGCACTCGTGGTCGGCTGTAATAAAGGGCACAATATACTCTCAACCTTATTTATTTGTACTATCCCCAGACTTCGAGCGATGGCAACCAGACAACGAGCACGCTTTCAATCAGCCTGAGCAAATCTGATGCGGGGAAGTATTTATCGTGCAAGGCCTACAATCACGCCGTTCCCTCGGAGCCTCTGGAAGACGGCTGGAAACTAGACATTCAATGTGGGTTTTACTAACGCACATTTATAATTAATTTGTATAACCATATGCTTGGCTTTCAGATGTCCCTGAAGCATATGTTCGTTTGGGAACATCTCTGGATCCCAGCACTTTGCGCGAAGGAACAGACGTGTACTTCGATTGCCTGGTCATGGCTCATCCGAATGTTTTTCGCATTGAATGGCGTCACAATGTAAGTCCTTCAAACATCTTTGATGAGTTTTAAGGTCTTATTACCTTTTATTCTTTTAGGAGCAACCCCTGTCCCACAATATTTCCCAGGGCGTTATTATAAGCAACCACTCGCTGGTTTTGCAAGGTGTAACGAGGGCTACAGCCGGAAACTATTCTTGTGTCGGATTCAATGCCGAAGGAGAGGGAATCAGTGCTCCTTTTGCCTTGAATATCTTGTGTAAGTCTATTTCACTTTATACAGATTCTTTTGCTATCCCTCAAGCCATTTGCCACCAATCAATATTACCAGTTTGCTTACCAATTGCTTGTTAATAACACGATTTTCTGGATTTGAACTTTATTAGGCCAAGTAATAACCGCTTAATCTATAATTTTATTTCGCTGACAGATTTCTTTTTGCCTTAAATAAACCAACAGAGTACAAATTTCAAAATAGATAAAAGCAACATCATAACTTCGTTTATTTTCTACCACGTTTCTTTTCCCCGGAAAATCTGGCTTTAAGAGATAATTAATTTTTTTATGGCCTGCTCTTTATGTCCGTGTTTTATAGATGCCCCCACGTGTGCACAGAATCAGAAGAAAGTGTACGGCATAGCGAAGCAGGAGGATGCAAAGGTCATGTGCACCGTGGACGCCAATCCACGAGAGGTGGAATTCAGCTGGACATTTAATAATTCTGCGGAGAGCATTGACGTTGCCACAAATCATATTATACGCTCGGGTAGGTGATGGCTTCTTTGACTCTTTTCAGGCAATTAAAACTGGATTTTCATAAACCATTTTTCAGGCACCACATCTATAGTAACGTACACCCCCATTACTGAACTGGATTACGGAACTCTTTTGTGTTTGGCGTCGAATAAAATTGGCAAACAGAGAATACCATGTGTCTTCCATATAATCGCTGCAGGTGAGTGTTTTTTTGATTTAAGCTTCTATCTTCTACTCTTTATTTAACTGGAGTTATTATTGCATTTCTTGTATATTTTAAGGTCGACCCGAAAAAGTACATAACTGCACACTAAACAATATATCCATGACTTCTTTGACCGTGACTTGTAGCGATGGTTTCAACGGCGGCCTGCCACAAAGTTTCAACTTGGAGCTGCTCGACTCCTACACCCAAGTAAGAAACACCTTGAAAAGTTTATTTCAGCAGAAATAAATATTATTTATTTTTGCAGGAAATAAGGGCAAACATCACATCGACGATTCCAAAGTTTACGGTTCCAGGCTTAAGTCCGGGCAGCATATATAGGCTAAATATATACGCATTCAATTCGAAGGGTCGATCCGATCCGGCAGTGCTTAATGCACCAATGCTCCGAATGCCCGAAAAACAACTAACCTCCGAACAAAGTGAGTTATCTCGGTTGTATCTTACAAGATATAGTCATAGAAACATAAATATTTTATCCACTTTCAGCTCATAACCTTCGCGCAGAGCTATTATTTTCACCCGTGATGTCACTTACGATTGGTTTAACCCTTGCTGTGCTGGTCGCAGTTTTGGCCATAATTCTGGCACTTCGAATTCCCTGCTCGGCTTCATCGAGAAGGCGGCAAAAGGAGCTCTCGAACGAGAATATATCCAGAGATGAATCCCCGGGACCAAGCGACAAAAGTTCCGGTAGCAAGGAGGTAGATGATTGCGACGAAAAGAATCCGGATGTTGTCCCAGAATCGGTTGAAGCTGATGAACAGGTAATTAGATATTTATAAATATATTTAGGAGAAAATTATTAAGTAAAATATAACTCAATTTTGATTATAAAAAGGCTGAGAGTCTCAGGAAAAGGCAGCAGATATCAACGATCGACACGAACCGCAGTCCAAACAGGGGAATCTTCGTTAACGAGCAGCAACACCTGACAGCCGCTGAGATTTCATTGCGGGCCACCCATGGAATTGGTTACTGCACTCTGCGGAGTGGGATGCACGCCCAGGCCCAGAGTTCAGTGGGAGAAATATCAATTGTAAGTAGAGGATCAAGTGAAGTTAAACCAATAAGTAAAGTTATTTTACTTCTCAATACTTTTTCCAGAACGTAACACCTCACGTCTACTCCAATTCGATATCGCAGTGCACCTTGCCGCGCCAATCCTCGCAGAACGTGTGGAACAACTACAATTGCAACATCGCCGGGGCGCGACCGACCTCCACGTTCCACCAGCTGACCTTTCCCCAGGGCAGGGTCAATGTGAACGGTGCGCAGCCGCAGCCGCAGCCGCTCCATGGACACGCGCCATCGCCATCGCTGGCCTCCAGCAGCTCCATGGCCTCGTCGTCGAACACCTTGCCGCATCCGCATCCACATCCGCATCCGCAGCAGCAGCCCCTCGGCTCCCAGCCACATCCCCATGGCCGGACCATCGCCCTGCACCACATGAACCAGGCCGCCCAGTGCGGCCGGGTCTGCATCGGAATCGCCAGCGAGGGTATCCATTCCGCCGAGCAGAACCTTTCCGACGACGAGGTCACCGTCCAAACTCCGTTAATGATAAAGCGCGACAGCACCGTATGACTATAGAAATTCCACAGGGTTTTCGACACGCCCCTGTGATTAGGATTTACAATTTTTTCGGTATTCTGCATTTCGAACTCAATAGAATAAACAAACACTTTTTATACATACCAACTTTATGATTGACAAACAATATTCTGGAGAGATCAATTATTTTCGGCCAAATGAGTGTTAGTTTTAAAACGTTGTTAATTATAAGTTATACGAAATCAATATCCAATGAAATAACTAATAGGTTTTAAACGATTACGTGTGGCCAATGCAAAAACATTAACTGCAGTTTTTAAAAGTGAAACCTTAACTATAAACTGGCATCAAACGAATTTATAGACTGGGTTTGATACTAAAGGCGATTGATTGTGTTGTTATTACGTTTATTTAACAAGCCTTGATGTAAAATATGTTTTGTTTTTCGCATTTTCAGAACATATTGAGTGCTTGAGACCATAAGGATAATTCAAAATGTATGCGGTGAACTTTTTACGGCCATTGCTTTAGTTCAATTAGGTGAAATTTCTTTGAATATTATTAATAATTTTTAACGAAATCCCTAGGCAACTAAAGTCTCGGATAATTTAGTAAAATAAAACCTCATCAGTTTGTTGTTTGTTTTTAAACAACTGCACCGTAACATAAGTTAAGTCAAATGAAATTTGACAAACGAATTGCTCATTTCTTCGGATGCCAAGGCAGCTTTTTGAATACATTCATGATAATGTGTGTATATGTTCGTGATGATAAAACCCTTTTATATAACTTGCTCAAATATAAACTAACCCAGTGTCATGAAAGATGGAGTGATTCCTCTTCTTTTTCTCACAACGCTGGCCGGCATTTATTTTTAAAAATTTTATTTTATACTGGTCGAACTTACATAATACTTATATTTAAAAATACCATATATATTAGGACCTTAGCGTTAAACTACTGTGAGCAGTATTATAATATCTAAGTTATAAATAAAAATAAATTAAAAGTAAATAGTTGTTTTGATCGAAAGACAGATAAATGTCTACATATAATTAAATCAAATTATTAGTTTATTTTTGTACATTTATTCCCTACAATCAGTATTCTTTAAAATAATTCTCTATATTCTTTTATGTAGCGCTTATCACGAGTCTTTGAATTTTGAATTAAGAAGTGGTTTTTGATTTTGCATATCATCTTAAAGTTTAAATAAGTGTTGAAGTTTGGTTTGCTTTTTTATTGTGAAGAACTAAGCTTTTATTTGTGTCTTTTTCCCAATGTGTCTATCGCTAATTGGTTGAATGCCCACAAAAAATTAGTCCGTTTTTGTTGGGCTTTTTCTTTTATTTCGAATGGTATTTCACTGCGGTTTTAAAAGGTAATACAATTTATATGTGTTCCAGTGAACAGTGAATCCTAAACTTCGTCATCGAGTTACAGCTGCAGAATGAAAAGAACACAGTGTGAATTCCATCCATACATAAACACATGGAAAAGAAAACAGAATTCGATCAAGAAGCGTCATCTGGAGCATGTGGTGCTGGTCGGTTGGGTGGGTTGGGCTCGGATCGCATCGCATCGGTACCACTTAAGTCGATGAACACGAGCACAGTTCATTAGACATCCACATATATCCCCATATATGCCACACAGCAAAAGCAAAAGCGATGTCTTTGGGGGCTTATAAAAGAACGCGTATCGCCGAGTTTCGGTTAGTTGACTCCCAGCTGTGTCGCATCACAGACAAGTGCTAGGAATTTCGTTTTGTGAATCTGCTGTGTTAAAGTACGCCCCAACCTACTTATCGAAATGGTAAGAATACCGAAGCCTCTTAAGGATATGCAAAGGGTCCTTGGAGGACAACAAGGAACGTGTTTAAAAGCATCTAGGAAGTTCGTTTAGTTTATTTTGGCACCATATTTAAGGATAATAAATATACAAGGTTTTTATTTACAGTTGGAAACAAATTCGGTGCAAAGAATTTTAAATTCTAAATTGGATAATTACATTGATAAATTATGTTTTTAAAACCATGAGCTTTGTCACTCCTGCCCAAACAAAAATAAGAGGAACAGATGGTCAAATTGTTTTTTCTCGAATGAATTTTATATGAATAAGCCACCGGAAATCCTGATATTTTAAAAAACAAATTTGCATAGAAATGATAAGAAGATAACTTAAATGGGAGTAAATTAGTAAACATAAAAATGTATAAATAATTAAATCAATTTCAGAGGGAATGTATTTCGGTGCACATTGGACAGGCTGGTGTCCAGATCGGAAATGCCTGCTGGGAGCTGTACTGCTTGGAGCACGGCATCCAGCCCGACGGCCACATGCCCTCCGATAAGACCGTGGGCGGTGGCGACGACTCCTTCAACACCTTCTTCAGCGAGACGGGAGCCGGAAAGCATGTGCCGCGTGCCGTGTTCGTCGACCTGGAGCCCACTGTGGTGGACGAGGTGCGCACGGGCACCTACCGGCAGCTGTTCCACCCGGAGCAACTGATCACCGGCAAGGAGGATGCGGCCAACAACTACGCCAGAGGCCACTACACCATCGGCAAGGAGATCGTCGACTTGGTCCTGGACAGGATTCGCAAGCTGGCCGATCAGTGCACCGGACTGCAGGGCTTCCTTGTCTTCCACTCCTTCGGCGGAGGCACTGGCTCCGGCTTCACCTCGCTGCTCATGGAGCGCCTCTCCGTCGACTACGGAAAGAAGTCGAAGCTAGAGTTCTCCATCTACCCAGCTCCACAAGTAAGTTTATTTACTATTTCAATCTAAGAAAGTAAGTTGAATTTCACTTAAAAAAAGATACAAAATTTCCAAGAAATTATAAATGTTATATGTAGTTTAATTTTTGAAAACATTTTAATAGTTTTTCCTGACTATAAGTTATGTTAACTTAAATATTATATGTATTTTAAGAGTTTTTGAAATGTTTTTCCTTAAGTGCACATGGTTTTAATAACCTTATATGGCTCCAATTCGATTGGGAATAGCTGAGCTTATTAATGTTTCCCCAACTTCCTGCTAGGTATCCACAGCTGTGGTCGAGCCGTACAATTCGATCTTAACCACCCACACAACGCTGGAGCACTCGGACTGTGCATTTATGGTCGACAACGAGGCAATCTACGACATCTGCCGGCGCAACTTGGATATCGAGCGACCCACCTACATGAACCTCAATCGCCTAATTGGCCAGATCGTTTCCTCCATCACGGCCTCGTTGCGCTTCGATGGCGCCCTGAATGTGGATCTCACCGAGTTCCAGACCAATCTGGTGCCCTACCCACGCATCCACTTCCCGTTGGCCACCTACGCCCCCGTGATATCCGTGGAGAAGGCCTACCACGAGCAGCTGACCGTGGCGGAGATCACGAACGCCTGCTTCGAGCCCGCCAACCAGATGGTGAAGTGCGATCCCCGCCGGGGCAAGTACATGGCCTGCTGCATGCTCTACCGCGGCGACGTGGTGCCCAAGGATGTGAATGCCGCGATCGCCACCATCAAGACGAAGCGATCCATCCAGTTCGTGGACTGGTGCCCCACCGGCTTCAAGGTGGGCATCAACTACCAGCCACCGACGGTGGTTCCCGGCGGGGATCTGGCCAAGGTGCAGCGGGCGGTGTGCATGCTGTCCAACACCACGGCCATCGCCGAGGCCTGGGCTCGGCTCGATCACAAGTTCGATCTGATGTACGCCAAGAGGGCCTTCGTCCACTGGTATGTCGGTGAGGGAATGGAGGAGGGCGAGTTCGCCGAGGCTCGCGAGGATCTCGCCGCCCTCGAGAAGGACTACGAGGAGGTGGGCATCGACTCCACCACCGAACTGGGCGAGGACGAGGAGTACTAGGCCCAAATGGAGCACCACAAACGAATGTCCCAATGGTCCTGCAAACTCACTACACTTCACATTTACCTACTGAATCAAAAAAGCATGAAATATCGCAATAAAAAAGCCTAACACAAATGGGTCTACAATGTTGTTACTTTTGAAAAAGTTTTTAAGTTAGGGGAAATATGGTTTCAGGTTTCTAGTTCATGGCATCAGACTAGGCAGAGAACAGAGATACAACGTTGGATTCTTAATTTAACAATAGTTAATTGACTAGATTCGCATTTTGTTTGCCTGGTACTTAAAAATGCGTTTGGCGCAAAAATTGTGGGCTTGGCTGACTGATTTTGACGAGTGCAATTGGGACTATTTTAAGTACCAGGCCCACAGAATGCATTACTAGGTGACCGCGTAACCATTTTTTGATGGTCGTATTCAAAGAACTGTACATAAAAAAATTATAAGTTTTAGAAGTGTGCCACTTCAAAATCTGATTAAAAATAGAAAAGTTATGGACTTAGAACTAGTTAATTTTGGTCAATTTTCAGCAAATTTCATTTTTTGGAAAATTGGAAATGCGTAGTACATATACTAATTTTTTGATGCTGATCAAAAATATAAATTCTTTATTCTTTGCTGCGATGAAAACTTCTGACTGAAATTATAATACCCTTTGCAAGGAAATTCAAACCGTTTTCGTATGAAGCATCTTATTTAAATTACAAAGTGTGAAAGGTCTTAATTTTGCATTTCCAGACGCAGGCGCAAAAATGTGTACACATATTTTTCGCAAATTCTATAATCAAAGACGTGCCAAACCAGGAGGTGCTGCGAGAATTATTCTTAGGATAGTTGCTAAAATTATTTAAGAATTTATTTTAAAATATAGTGAAAATTTGTATTGTAAATCGGCTTTCTATTAAATATATCTTGTTCTTTGAAAGCTTCAGTGAATGTTATTTAACTTTAAATGCATACACAAATTTGCATTCCCTTGTGTCTGCAAAATTGTATGTGCACATATCTACTAAGATTAAGGAGTCTAGTGTAATAATTCATTTAAGATATTGTTAAGAGTCAAGGCGCCAAAGTTTTACTAAAATAGTTATTTTAACTTTTAGCAGCACCCTATACACACATTAAAAATATGTATCCCTAAACAGGATAAATATTTTTTCCACCTACACACCCCTTTGAAAAAATCAATCCTATGTATAATGAACAGAATCAATTAACAAAAACCAACAAAGGTTAAAACAGTAAATTTATTATTGAAACTTACATACATTAAGAAGTAACGCTATAGTCGAGTGAAGCGACTATGAGATACTGACAGATCAGTATATATTTAATAACCATATACTTTTACTTCCAGACAAAAACACTAAACATATATTTAATGAAGCATATATTTTCTTTTACAGCGAGGATCCGACGATTATAGTTTTAATATTTTATTCCTTTACTAAAAATATTTATTGAATATATATTTTTTCAGAATGTAGGATCCTTAGACCGCTGTACTGTTGTTCACCGTGTCCTTTACTAGTCCGATGGTCAGTTCCTCCGTCTGTCTGTCCGTTCATGTTTCCGATTGTCTGTCCGTTCGCCTGCTTGTCTGTCCGTTTGACTGTCCGTCCGATCTTTATCCATCTGACTGTCCAATTGGTCTGTCTGTACATAAAGGCTTTAAGCCACTCCAAGCTCCGCTCTACAAACCTATTAGTCAACAAAATGAATACATGTGTATATTTTTACAAAACTTTTTTAATATAGTTAAAAGTTATGTCTTTACAGGTTACCTAAACATGCATTTGGTTGATGTTTATTTACCAATCCGTTAAATAAACATTAGCCAAGGAACTGGAACGGGAGCACAAGAGCTCCAGAGCACTTATAATTATAAACGATTTTAAAAGGTTGTCTTTTCCTGGTAAAAATTTAGGCTTTTAAACAAAGAGTGTGTGCACCCTTTCACTTTATTAGCAAGATATGCGATATTCTCTGAGTCAAATAGATTTTCCAGGGTTAAAATCTGGTTTTATCTTAAAGATAGCTAAGAGTGGGTTTCGTTTTTCTCTTTTTGAAATTTAAGAGTTAATTGTCTTCAGACATTTTGGCCACTTTTTACATTAGTCTGAAGAGAGATCATTTATGTATCTTTGGAAATATTTTGCCCTTATCAAGATGAAAGGATAATTAGAATCAAAACCCGATCAAAAAATAGAAGTACATTCTCGCAGTTTTGCTCATTTGTTAAGAAACAAGGGTTTTTCCATAACGATTATAAATTGCAGTCTCCCAAAATGCATCGGATACAAGATGACGAGTATTCCGAGGAAGTGAAGGAAACCGACTTTAAGGGTTCTATTCAAAAGGACATATCGGCGAAGGCGCGTCACCAACTTTCCATACCAGATATTTGCTCAGATGCCGTCAAGAACAACTGCTTTCCGCCGACGGGCTTCCTGAATAACTCGATAGCCTTTGCATCGCACGTCATTAAGTGCAGTTCCCCGGCATCGAGTATAGATGAGTCTTCATCGGCGGCTCAGCACGAAGCCAATCCCCACATGCACATACAGGGCCAGCACATGATGGCCCCCGTTCCCGATCTGGGCTTCTATAATGTCCCCGAGTTTATTTCAGAACAGGAGAAGCTCATGTTCTCCGACGCCGAGAGGTTCCTGAGGTCAAAGGACAACGAGGTGTGCGGCAATGATTTCAGCTACATGCACGACGAGTTCGCCATGCGAAAGTACTATCATCCTCTATTTGCTCATGGCATTTGCCGATGGCCCGGCTGCGAAATGGATCTGGAAGATATCACATCATTTGTAAAGTGAGAACTCCAAATAAAAGAAACTGAAATGGGAAGGTGATGAACATAAAACCCTATTCCAGGCATCTTAACACTGAACACGGCCTGGATGATCGATCCACCGCTCAGGCTCGCGTTCAGATGCAAGTGGTCTCCCAACTGGAATCCCACCTTCAAAAGGAACGAGATCGCTTGCAGGCCATGATGCATCACTTGTATCTGTCCAAGCAGCTTTTGTCACCCACCAAAATTGACAGAAAGGTATGTATACGTTAGTAATAGTATTCTTAGATGTTATATAAATATCATTTAAATTCAGGACGTTTCCGGAAGAGAGGGAAAGTTTTGCAGAAGTCCACTCACAATCAACAGCATAGGTCGACCGATCCGACAAACGAGTTCTCCGAACTCTCTTAATCTTCCCATAGTTAATTCCAACAACTTGTGCTCGATCAAGAAAAGAAGTCACGACAAAAACTCTTTCTCTATAAATGGTGGTAGGTACCCAATATTGCGAAGCAATATTTGTTACTATTAATTGGATTTATTTACATTTTAGGTCTACCTTATATGCTTGAAAGAGCAGGTCTTGATGTCCAACAGGGTAAGTACAAGTTCAGGACTGATCATCACAGGGAATCTTGGTAGTTGTGTTTCTGGAGGACATATAAAAAGAGTTTAAATTTTCAGAAATTCATCGGAATAGGGAGTTTTACAAAAATGCTGATGTACGACCACCCTTCACCTATGCATCCCTCATCAGACAGGTAATTCAGAATAACGATACCTTGGGTTAAAACTATTCTATATTTTGGCATCTTATCTTGTGTTCTCAAATACAAATGTTTACAGGCTATAATAGACTCCCCGGACAAGCAGCTAACCCTTAATGAAATTTATAATTGGTTCCAAAACACCTTTTGTTACTTTCGGCGCAACGCAGCTACATGGAAGGTAAAAAAAAAATTTACTATTTCCATTACTTTTTGAACTATTTTTATATTATTTTATATTGTCCGTCTGTTTTTTGTCCGACTGTCCGATTGGCATTATAAGCTTGTCCGCTGTGTATTTACTTCAGTCTCCGTTTTTCTCATGCCTTTACTATAATAATAATGATTATGTCTACAATTAGAAATATCTAATAAGGTAAGATAATGAGACTTATATAAACTTTAAAATATATTCACCATTTACTATATTTAAACTTTTATGTATAAGCATTTAGTTTGGCAAATGTTAACCGATAATATACCACATAGAACGCAGTTCGGCACAATCTGTCCCTTCATAAGTGCTTTATGCGTGTTGAGAATGTGAAAGGAGCAGTTTGGACTGTTGACGAAATAGAGTTTTACAAACGACGACCGCAGCGCACTGCTGGCATTGGTAACAACTTGTCGGGTGCTACCAATTCGCCGGACACAAACTATTTCGTAGCCATGAACATTGGGTATGTGGGTCTCAAATAGTTAATATCTACTTTGCTCCAACTTACTTCCACTTTGCTCCGTTCGTATCTATATGCCACTAAATGCATGCCTAAAAAGAGAATTATATTACATGGTTATAAATTTCATCCCACATTTTTTGCAGGAATTATTAAGGAGTCTCCCTTGTCCGTCCGGCAATCTGTCCGAATGTCTGTCCGTAAAATCAAAAATGAAATTAAAAAAAGCTAGAATTACTGAGCCAACAAGTTGCGGAATCAGTATAACATATTTTTTTAAAAATCACAATGAACTAACATTTCTTTATTAACGAACTTTTTCTTCCTTCTCCGACAATGTCGCTTTTCTTGGGGCTCATAATAACATAATTTGTAACTAAGAATGCGATACGTACAAACCTATCCTTGCACAAGTGTTTCGTACGATATGAGGATGACTTTGGCTCGTTTTGGATGGTCGACGATAATGAGTTTGTCAAGAGGCGGCACCTGTCGAGAGGTCGACCCCGGAAATATGAACCGTCCTCCTCCCCGAATTCCTGCCAATCTGGCAATGGTTTGCCCACTGACAAGAATCCCTGCGATAATTGTCCCCAGCATTGCTCTAGTTTGCCCCCGGGGGCTGAGAATCCGATGGATTCGAGTAATCCAAACGATCTTGGTAGGATTGGTTGTCTTCCCTTTTGTGGTGGTGATGGTTTAGGTAAGGCGTCCAAGGACTATAGCAATATGGAATCGGGTATGGTTGAAAGCAACAGCCATCTAGCGATGGATGATTACCCTTCTAATATGTACGAAAGTAGTGCCAATGAGCTTAATCGATAAATGTATCACTAGTTCTAATAATTTAGATGCATTGTCGGAATATCTGAGTTATCTAGGTCAGAAGGTTCGGATTCGGAAATTATACTTGTATATACACATAGTTCTAAGTATAATTTCCTCTAATGTAATAAGGGAAATACATTTAAAATAAATTACAAAATTGCACCAACATAAAGAAACTATAATATTAATTTATTGAGTATTGAAGCACAATTAAGTTGTTAATTGTGCTTTAATAAATAAAGTAACCAAGGAACTAAAATAAATTTTAAAAGAGTTTCGTGATTTTCGGCCTCTTTGTTGTCCATTGCTTTAAAAATTATAATTACATTCCAAGTATGTAAGTATTTATATGGGTAACAGGTGTACTTTTTTCGCCGAGATACTGGTAACTCTCTAAACGGGTAAATTTTCGACATACTTATTAATAAAAGTTTGTTTTTCCAGATAAATTGACAAACTTAATAAAAGTCAAAAAATATTTACCTAAAACCAATAAATATGATTTTTGTATCTCACACTTTTGGTGGAGTAGACAGAGGGGATAAGGAGGATACCAAGAGAAAGATGGAGTTAGTAATACAAATTTTAATTTTTAAAACTCCCGCTCTTCGATATCGATTCTTTAAAGGACCTATCGGATATTGCCTTTCCCAGGTTAGGAGGGAGTACTTGCTAAAAGAGTGCGTTTGCTATGTAAGGAGGTGCGCTCGATAGGTTAGGAGGGAGCATCAGTTAGGATTCTGTTAAGAATTACTGTTACCCAACGATGGCAAAAGCGCCCCCAGCGGAAGATTAAGTAATCGAATGACTATTTTTTCTTCATTAATATTTTTTTTTACCGATAATACCGATGTTCTTGCATCTGGCAACACTGGAGTCTATAAACGTTTTGTGACATGAAAATTCAACGAGGACTGTGTACATGAATAATTAAGAAATTAAAATGGTTTACATGCAATTCGTTTTGCAACCGCTTCCGGGCTCCGACGAACAGTTCATTGAAAGGTAAATATAATGCGGGGCGTCTGCAATTACGCACATGCTAGCGCAAAATCCATGTAATTGTGTCCGCACGGCTGCATGTATTTGTTATGTGAAAATATGTAGGTACGCAGGTATATGTATACGCAGGAAGATACATGCATGGTTTTTATGAAATGTTCGCACAGACACTGGCGGATTCACCATATCCAACAATGTCCAAGCGAGTGAGGAAGCACTAGTCAAAGAATTTGCAAAATGCTTTTCGCAATTCCCATTTTGCAGGCACACTTTTCCAACACATCCATGTAAGCGTATTGAGTGTGCCCGTGTCCGACATGTGAGTGTTCGAATGTGTGTGTTCATGTGCATACATGCCGATTTATTTGTCAGATTTTAACTATATTTTCAAGCAAACCAACGAAATGCTTTATGTTAATATGAACCGTTTCTTAAGAGGTAAACACATGCAAACGTTTCCGGCCAAGCATTTGTAACCAGCATAACTTGCACATGGCATCTTGTGCATTAGGTTGCACTGTAAGACAGCATTCGGCACATGGCACTCGAAAGAATAGGGTTTTCCCTAACCCATAATCTTTTCAAGCGGAAATTCCAAGACACCGGCTTTTTTTTTAGGGTTGTGCATACTCTTTCTAGAAGCTGCGAAGTGTAGATAGATAACATTTAGTCACAAATTGCAACCCTAAGACAAGCATGAACTTGCTTTACCGAATGAGAAATTAACTCTTAAATCTCGTTACAGAGTTCGTGAAGTATCGGAAAGGGTCAACAGATTTGGATATGGAACTCATCGCATATTCGAGCAACTAAAAATTTCTGTGAGAGAAGTCGTTATTGGACCCACGCACATTGGCGTTTTGCTGGAGGATGGCAAGGCCTTCCGCGTGTCTTTTTCCATCAACTCGGAGAAACTAGACTTAACTAAATCAGACGCAAAATGGTAAGTAAAACTGATGGATTCTTCTGCGTTATTTGTGCTTATTCTGTGGGTTTCTTTCAAGTTCCACAAGTGGCGGTGCCGGAACAGCCAGTGCCTCCAAAGCACCATCTTCATCGCGACCGATGCCCAGGTCCAGAGCTCGTCTTTTGCGCGCAACAGGTCGCTCAAGTTCCACCGGCCAGGGTTCCGGATCGCGCAGCACAGGTGTTATTATTGGAGGCAGTACCTCCAATCGTCCCTTGGTCACTGTTCCGGCCACATATGTGCCGGAGGAGCTTATTTCCCAAGCGGAAGTCGTTTTACAGGGCAAGAGTAGAAATCTCATTATTAGAGAATTGCAGGTATGTACACAAACATACACTAACAACGAGGTGATGCCAAAAAACACTTTTTTTTGTAGCGCACCAATTTAGATGTTAACTTAGCTGTAAACAATTTGCTTTCGCGCGATGACGAGGAAGCCGAAGATACCGAGGAAGGTGCCGATAATTACGTGCCTGAAGATCTTATCTCTCTGCTGGATAACGGCTTTAGTGGAGATAATAACAGCGTCATAATTGATCCCTCAGACGGACTCTTCTCTGAGGAGATATTTAGCAATTATTCCAGCATTCGAAAGTAAGTAATCTATCAACTTAAGACCCAGATACTTAAATTTAATCTAACCAATATCTCAATACCATTTATTTTGTAACCGTTCTTGTAAAACTATTTATTAATCAATTTTCTAGTCTGCTGTTTGACCGCATTCGCAGTGAGCGCAGCAATGCCAACGCTAATGCTGCGGACAGCAATCAATCGACCCGCTCCACAACCACGGGTGCCGCTTTAACCGGTGGCAGCGGATTATCAGCTCAAATATCAGTTAATGCTGACCGCGAAGCCTTCAGTCGTTGGCGGGATCGTCAGTACTACGGCCCACGGCGCTGGATTAGCAAAGACGACTACACTTGGGAAAAGGACGCTGGTAAGTGCATACGAAACGAAGAAAATCTTAGACACTAACGCAAAATGTTGGTACAGACTCCAAGAAAAAGGAGCCATCCCCGATGTTGTCTCCCATTTGGATATCGGAGGAACTGCAACCATGGCCGGAGAAGAGTTCTGTGAGGTTCAAGACCATCGGGGCCTTGTATTCAGAGTTCATTGCACTGTCAGAGAGCGGAGATTTGTACCAATGGCGTTGGTCAGATGCAGAGCCGTACAAGTCAGAGGTAAGTGAATAAAAGCAGCGATAAAATTGGGTATGATTATCCCGATTACATGCCTTAAGTGGATTCCAAAAAAGCATAAATTAATTAAATTTATTTCTGCTATATTTTGCAGACGGAGAATGTTTATCATCCAAAAACTTTGGCACTCAATATAACCGAAAGGGTGGAGTTGATGTCCGCCAACTTTATCAGATGTTCCGTGGTTACCGAAACCAATCGCGTGGCCACTTGGATGGACGAACAGTTGGGCTATCTGGGCGCGAAGCTGGAGCACAATTCCATCTCCTTCAACGAGTTCATATCTGATCCCATCACAAAGATTTACGTCTGTTCGCTGTACACGGTTGTTAAAACCGACAGCAACAATATCTACTGGTGGGGAGTTCTGCCCTTTGATCAACGCCGCTATTTGTGGGATAAATTCCGGACAAAAACCAAGAAGCCATTTAAGGTGGTCACTACCGATATAAACGTGGGCGCTCAAGTGATAATGAAGAAATGCCCGATCTACCAATCTGGGTCCATCGGATTTACGTGCTCCAATGGCGTTCCGAAGGTTGGACAGCTGCTAAACTCGGTTTGGAACTTCACCGATGTTTGTCGCATGAAAATCATAAATATTATCACCAGTTCGGGCGTGGAGAAATCGCAAGCCGCTAGCTTGAACTTGAATGCGCATGGAAATGCAACGGATAAGGATCTACCAAAGACAACAACGTTGCCCAGTGCTGGGAGCAGTAAGAATGGCCAGTCATTCTCAAACAGCAAGGAGTCGACCGATCGCATAGACATGCCACCTCCTCCGTCGCCGGCATCGAGCACATGTAGCGACACCGGCAGTGTTACATCGCACAAGCGCACCAAGCGAGTGACCACAAAAGAGGACTCGAATGCCCCCAGGAGGGCAGAAAGGATGAGGAGCTGTGGCAGCTAAAGGACGTGGTGTTTGTCGAGGACAAAGTGGGTCCTGTCGGCAAGGTGCTCAAGGTCGATGGAGACTTTGTGGCCGTTCGGTTCCCGGCGATGAATGCAGCTGCCGCTGCAGTCGCTGCTGCTGCCTCCGCCACTGCAAGTTCCTCCTCCTCCAATTCAGCCTCCACCTCCAAGGAAGAAGGCAAGGAGGACGACTGGCAGCAGTGTCGCCTGCTACGTCGCGAGGATGTCCAGATTTTCCGAACCGCTATGTCTACTCGCGGTCCAGACTGGTTGCAGAAGCAGCCAAAGAAGATAAACGTCGGCGCCGATGCGGCTGGCGCACAATTGCTTACCCTGGCTGTGGATTCGCGTGGTATTCATGTTATCAAGAAGGTACTTGGCAAAATCCACTACAGCCTGTACAACCTGTATAACAGCAAACAGGAGCAAAACTGCCTGTTCCCAACGGACTGCTCCTCCTTTATTGGCGCCTCGCCCAGCAACATCATGATGGCCTGTAACAACGACTGCAGCGGAAACAACAGTACCATTGTGCTGCGCGATGGAAATGGAGCGCTCTATCCCTTGGCCAAGGATTGCCTTGGATCGATCAAGGATCCCCAGTGGTTTGATCTGCCGCCGGTGAAGTCCATCACAATGTCCACAATATCGCTGCCGGCAATGGTATCGGGCGTCAACCTGAAGTCAAAAGTGTGCATGACGGCCCTGCTTTTCGACACCCAGAAGCTCATGCCGCACATCTTACGCTGCGATGTCAAGAACAGCTTTGCCGCTCTGAGCCGCTTGGAGAGGGAGGATCAAGCTGACACGGCTTTGGTTGTGGAGGAACGTTGCGACGGAGCCCGAAACATTTTCCATGCTTGCGTGATTATGTGCGCACCATCATCAAACAAGGACTCACCGCCAGATTCACCTAGCGGTGGCGTAGAGAAGAAATCCTTAGCAGTTGGACTCTCAGTGGCACGCTCGATCCCAACGGTGTCCACCAGTGCGTATGTAAGCAGCAACGCTTTTGGAGCAAATGCTTCGTCGAGCAATGAAAACTCCAGCTTTGCCACTATGAGCTCCTCAGCCGCGGGATCTTCGTCCTCGGGAAGCAGGGATAATCGAATCAACATGCGCGACATGATGCATCGGCTAATTAACACCGATCAAGCGGAACAGTCGGGCAGTCAGCCAATGGCTACCAACAACGACGATCACGCCTATATCCCCTGGCCAGCTGAGTCTCCGGCCGCCAGTAATCTGAGCGCCAGCTCTTCGCAAAACATCGCGGACAGCATTGAAGATGACATTTCAAAGATAATTCCGTCCTCCTCACAGAGTTCCATGCTCGCCAACATCAAGTTGGGATCGCCCAACTACACTTTCGATCTGGCCCAGCGCCGCGAGCATGCATTGTTGATCCTACAGCAGATGTGCGTAAGCCCCGCCCTGCGTCCGTACCTCTGCCAGATGCTGAGCACCAAGGATGCCCAGGGCCAGACACCGTTCATGCTGTCCGTTTCGTGCCGCGCCTACGAGGCAGGCATTATACTGCTTAACACCATTCTCATGCTGTCCGAACAAGATCCGCAGCTTAAGGAAGCCATGATTTTCCCCAGCGGCTCCCCGGCGGATCAGTCGCCCCTGCATGTAATCTGCTACAACGACACCTGCTCGTTCACATGGACCGGAGCCGATCACATCAACCAGAACATATTCGAATGCAAAACCTGCGGCCTGACTGGCTCTCTGTGCTGCTGCACGGAGTGTGCTCGCGTCTGCCACAAGGGACACGATTGCAAGCTGAAGCGTACAGCACCGACGGCCTACTGTGATTGCTGGGAGAAATGCAAGTGCAAGGCCCTGATCGCTGGCAATCTCACCAAGCGCTTCGCCCTGCTTTGTAAGCTGGTCTCCTGCACAGATTTGGTCACAAAGTTCAACTCAAAGGGCGAATCGATTCTGCTCTTCCTCATCCAGACGGTCGGCCGTCAAATTGTCGAACAGCGTCAGTATCGCTTCAACGTGAGGGTTCGCAATGTTGGCACCGCTGCCAGCGGAACGAACGGCAGCAATACAGTAATATCGAATCGCAAGACTTCCGCAGCAGAAATTGATACAGATATGCCAGACCACGATCTGGAGCCGCCGAAGTTCGCCCGCAAGGCCCTGGAGCGCCTGCTGATTGACTGGAATGCGGTGCGTTCAATGGTTATGAGCGGAGCGGAGAAGACCGAGGTGAACGTGCCGAATCCGACCGGCAATGCCTCCGAAAACTCGAACTCTGAGGGCTTCAACATGTTCATTCAAACGCAGCATGGCTCCACGCTTCTGGATAAATTTACCCACAGCTTGATTGTAAAGTGCACTGGCGACCATTTGGACACCTTGCTGCTCACCCTGGTACGGGAATTGCAGAACGTCAGCGTGGCTAATCGCTGTAAGGAGGCTGAAGAAGTTGCACGCCGTTTTGTGCGCTCTGTGGCAAGAGTGTTTGTCATTTTTAACCTGGAGAAGCAGCCGAATCCGGAGAAGCGCAAGACGCACACCTCGTGCAACAAATACGTTCAGAGCTGTGTGAAAGTGTTTCAGACGCTGCATAAGATCTCCATCGAGGAGCTGTGCGAGGTGTCCGAAGCGCTGATCGCTCCAGTCCGTCTGGGCGTTGTGCGGCCCACAGCTCCGTTTACGATGTCATCGTCGAACTTGGATGTACGTGTAAATATATAATACCTCTTATTCCTACTTAACACTTATTGTATTTAACAATTGATTTTTGGTTTAAGCAAACAAATTTCTAATAAGCTTATGTTTTATAATTATTTCAGAACTCGGATGATTTGTTCAGCGTGGATCCTTTGGCACCTTCCAACGTGGAGTCTCCTTCTGAACAAATACTAGGTGGACACGATACTGGCAACGATCAGAGTGCCAGTTTTAATATTCAACAAAACTACGATGTAGTTGCAATGGAAAGTGAGTTACCCTTACGCTTTATACGTCTAACATCGTAACAATATTTATTTCGTTGCTTTATTCAGCGATACGCGACGCCTCCGAATCGGAAGAAGTTATTAATCGGGAAACTAATTCCCACAATCAAGACGATGAGTTAATAGAAAATCAACGAAATGAGGACGGCATGCAAGATGATGAGAGCGATAATGACTTTACTTTCAATGACGCTGAGACTGAGTCTGACTCCGATGACAACCAAAGCAATCAGGAAGTGCAGAGAAGCGTTCAAACTGGAGCAACAGTTGGCTCAGAAAACGGTGAGTCGCCTATAGCTGATATCTTTTATTTCTTGTCAATATATTCTTAACTTTGTATTTTGTTCTTCAGATATTGGTGTTCTGTTCCTGGAAGATGAATCGGGCGACTCTTCGGCTCAAGAAGAAGATGGTTCGGAGGATGGCGAGTCCGACGACCATTCCGATGAATTCAACTTCAATGACCAACAGCTTGAACGTCGCAGCAACAACTCCAACACTCGCAGCGATTTGGCTCCCCAAACGATGCAATGGGCAATTAGAAATCGTGACACCGCCCGCTCGTCCGTAAGGGTGCCAACCGGATCAAATTTGGTCTTCATTGACCCGATGGCGCTGCGGCGATCCACTGTACCGGCCACCACAGCGGTCACCACTCCCTCGATCGAACCACACACCATGGCCACCACGGCCAGCAATTTGGCTCGGGCTTTCGGGATCACCATAAGACAGATATCGGAGCTGATAAGCATTCTATCCTACAACATTGTGAACGACATTGAAACTTCATTGAAAATTCAAAGCGATGAGGCAATTGCAGTTCAAGTAAGTTTCTAATCTGATACAACCTTAGTTTAAATATATTTAATTCTTATTCTTTTACACAGGCATTCGTTGAAAAGCGTTTGAAGGCTACATGGGACTGGATGTTCACGGTAATGGACGGTACCGAGGCACAGTTAAAGTTTGGTGCCTACTTGACCAACTACACGGATCCTAACCATCCGCTGCATCCGCTTAACCTTAGTGCCCAGGCTTCAAGTAGCCAAACGCCTGCTCCTGCAACATCCGCGACTGTTGGAGTGAATGTGATGGGTAAATAGGTTTTTTAACTTCTTTTAATGTGGGATTTAAGAACGTTTTTTCTCTGAAGGATCCAATTCACGGCGTGATTTCTTTACCTACTGCTTGTCTCTGATGCGTGCTCACACTTCGGAGCACAGAGATGCTCTACCAGTGTTGGATATTACAGCTTTACGTCATATTGCCTACGTCCTCGATGCCTTTGTTTACTATATGCGCAACGACACGGGCTTCTATGACAAACAGGACACCATTTCCGGCCGCATAAACAATCTGTCGCCCATGGTTGAGAGCTACGATACGGACGAGGAGTTGACCAACCTGGAAGACTTCAATCCGGATGTTCAGCCCTCGACCAGTAGCCTTGCTTCGGGAGGTTCAGGCACACGCCGTCATGCCTTCTTCGCGCGATCGGAATCGACTCTTAGCTTGGGTTGCTCGGCGCCAGAGGGCTTCGATCTGCCACTGGATATGGCCATGCCATTAGCCGATAAGCCTCACCTGCTGCAGCCAAATTCGAAGCGACAGGAGCTCTTCGCCAACCTACCGCTGCTCGTAAACCCGAGTGCCAGCAACAGCGCTCCTAATAATAATGGTGGCAGCCTTTTTGAAAATACTCCCACCAGGCTGGGATTCTCGAATTCCTTGAAAAGGAACGAACATGTTTATGAAACAGTCCCAGCCAAACAGTGTGTGGAGGTAATAATCAATATGGATACCAGTAAGACGGGTGATGGAAATGCAACTTATAAGGCTGAGGGCTCTACGGACTCTAATATCTACGTACAATTGAAAAAGAAACAGGGTTCGGATGATTTTAAATCTCACAAAGAGGCTGATGGTGAGTAGAATTTAAATAAAATGTGAATTCTTATTAATTCACACATATTGTTATCGTCTACAGGAAATCACAGCAAGTACGATAAAGTTGTGCTAATGGAGACTGATGATAGCCTTCCAAGTACCAGTAAATCGACTGAAGCGCTAATGGCTACAAGGCCAGAAGTTATTATTGCACCAAATAAAGCCTCAGTGTCGCCGGCGACTGCAGCTCGCAGCGTTATTGTTCTTGCAGGTGGTTCTTGTTTAAAGACGATTGATTCGGACTTGAACAATTTCTCTGCTTCAAATTTGTCGACCGCAGAACAAGCTAAATGTGATACACATCATCAAAAGTCGACGCCACACCACCCGCTAAGCTTCCCAGCTCGCGGTTCTCTGTTTTACCAAAGTAACTTCTCGGAATCGCCGTCGTGGAACTTTTTGTTAAGTCGCTGGAAGCTAACATTGGATTTATTTGGTCGCGTCTTCATGGACGATGTGGGAATGGAGCACGGCTCTGTGCTGCCGGAATTGCGCGGTTTTCCGGTCAAGGAGATGCGTTTCCGTCGTCACATGGAAAAACTACGCAACGGCCAACAGCGCGACTTGGTGCTATGCAAACTTGAGCGGAATCGTGAAAGTTTAATTGTTCAAACGTTCAAGGAACTGAACACCAATTTCGGCAACCAAAACCGACGAGCCCAACCACCAATCACGTTTAACAGAGTGAAGGTGACGTTTAAGGATGAGCCGGGCGAGGGATCTGGAGTAGCCCGCAGCTTTTACACATCGATCGCCGAGGCACTGCTTGCCAGTGCGAAGATCCCGAACCTTGAATCGGTGCAAGTGGGAAGCAGTCACAGCAAGTATGGAGTGCCGTTCTCAAGCATCCTGCGCAGCAGAACGGTCTCCGGGTCAACTCGTGATCAGTCCACTCTGCAAAGGCGTGGCACAAGCAGCAAGATACTTTGGCGCTCAGCTCGTGAAAGAAAGGCTTTGAATTTGGATGCCAGACCATACACACCAATGAATAATACAGGTAAGGGATTGTTATAATTTATATATTTGCCAATATTTGTATTGATTTCTATAACTGTAACTGAAATATTTATTTTAGATAATGCCATGCCGGAAAGCGTGAATGATCATTTGTCTGTTCACCTACAGCAAATTGGAGAACGTCTGTACCCCAAGGTAAATTAAGAAATTTATATTTTTAACTCAAGTCATGTATTTACTGTTCTTTTAACAGATTCACTCGATTAACCAAACGCATGCACCGAAGATAACAGGAATGCTGCTAGAGATACCTACCCCTCAGCTCCTCTCCGTAATTTCCTCAGATGAGACACTTCGTCAAAAAGTGAATGAAGCAATAGAAATAATCACATTCAAACTCAAATCTGAGGCCAGTGCACAAAGTAGTCAACCAAAAAAATCACCATCAGTCGTTCTGGTCGAACCCGTAGATGACGATAATGAGCCATTATTTTATTCTCCGGGCAAGCGGGGCTTTTATACACCGCGCCAAGGCTTTGCTTCATTCGAACGCATAAATGCATTTAGAAATATTGGGAGGTAAAATACGCAATAATCATTTTAATCGACTTTTTAACTTACTGTTTTTCTTTTCTTTTTTTTTATATAGACTAATTGGACTTTGTCTACTGCAAAACGAATTGCTTCCATTGTTCCTGCAAAGACATGTGTTGAAATACATTCTTGGGCGTAAAATTAAGTTCCACGACCTGGCATTTTTTGATCCAGCATTATACGAATCTTTTAGGCAAATTATTCAAAATGCCCAAACAAAAGAAGGCGAAGAAACACTGAATCGAATGGAGCTTTGCTTTGTGTAAGTAAATCTTGAAAAAACATCCATTACAAGTTTTTAATATTGTCGCATTCCAGGATTGATTTAATGAAAGAGGAGGGTTGTGGCAACCGGGAACTAATTCCAGGAGGACGTGAGGTAGCGGTCACATCGAGTAACATATTCGAGTACATTAGACGCTATACAGAATATAGACTAATCAAATCCCAAGAAAAGGCACTTGAGGTGAGTTGCAAAACTGCGCACTTATATTCGTAAAATTAAATCTCATTTAATTTTCAGGCATTAAAAGACGGAGTTTTCGACGTTTTGCCTGATAACAGCATGAACAGCTTAACTGCTGAGGATTTGCGTCTCCTGCTGAACGGTGTCGGTGATATAAATGTTTCAACTTTGATTTCATATACTACCTTTAACGACGAATCTAGCGAGGGTCCGGATAAACTTTTAAAATTTAAGAAATGGTTCTGGAGTATTGTTGAGAAAATGAATATTATGGAGCGTCAGGATTTGGTAAGTCTTTTGCTGAATCCGACTGAAACAGTAGCAATAAAGGCCGTTCTTTTAGGTGTATTTCTGGACCGGATCGCCTGCGCTTCCAGCTTCGGAAGAGGGATTCCAACCATTGCCATCTGTAACCATACGGCCTGCGGATGACTCTCATCTACCGACTGCAAATACGTGTATATCTCGGCTGTATATCCCGCTGTACTCCAGCAAGTCCATTTTACGCAGTAAAATGCTGATGGCCATTAAATCCAAAAACTTTGGATTCGTATAAGCGATTGGAACACCTTTTTATGTGTATAAGCTTCAAATTAATTTCTTAATTAATTTTAGAATTCTTTGAGTTTTGACTTGTCATGTTTAACCATACCATTCCCATTTTGGATTATCTATTGTTTAAAATTTTCTTTCGAATTTGAACAATTAATACGTAACATTATTCAGAGCGATTGGCACGGGTCTGACGGTCTGGCTTGCCCGAACCTTGTAGTAAAAATATGAAGTTTCCAAACCACAAATGTAACCAAGAAAACGGCCAATTAGGTATTAGGAAGCCTATGTTTTAATTATTAAACTTTTAAATAAAATATGTTTTCTAAAGTATGACTTATGCACATGTATATTTATCTATATCGATTCAATAGAAACTTGAGAAATAAATAATAAAAATAAGTCCACCTAATGAAAATTATGTATGATACAAAGTTCAACTGTTTTTTATTTTTTTAATTTAATCACTTGACAAAATAAGTGTGAGCAAAACCTTGCTTCTGAGCTTAAGTCGTTATCCCGAATTACCATTTTGAAAATATATACATTTTGTTTTGGATAATAAAGTTGTTTATTCGAAACTTCTAAATGTACATAATTTTTATAATTCATACATTTATACTGATTGTTCATAATATCGAATCGAATAAGTTTTACTCGGCATACGGTTTTAGAATAATTAGAAACTAGGATTGCAGAAATGATATGAAAACATTTCCCATTTTTTTTAGTGATTCGAAAAAATATCTTATTAACCTGTTCTTCAGGAAACGCAATTTTCCTTCATTTCTAGACCAAACAAATAGCTACGAATACAAATGATCCAAAAAACAAAAGCAAACTAAACTAAAATCGACAATGTTTTCCCCTAACCTGCAGAAAAAAAAGAATATAATACATGCAATGCGATAATTCAATGATCACTGGAAACTATTCAACTTCCTCGCACTCCTTCGAAACTTCTAAATGTACATAATTTTTATAATTCATACATTTATACTGATTGTTCATAATATCGAATCGAATAAGTTTTACTCGGCATACGGTTTTAGAATAATTAGAAACTAGGATTGCAGAAATGATATGAAAACACTTCCCATTTTTTTTACAGTGATTCGACAAAATATCTTATTAACCTGTTCTTCAGGAAACGCAATTTTCCTTCATTTCTAGACCAAACAAATAGCTACGAATACAAATGATTCAAAAAACAAAAGCAAATTAAATTAAAATCGACAATATTTTCCCCTAACTAAAAAAAGAATATAATGCATGCAATGCGATTATTCAATGATCACTGGAAACTTTTCAACTTCCTCGCACTCCTTGTTGAAACTGGTAATGAAATCTTGCAGCTTAGCCTCATGCTCGATATCCCTACGCGGCCGTTTATGCGGTTGCTTCTTAAGTGGAGAGCTTTTGTCGTGCGAGTCCTGCTCGCTCTCGTCCTCAGATTCACTTTCAATGTACAAAATCTGCACTCGTTTCTTCCGCTTGCGCTGGGGACGTTCCTTTACATAGGTGCGCCTTGGTTGCTGGAATGATAATAAATTAATATAATTCAAATAAATTTTTACACAAACATCTTATAATTACAAGACTGAATAATTTTGTGCGAGCTGCTTACTACCGTACAAAGACAGACTTAATTCTTTGCGGCCCTGTTGGCTCAACTGAGTTCATTAATAGCTCTCAGTTTGGTATTAATCTAGCGCTAATTAGTCGGTATCCAGAGTAATTTTTAACTATCGAAACCTTTCTAGCGCTTAAACAAACTATAACTTTAACTTACCTTTTCGTCAAATGTTATCTCAGGCTCAGCTTCGCTTTCTTTAAATAACCCTATTGATTCTTCTGCAGCCGGTGCAACTTTTCGTTTCGGTATTGCTGGATTGCAAATCATTGTAGAGCAGAAAACATCTCTAATGTCTCGCTGTTTTGCTTGCCATTCCCCAAGAGAATCTCCGCAAATAGGAGCTGACGAAATCTCTGGCAGCTCCGTAGGCCGAAGCTCTGCTAATCTGTGGAGTTTATCGTGCAGGGTTTCGTTTTGACTTAAAATGGTAGACGAGGACTCCACATTCTCGTTCTCTGTGATAAATTCCTCAAAGCCAAAGAGATTTTGAGAGGTTCTGGCTCTTGGTGCGGTTGACTTCCTTGGTATACTTGGCTGATTTTGTTCGCAAGCAAAAAGGTTCGTCCGCGTTGGACTGCGATTTGGTGTAGAGGCCGCCGCCATAAAATTTGAGGATACTCTGTTTGGGGTGACACCTTTAGAGGGTGAGTTTGTAACATTTTGCGGTTCCATTGTATTTCTCGAATTATCTTCACATGGCAAAATCTCATCAAATCCAAAAAGATTCGCTCGCGTCTGACTGCGTTGTGCTGGTGATGCAGTCACTGTTGGATTGCTGGGCACTTTATTAGGTGTGTTTTCCTTCGAAGGTGTATTTTGCACATTCTTCTTCCAAGACGGCAAAATGACTACTTCTAAAATATTAATGTCCTTAAATGGCTGACGGTTTTGCAGCGTTTTCCTTGGATTCGGCAAGTGCACAAAGTTCTCCGCATTTTCAGCATTTTCCTGGTCATTTAGTGTATTATTTTTATCAGTAGTTGCAACCGGCGGGCGATTCTCCTCATTCGAGTCGTTCGCATTTGAGCCATTACTTTGCTCATGCAAAGCCGGACAAATGGATTCCTCCTGGGCGGGCTCCTCAGATTGCTCTGTCTGTACATCCGGCAAATAGACATGCCGTCGTCGCATGTGATCACTGGAGTACGATGGAAGCTGGGAGGTATTGAAGCCGAACATAAAGGTACTTGGCAAGGGTGACTTATCGGAAACCCGCCAAGGAGATGCCGCTCCAGCCGGACTACCGGCACTCAAAGACTGTCGTGTGATCGGCGATATTGCAGCATTTGTTACGTTTGCTTCAGGTACCGGAGGTGCCTTGCGATTGATTGGCGTGCTTACCAACTGCCGCGCCATGTTAATCAGCTCTCGTCGTCTGTCCTTTAAATTCTTAGGATTTTGGGCCTGCGTCTGATTGAGCATTACGGATCGCGCCAAATTACTGTACGCGCCATCGTGAGCTTGCTTTGAAGTGCTCGGCTGGTCATGCACCTGAACGGGCACTTCAAACGGCGCGGCGAAGCCTGGATCCGCATCGTTGCTTGATTCGTCTTCGGGCTCGTAAATCGGCGACAATGCACACGATGGTTTTGTCATGCGCACCTCTTTGACTTGGGGGACCATCTTGACTCGCTCGGGTTCCAGATCCTTAAGAGAGACCTTTCTTCGCCTCCCGACAGGCCTTATTTTTCTCTTGATCGGCTTGGCCCTTGTTTTTCCGGATTTCGTTGATCGCACCATCACGCAGGCCTTGCCATCCTTCACTAGGCGCTGAATTATGTCGGCTGCGGGGTCCTCTCTGATATCATCTTCAATCTGGGACTCCGATAGGAAATCGAAGACATTGCGGGTCACCGAGGACCTTGTTCTTGTAGGCGGTTGATATCTGTGGAAGAAGCGCGAAGGTTTTGAGCTTGAAACCTCCGGCGTTGGCTTTGTCGGGCTAACACTTTTGAGGCGCACTCGAAAGGGTTTTATTCTGGGGCCTGTAAAGTATAGCGATCTGTGAGAAAGCTCCTTAATCTAATAAAGTCCACTTACCTGCCACATTTTCTTTCATTTTATTCTGTACTTTGGAATTAACGTACATCGTCGAGTTGCGAGGCGGTTCAAAACTACTTGTATCCACATCATGCTGAACATTTTGAGATTCCTGGAGTTTAAGGCGCTTAATTTTCACGACGCATTTTCGAAGGGAGACTTGTGGCTCCGTTATAGCTGCCAAAATATCTTTCTCCGACAGTTTTTTACCACGAAGACGATGGGGTCTAGTTGCGGTCTTAATATCTGAGCCGCCAATATCTGGCGCTGCTCGTTTTTTGACCATTTTATTAACAAAATTTGTTTACAAGATGAAATTCGTGTACAGCTCCCGCCATTTTAGTTCGAAGTGTGACCCTGAGTCGATCTTTTGAAATTATTACGACTTTCTCTGTAGGGTGTGAAACTTGGCTAAAGTCTGGTCTCACTTTGCTGACTGAGCAATTTCCAACACCGACCGCCAGGGATGAAACACCGATAACTGTCGATAGGCGGACAGAAAACCAGATGATTGCCCTCGCAATAATGTAAAAAATAAATAATTAGCTGTTTCCAAATAATCCAAATTCCAAATTCCTTGCGCTACAATCTGCCGTGCGTGTGTGTGTCGCTGTGCGTGTGTCCGGGCAGTTTCGTGTCTTGCCCCCAAAACAACTACTACTGAAAAATAAGCAAGAAAAAAAGAAGGAAAACCCCCCAAACCGAAAATCGAGTGAAAGTTTTTCTCGTCTTTGTTTTGTAATTGTGATTTTCCTACAGTGCCAGCCTTGCATTACTGGCAATATTGGATTGACGGCTACAACGACGCTGCAGCGGGCGCGGGTGGCTGACGGCGATTATAGCAATAGCACTACCTATATAGCTATTATAGCGCTCGCGGGCCGATTTCTTGGCCCTATTGTGATTGTGACAGCGCCAGTGTTATATATTTAAATCGAACCGAATCGCCGTCGCAGTCGCGTTTTCTGGGACTGCTGCAAAAGGCCTTGCGAATTTCTGCGCCAGGTACTGTGGGAGTGGGCTTTCGGGAGGGTGAGGGGGAGAGGGTTAAATGGGATGGCACACGGGGCGAATCCCAATAAGAAACTAGCGCGAAAACCCCCCTCATACATACGTATAGTGCACGCGATACATACATACAAACACGAGCGAATAATGGCAACAAACAATTGCAAGCGACCCAGCAGTAGTGCTGCTACCAGTACCATTACTATTACCATTACCCATACCATAACCGATACCAGACCCCGATCCAATCCAATCCCAAAGACCCAGACCCCGAAGGCTGACTGTGACGCCACTGGGGGAACCGAGCCAAGGCAGATGTATCTGCGAATTATGTCTCAGGGTCAAGGACACTGTTTCTGCCTCGCTAACCGTTGTTTGACCTTATTAACAAGCTGGGAACGGCGAATAAAAGGAACCGACCAACGAAATACCCTTCCAGGATACATTTTAATAGCGTAGCTATGTGGCATATTCTTCCCGCAAGTTTTAACAGTAATTTAATTAACTTGAAATGTTGGAAGCAAATTACACTCATAATGATTTGCAAAAAAATTTGTATAGCAAATCAACAATTTTTTCTGATATTAAACTTTAAAAATATGCAGTTTAGCTTTCCGCAAAACAAAAAGTCTAGCTTATTTTAGGGAAACAAATGGCAATTTTTCAAAAACAGTAATCAGTTATTGATCAAACTCTTCAAATCTTATTGGGACTTTCATACACAACAATAATTGGGCTTATGCCAAGTTTAAGCGCTAATGCTATAAACAAATAATAAAATGATTCGTGTAAAATCAGGCGGAAAGGGGAATTTGTCTAGGGCCCCTTAACTTCATAGCAATTTTTATATATTGATAGATATTTAGAAATTCCACATAAAACGCAACTCAATATACGTTTTAATTGGCAGAGCAACTGCATCACCTTGGCTGGCTCCTCGCACAAAACGATGTGCGATACCAAAGACGATGCGCAGAAATGGAAATGTGAAATTTGCACCTACGAGAACTATCCATCCTCGCTAAAATGCACAATGTGCCAGGCGTCGAAGCCGCTGCTGAACGAGGACATTTTCCGGTAAGGAAGTCCAGCTTTAAGGTTTAACACTAGCTAACTTGTTCCCCTTTCTCTGTAGTCTAAGCCCGGCTCAGGAGACCAGCTCCGTTGCGGAGGAAGCGGCTGCCGTCGAAGTGTCCGTAATGTCGCCCACGCCTTCTTCCACGTGCTACGCGCTTCAGCCGCCGAATCAGGCGCGGCAGAGCAACGTGGCAGACAGCGAAAAGTGGCCCTGCAAGGTGTGCACCTATCTGAACTGGCCGCGCAGCCTGAGATGCGTACAATGCTGCACGAAGCGCGGCGGCGAGGCCATCGAGCGGGGTAGCAACAAGGACAAGGATAACGAGGCGGATGCCGATCGGGCGGGAGTGGCACTGCAGGCCCTTCGCATCAGCGGATCGGAGGAGAACTTGGCCAATAGGCAGAACCAATTGATTGGAGCCACAGCGTCCAATCGCTTGAGCCTGAGTCCGGTTATCGACGATGCCACGCACCTGAACAATCTCGCCAATGCGTCCCACAACCAGTCGCAGTCCCAACACCGTCAGCCTGTACACCAGCAGCAGATGCAGCTCCAACTGCAGCATCAGCCGCAGCAGCAAAGGGAGACCTCCTCCTCGACCGCCGTTCCGCAGCAGAAGCAGTGCTACGTGGCCAAGTGGGCGTGTAACGTATGTTCCTCGCAAGCTAATTTATTCTCAGTTCTAACCGTGTGTTTGCTTTGTAGTCATGCACCTACGAGAACTGGCCGCGCAGCATTAAGTGCTCCATGTGCGGAAAGACGAGGGAGCGGGAGATCAGTGGGTCGCAGAACGATCTGCATGCCTCATCCAGCCTGAACAGCCAGGAGGAGAACCAACAACAGCAGCAGCAGCAAAACGTGGACACCGTCAGCGTCAATAACTCATTCAATAAGAAGCACATTTACCAACTGGGTAAGGTTACCTATACCAATCTTCTCGTGCTTAGACTTATAAGACTCTTTCAAGGTTCCTCGGAAACCATCAACAACTGTGATACGCTGCAAGAGCGGCAGGAGCGCCGCCAGCGTCAAATCCGACGCCAGGTTGACTGGCAGTGGCTGAACGCCTGCCTGGGCGTCGTGGAGAACAACTACAGCGCCGTGGAGGCGTACCTTTCCTGCGGCGGCAATCCTGCCCGCTCGCTGACCAGCACCGAGATCGCCGCCCTCAATCGCAACTCGGCCTTCGATGTGGGTCACACCCTGATCCACCTGGCCATTCGGTTCCATCGCGAGGAGATGCTGCCCATGCTGCTGGCCCAGATCTCCGGTTCGGGGCCGGGCATCAAACGTGTGCCGTCCTACGTGGCTCCCGATTTGGCTGCGGACATCCGGCGCCACTTTGCCAACACCTTGCGTCTGCGCAAGTCCGGCCTCCCCTGCCACTATGTGCAAAAGCACGCCACCTTTGCCCTTCCCGCCGAGATCGAGGAGCTACCGATCCCCATTCAGGAGCAGCTGTACGACGAGCTGCTCGATCGCGACGCCCAGAAGCAGCTGGAGACGCCGCCGCCGGCTCTGAATTGGTCGCTGGAGATCACGGCTCGCCTTAGCTCGCGGATGTTTGTCCTGTGGAACCGCAGTGCTGGCGACTGCCTTCTGGACTCCGCCATGCAGGCCACCTGGGGCGTCTTCGATCGGGACAACATCCTGAGGCGGGCCCTCGCCGATACACTGCACCAGTGCGGGCATGTGTAAGTTCAATCTCTTTGTTGCATATCTGTTGGATAAAATCCAACATTTTACTGTAACATATTATAAGTACACGGCTAAGCATACGTTTTATTTCTTGCAGATTCTTTACTCGCTGGAAAGAGTACGAGATGCTACAGGCTTCAATGTTGCACTTCACCCTGGAGGACTCACAGTTCGAGGAGGACTGGAGCACACTTCTGTCGCTGGCCAGCCAGCCGGGCTCGTCCTTGGAGCAGTTGCACATCTTTGCGCTGGCGCACATCCTTCGAAGGCCGATTATTGTGTACGGCGTCAAGTACGTAAAGAGTTTTCGGGGCGAGGACATTGGATATGCGCGTTTCGAAGGTGAGGTCTCATCGATTTTTGTTATCTTGCAGAGCACTAATTTCTTTGTCTTGCTTCCCAGGTGTCTACTTGCCTTTGTTCTGGGATCAAAACTTTTGCACCAAGTCGCCTATAGCTCTGGGCTATACCCGCGGCCACTTCAGCGCCCTCGTGCCGATGGAACCATTTACGCGCATCGATGGGCGACGCGACGATGTGGAGGATGTGACCTACCTGCCGCTGATGGACTGCGAGCTGAAACTATTACCCATACACTTTCTCACCCAGTCCGAGGTGAGAGATAATGAAAATATATTGCATTTTCTTTGTGGGAAATTATAAAGTTCTAATTTGATATTCGTATTTAAAATACATTTGGAGTACGGTTAGCTAATTAAATTTAATGTCTACTTTGCAGGTGGGCAACGAGGAGTCGATGATGCGCCAATGGCTCGACGTGTGCGTGACCGATGGAGGACTACTGGTGGCGCAACAGAAACTTAGCAAACGTCCCCTCCTGGTTGCCCAGATGCTGGAAGAGTGGCTAAATCACTACCGCCGCATTGCGTAAGCATGTCTTAATCTCCTGTAAAAACTGACGTTCAGAATAACCTGTTTCCTATCTTGCAGACAAGTGATAACAGCGCCTTTCATTCGGCGCCCCCAAATCACACACTACTCCAGTGATGGCGACTCGGATGAGGAGTAGATGAAGAACATTCGTCACCTAGCTTCTGATTAGATGTCTGAGCATATAATTGAATACTTTTATTTGAACTTTTGGCGATCGATAGCAGATGATGTTAAGACGAGAGGTAGAAGTGCAGATCCTACACACTTGCACTCGCAGTTAGCTAAAGGAAACTATAGAGAATACATATGCATACTTGCAAGCAGTTGGAAAGTTGTAGTTGTAACTAAATTGAAAGCAAACTAAAGGTTAAGCAGCAAAGTACGAAAATAGATTGATCGACGTATGTACATCATATCCGTTCCCAATTCAACGTTCGTTGATTTTAGTCAAATTTATTCACACTGGGTCGCCGAAGCATTGTAGACCATATAGAAAACGAAATTGAAGCTATACACTGGTAGATCTAATTACACTCACATCTGAAACAATCCATTAAATGAATACGTGGCCGAAAGGCAGAAGAGAATATAAGCGGTGGAATTTATACACCTAAATGAACGCGCCAGTTGATGTGAACACCCATGTAAACCCTCGACGGCGGTCTTAAATTATTACAAATCTCAATGT